TGTATGATGTATTGTCATTTAGATTTGTGCTGTAACTTTTAAAACACAATTCTCTGAATATATCCATTGTCTTTATTCTTGCTGTCATGTTATATTGTGTAGTAAACTCACATACGAGACAAACTGGGGAAAGCTAGATGCTCATAGATGCTTCTTCTTTTTTGTAAAGTGTGAGGTCCCAATCTAATTCCCCGTCAACAAATTACAGATAATCATTGTAATGAGCCCAAACTGATCATAACAATTTAAAGGTAAGGCCAAGTCATAATGTCATTACAGAAACATAACATGGCGTTATGCCATCTTACAATTTTGGAGAGAAACTGCAACTTGAACAAATTGTACAATTTAAAGCAAGGAATGTTGGTGTGGTGAATCACTCCTGGCATGATTCAGTATCATCAAGGCTACGGGTGACACAGCAGTCGACTAAGGCGCGGCAATTAGCTGTGCAGAGTTGCCTCCCTTATTCACACCAGAAACCTGTAATTGTGGCTTCAATTCCGGTTCGCTTCCTTTATGATTTTTGAGGTTTCGCAGCACCACGCAAAGACTCAAACGTCCGAGAAGAGTATAACTTCGGGCTTTCCTCCCACATTAAGCAGACACCAAGTGATATAACTGAAATGCTGTTCAAACCTGCGTCAACTCAAACTCACTTACTCAATATCGACATCTAATTTCCTATAGTTGTGCTGATGTAAAACCCATATTGCAAAAGAAATACACACATTAAAAGATAAATCCTAATATGGGCACTCCAAAAGTTCAGAATATGTCTTAAAATAAACTTCCGAGGAGAAGGATCCAACAGCATCTGTGTTATCAAATTTTGATGGAGTGACACTGATGATGAGATAAACATTATGTTTAAATGTAAAAAAATATCTACCATAGCTAAAAATGATTTTGCAAAGTATTGCTCGTCCAGAATGCAAACAAAACAGCAACATAAAATCACATATTTGCATTTGCAATTATAGCAACAATTCTTTAACATGTGACATAGCTATGAATCGTGTTGAGTTATGTCCCTTGTAAAATCTTTACGTATGGCCGGTGTTTTTCTTATTAATTGGTTTACGGATTTTTTTCCAAAATAACTAGGGTAGGTGGTCGAAATAAAAATAAAAATACAATTGAAAGTCTTCAATGTTTTAAAGTATTTGTCTCAACATTTGAGTCGGTAGGATTAAAAATAATAATCCAAATTTTGATATTGTAAGAGAAGAAGAATTATTGTGAATCATAAGAGTGAATGACTGAGTTTATTGAAACTCTGTAATAATTTCAAAAATATGTTGACATCACCTGTAGAATGTGGTACCTCACTATTACAATCAACCTGACATCATTTAATAGTCGTTGCTTGGTGACAGTGCAACAATGGTATGGACAGTCTGGACATGCCTCTTTTCCATCTTTGAAGCATCGAATATATAGGATCTGTCATGTTTCAAGTGTAATATCTCTGCAAATATCAGCCTTTCTCCATTATGAGATGAGAGGTAACTGATATGGCACTGGAAACATGAAATATCCTCTATATTTAATAAAATGAAAGTACAAACAAGGGACATATTCACTACTGACTTTAATACTGCCCAGTCGTCTTTGACTTGTTGCTTATTTGTTTACAAAATACAGAAATCAATGACTATTTCTTCTTTGGTCCCACTTTTAGGACATTTCGCACTGCAGGCTGCTTTCCAGTGTGCAGACATGTTTCACATAATGGCCGCATCATCGTCGCCACAGTAGTAACAATTTTGGTAGCCCTCAAATTCCAATCGTTAATAAACCAAAAAATTAATTTGACAGAGGTGTGGTATCATAACAAACAAACACACAATATGTTTTGGCATAATTTAATTCAGTCATGACAGATGGATATGATCATATTATTCAAATAATACAACTGCAACGTAAATAAGTTAATATTTAATGAAAATGCAAGCTTACACATTTACAAGGTCCAGATAAACCACGAAGGGAGCAAAAAATGCGGCGAATTTTTCCATTTGTAACAAGTCATAATTATCCCCTTACGTTTTTATTTTATATTTTCATGTTTGCGTCATCGGAAAACTATTACAAAGAGATTTCTCAAATAATATGTAACGTCGTCTATTTCCCGAAACCTGTGGCTTTCAGCTCAGTAACGTAATACAACAGTGGGATATACCTCCGTTTTCGAAGCTTCGTGTGAACAAACATGTGAGGCGATTCGTTTGATGGCGGGTATCGTTCGTTACTCTGAATATCAACAATATCACTGTACCCTTGCCAAGAGTATTTTCACAGTTGGAAGAAGCGATTTTATTGGATAAAGATTGGTTTCTAATGACGCTTTTCTGTCATAGTCTGCTACGAGGATCGTGATTGGTCAAAATCACACACGTGACCTAAGGCAGCCAATCATACTACAGCAATGGATACTGTCCTCGTAAAGGAAAACTTTTAGATTTAGATGAAAGTTTTGGGTAAAATCATGCTATTCTGAACGTGTTACGCACAAGATCACTACCTATGCGTATATTATGGACCTGCATGGACGTATCGTGCTAGGTTATGCCCTGGGACAAAAATGCTTTATGCATATATTTTGGCATTAAACATCGTGTTCGAGGCGACGAAAGTCGAGATGTCACTTGAATTACATTGCACGATCGCACAATAAAGATGGAAATAGTAAGTTATAATGTACGTTTGACAACTTTTATGAGTACTGTTATTGAATATATTCTTCAGTTTATTCAATTTGTTTAATTATTATCTCGAAACATCGTTACTTTGTTCTTTGACAACTTTGATGTGGACCCGTTTGCCGAAGCATGTGTCGGAGAATCGTTTTTTCAATAACATTGCGACAAATATCTTATATTTCTAATTCTGTCGATAATATATGGTCATTTGAAATGTAATAAGTGTTTTCAGACATTGTTATTGATTCGTAGTCGTGCCCGCGATTTTTCTACAAGTGAAATATATATTTCTGAACCAGTGCAGATAGATGCCTGATTTTAATATCGGGTATGTCAGTCGATCTTTTTTTTTAATGTAGGTTTTGATACCCAGGACTCTGCTGTAATAAAAAACACTTCTCATTGAAATTTTATTTTTTTTGCCATCGCCAAAAATTAGGGTCGGCGGATCCGTAAACCAATTAATAAAAAAAAAAGGCCTAAAGGTACAGGTATGACTGAGACAGTTAAAATTTAACGTCCTATACCTTATGGCATCGAGACCAAGTTTAAATGGCTGCACTAGCCACAAGTTGCTGAAGTTGCTGCATTGTATTTTAGGGGGTGTCGCGATACGCGAATGTATCGATGTATCGATACATTTTTACTGACGATACGATACGCGATACATGCTTGCGTGTATCGATTCCTATTTTAAAACTTTATCGATTCAAACTTTTATGCTATATCCATCTCCTTCAAAGTCTTGATAGTAAAATTATACGAGACCGCTCCGATAAATAAAGTAGCTAGCTTTACTTAAAAAATAGGTTGGAAACTAACAGCTTTTGTGATTGGCTAGACTATTTTGATGGACCAATCAGCGAGCGCGTACGTTGCCGGTAAGGTAATGCTATGAAAAGGCGCGAAAATTATGTATCGCGATACGTATCGTATCGTGACCTTAAAATCGTGATACGTATCGTATCGTGAGATTGGTGTATCGTGACACCCCCTATTGTATTTGTACTTTTTGATGTTCCGTGGTGATAACATTGATCTTCCGGAACCCGTGCTGTGCTGATCGGAAGAGGTGACTAACGGTATGGACTGGCCTGCTGACCTGATTCATGTCATCTTTCTCCAATGCGTAGATCCATGTTCATTATATCAATCACTGGATTGTGAAATACACAGTGCCATTATAGAAAGTGGTCAAATGTAACGTATGTTATATTTGGGATTACACTTTCTCAGTAAAGTACAGATTCTAGTACTTTTGGGGTTGAGTCCTATCCGGGATTCGAACCCACACCCTCAGAGTCAGGTACCTAATCGCCAGCACAGCCTAGACCGCTCAGCCACCGCGGCTTCCCAAAAAGTACTAGAATCTGTACTTTACTAAGGAAGTGTTATCCCAAATATAACATACGTTAAATCACTGGATTGTCTGGTCAAGAATCAGTTATTTTCAAACCGCTGTGATGTAGCAGGAATACTGTAAAATGTGGCGTTACACAAGACAATCTGGGCCCGGTTGTTCAAAAGCGCGTTAAATTTTAACGGTCTGTTAACTAGTCCTTAACGGTCCGTCAACGTTAACAAAGCAAAAGCCTGTTGCTCAAAGTGCCGCTAACCTTTAACGGCTCGTTAAGCCCACGTTAACTTAACGTAAGGGGAGGGGGTACATTAGCTCACTAACATTACCATTAGCATCAGTTCTAGGTCTAGCTCCATGGTGACAACATGGCGTTTATTGTCCAGCCTAATGCATTAGGCCTTCATAGTGAATGGACGCGTGAAGATCCGGGTTAGAATTAATCTTCAGTAACCCATGCTTGTCGTAAGAGGCGAATACCGGGATCGGGCGGTCAGGCTCGCTAAGTTGGTTGACACACATCATCGGTCCTCATTTCGCAGATCGATGCTCGTGATGTTGATCACTGGACCGTCTGGTCCAGACTCGATTATTTACAGAACGCCGCCATATAGCTGGAATATTGCTGAATGCGGCGTAAAACTAAACTCACTCACTCATTTATAGTGAATGAACATGTCGGAGTGAATATTCAAAGCTGTGTTGTATATAAATTCTGTCAAGAACAAAAACATTGCAGGATAGTTTTCTTTTTGCTCAATTTTTTGTATTCAATTTTTATTCTATATCTGTTCACAATCACAGTGTATGTAAATGAATGTTGTTGCTTGTTGATTCCCAGGGTGAAATTAAAAAGTTAACCGGGAATATGTCCGTAGACGAACTAGGTGTCAACTAAAGAAATGTTACGTAGATGAAAAACCAACAAAGAAATATCATGCAATTAACAGTTGTATTTGAAAATTATCTCTGTTCATAAATCAATACAAAGGTATCCCTATGGCAGTACAAAATCGGGTTGCAGTACAATTGTATAGGTAATACAAGAGAACAGTGAAATTTGAATCCTTTGCTCGTACAAAAACGTAACCTTTCAGATTCAAGGGAGTTAACTGTGGAGTTTCATTGGAAACTGGAGTGTTACGATGAGTTACCTCCCTTGTTTCGGGAATCTCATGATATGTAAAATGGCGTAAATGAAATGTTACCTGTACCCTTGAACATGATACTGTACATAGTTTCATATCGTGATGACTATCTTTCCCTTCGCCCCTTTCCGTGAATTAAGCAGTTTATGTGCCTCTCTAGCTTTTTGCATTGGGAAACTTGAGCCGATCTTGGGTCTCACCCAACCTGACCTTTGACCAGCTTCAATGGCGTTTCTGAATTCCACCAGTTCTTCAGGCGATGATGTTTGGACGCTGATCCCCCTGAACCAATTTTCTTTCAACATGGTGGACAAAGGACTGAACTTCACTTCCCCTGCTGACCCTACAATTATAGTCCTTCCATTACGTCGCATCAGTTCCACGTCGCTGTCCATGTTCGCGTGAGCCGCCATTTCTATAATGACGTCATATCCGTCGCCGTCAGTTGTATCAAGAAGCTGGTTCACGTATCCTCTGTGCCTGTGATTAAAAACGTTGATACAGCCATTGTCTTTCGCAAAACTTATTCCCTCGTCGGTACCGGCAGTGCCATTAACCTTCATTCCGTGTGCCTTGGCAAGTTGACTCGCCGCCACACCTACGCCTCCACTTGCTCCGTGAATAAGAACGTTATCGCCCGGTCTGGCGCGTGCAAGGGTTATAAGCGCCTTATAAGCTGTATAATACGGTATCCCGACACACGCGCCTTCTTCAAATGATAAGGCTTGGTCTAGATGACCTACATAATTTTGATCAGCCACCGTAAATTCTGCACATCCTCCGGTCACCGTCTTCATAGTGTACACTCGGTCCCCAGGGGAAAATCTCTCTACCCCCGGGCCAACTGCCTCCACAACCCCGGCAGTGTCCCAGCCGATGGTGTGGGGGAGGGCGACTTCCCCAAATTCCCCAGCCCTGATGTATGTGTCCAGAGGATTAACTCCTGCCGCCATTACACGTATGAGCACCTGGTTTTCGTCAGGAGAGGGTTTTGCAACTCTCGTCGACAGCTGCAACACTTCTGGTCCACCATAGTGGTGGAACTGTACCGCTTTCATTGCTCCTGCGTGAACAGCTTCCAGCGTGACCTGCGCGGGATAAGCCCAGATAAGCTGTCCACGCGCGACCGGTTTTACCGTATTTCCTATGTATCCGTCACTGTCTAATATATCGGTCCTCTGGATTCTAAAATGTTGTTGCACAGGATGCATCATTTCCAGTGATCCTTGACAGGTGATTCTGTGAAGGTGAGGTGGTGGAGTCATGTTCGAGATTACTGCACTTCCGTAGAGACGATTATGCGCGTATGTTGGGGCATTCTTACTCTCGCTTGTACTAATGTTGCAGGGGTGAGTCAAAAATAATGACGAGCTGCGGGTGTGTTTGTGAGGTGACGTTTATTCCAACATCATATATATATATATATCAATTATTCAATTGATCAGTCAATCACCGTGCAATATAAGAAAGAATGCTATACATAAATCTAAACATGCAACAAGTATACAGTTACACATAACTAGTTCATAATAAGTTATTCTTATTACCACTGATGTATAAAACACTACATAATGGTTGTAATTTAACATGCAGATGATCAACTTAAATGATCATAGAGGCGATATTTAAATCACACATAGATAATTACATACATGATAAAAGATAATATGTACATACCCTGTGGGTGACACCGGAGTGTGCCTATATACCCACAAAAGGATTCTGTGTTAATGCATTCTTAAATAAATAATAAGTACAATATTTTACTATGGCTACATTAATAATGTAGAAAGAAACTTATTGTTCAACATTACATTCAAACTACCAATCAAATCATGCTCTCACACATTCATACATTTAGACACTTCATATTGATAAATTAGAAGGTGTATAGACTACTTGATATATAACATTAATATTTACAACACTTTATATCATTTATAACATATTTAACGGATAGGTTGAGATTCTATTTAGGTTAATATAAAGTAAATGTCTAACCTGGGCTGTGTTGAGTGGCTTGTTCTGTGCAGAGTTGTTAGCAGTGTGACTAGAAAAGTGTGCAAGTGCTATGGAGGAAAGCTGTAGTTATATAATGTTAATCTTATAGGAAGCTGAGGGCTATTGTATTGAAAGCTAGACTGTTGAGGCCCCAAACAGACCAACTGCTTGGATAAGTAACCCAAGCTTATAAACTAATGAACACAAAAAACAACTTGAAATGATAAACATAAAACTTTATTGCTGAAACTATAAACACAATCTTCTGTTACACTAACGTACTGTCGGAAATAAAATTTAAAAAAAAACTGTTTTAGGCTCTTACTCTGTATCGCTAAAATTTACATGTCAGACTGAAGAGAAAGAAAGAAGAAGAATAAAACAAACTTCATTACCCTGAATGGGAATTTGCTGTACATCATCACAGAGCACACATATGAATATAGGATGAATAAGATAAATAAAAGAGCGTTTCTCACAGGTAAAATTACTGTAAAATACATTATTGAATACAGATTAAAAATATGCAGGTAAAACAGTTATGATTAACATAATAACAATGTCCATATAGAGGCAAAGATAAGATCTGTATGTGGAATTTGGAAACGTCTGCCAAATTCCAAAATTTAAATCAAATAGAGTCCTGAAATGGTTCACCCCGTCCAGCATCGGCTTTTCAAACAATAAATGATATTTTTTACATACAAATCTGCAATCTGCAAATAGCAGATGTCGAAATAACCCACATCGGGTTTGAGAAACAATTCCGCCATTTTGTTTTTCAATGATGCACCAGAAGAAGATTTGTCCTCAAAGACGAGTTCGCACCTACAATGAGACCAGAATCACGTGTACCAGCGTGCAGAACGATGAGGCGTTTACCTTTACCAGATGGGATCGTTGGGGCCTTGTTGCATGATCCATCTGGCGGTAGCCACATGTAATCCGTGGAATGATTCTTGTTCACCCAGGTCTCATCGAGGTATACTATCTGAAAACATAACTCCCGGTATTCGGGACCTGTTCAGTTTGACCTAAGGGTGAGGATTGAATACTTTTCACGAAACACTCCACGATCATCTCCCCTTACTTTATGCCTCAAACCCATTTTCATGGAGAGCAGTGATAAGAGTTGTACTAGATACATTAATGGTTTTATTGATCTCTTCCATGATGGTACGGAAGTTGGGTGTTATCTTCCTGTCATACAACTTATATACTGCTCCCCTGATCCCCTTATCAAAGCGGGTGGTGGGGTAGCCTAGTGGGTAAAGTGTTCGCTCGTCACGCCGAAGACCCGGGTTCGATTCCCCACATGGGCACAATGTGTGAAGCCCATTTGTGGTGTCCCCCGCCGTGATATTGCTGGAATATTGCTAAAAACGGCGTAAAACCATACTCACCTTATCAAAGCTACCCAATTTATGTTTGCGTCCTGGTTTTGCTTTTGAAACGACCCCTCCTGTTTGTTAATGGCAGGCCCAGGGTTGCTCTAGTTCTATGATATAACCCGTCATATCTAAAGAGCGGTTTCCCCTGTCCCCTTCCTGCACAAAATACTCGTAGACATTAGTTATCAGCGTATCCATATCAAGAGCCATGCTTGTGCTTGCACACAACACAGTGTGGAATATAGTGATGGTGAGATTACATGGTAGCTACATCCTTAATAGTTTCAGTATCAAATTTATTATTTGTTTATGCTAAGTCTAATTTAAAATGGGCAGTTCCACTAACCGATCTTAGCCCTATGCCAATCGTAAACCCCTAAAATCCCAATCAAAGCGTGACGTCACGATCGGCATACCGTTCCGTTAACCGATCTTAGCCCTATGCCAATCGTAAACCCCTAAAATCCCAATCAAAGCGTGACGTCACGATCGGCATACCGTTCCGTTAACCGATCTTAGCCCTATGCCAATCGTAAACCCCTAAAATCCCAATCTTAGCGTGACGTTGCGATCGGCATACCGTTCCACTAACCGATCTTAGCCCTATGCCAATCGTAAACCCCTAAAATCCCAGTCTTAGCGTGACGTTACGATCGGCATACCGTTCCACTAACCGATCTTAGCCCTATCCTATGCCAATCGTAAACCCCTAAAATCCCAATCTTAGCGTGACGTTACGATCGGCATACCGTTCCACTAACCAATCTTAGCCCTATGCCAATCGTTAACCCCTAAAATCCCAATCTTAGCGTGACGTTACGATCGGCAAACCGTTCCACTAACCAATCTTAGCCCAGTCAATCGTAAAGTTAAGATCCAAAGTCTAAGATGCTCATGACCAACTTAGGATCGCTAAAATCAATCGTAGAGAAACCAAAATGGCGACTTTCATTATTGCTTGTGAAGAAGAAGAGCGAGCTTTACACCGTGAGCGTGTTTTCCGAGACCGCTCACAGATTCTAGACACATCATCGGATGATGTGCTTGTGGCGAGGTATCAAGCATAATATAATAATAATAAATGCATATTTATAGTGCGCCTATTCCACATCCTTGGGCATGCTCAAAGCGCTGTGTACAGATAATTTGCACGAGAATATTTACAGCCGAGATTATAAGTAATATACTGAGAACAGGTTTTAAGTCTGGACTTTAAAAATGTCAATTGTGTCAGAGCTTTTAATATGTGCCTGAATCTTGTCATTCAGAATAAACAAGGCGTGACGAGGCTATTACGTATGTAGAATCTGTCAGTGGTCTTGAATAACACGCGGCTTGCCTTTAGAATCCCCCACCAAATATGCGCAGTGAAATCAAGCATATTTGTATCTTTTTGCTTCAGAACATTGTTCACTTCACGGCTATCCCTATTCTTAACCATGACGTTGCAATATTGTTGTACAAATGGGTTACAGCGACTCGCTCGGTTGTGTTCCCATGACGACAGTGGTCAGACTGGCCTGACATTTGTAAGGCTTCAGTGCAGTGTTTGTTTACATCACAGAAATATACAAATTCATTTCATGGGGGGACTTTAGGGGACGCTCACGGTGAAATGCACGCTCTTATTTTTCACATAGAATAGGAAAGCCACCATTTTGGTTTCTCTACGATTGATTTTAGCTATCCTAAGTTGGTCATGAGCAACTTAGACTTTGAATCTTAACTTTACGATTGACTTAGGTAAGATTGGTTAGTGGAACGGTATGCCGATCGTAACGTCACGCTAAGATTGGGATTTTAGGGGTTTACGATTGGCATAGGGCTAAGATCGGTTAGTGGAACGGCACCGAGGACTTAGAAAAAAACCCACATTGCTCATTTCTGCACTCTCTCCCCTCAGAAAAGTCCTTTTACACTTGGTTGGAAAAATACCCATGAAGGTCCGGGTTAGAATATTGAACTTATAACCCATGCCACTAACGGGATCGGGTGGTCAGGCTCGCTGACTTGGTTGACACATGTCATCGGTTCCCAACTGCACAGATCGATGCGCATGCTGTTGATCACTGGATTGTCTGGTCCAGACTCGATTATTTATAGCTAAGATACATAGCGTTCACTAACATGAACGCTCATGTTAGTGAACGCTATGCATCTTAGCTAGATTATTTACAGACTTATTATTTATAGCTGGACTATTGCTGAGTGCGGCGTAAATCTAAACTCACTCACTCACTCAGTTGGTTCGTAAACTACTTTCTATCATTTGCTAGACTATGCAAAGGGAGATAACTCGTGCCTCGCATTCCTCTATCTCTCGCACGAAAGAGTCTCCATCTAAGCTTGGATCGGATCGTAAGATCGGGACCGGCTACGATCGGCCTAAGATCGGGTCGTGGAACGGGTGTAACTTTTAGCTAAGACGATTGTAAAATTGGCGTAACTTGCTAAGATTGATCTTAGATAAGATCGGTTAGTGGAACGGCACCCAGGACTTAGAAAAAACCCACATTCTGCACTCCCTCCCCTCAGAAAAGTCCTTTTTTACGTTTCCTATCTTCCTACGACTGAAATCGTAGTTAGGGACCGTTCATAATGTGTGTGTGTGTGTGTGTGTGTGTGTGTGTGTGAGAGAGAGAGATATATGATGATTTTAAGGTCACCCATTTTGTTCTGGGGAGGTAGAGAGGGGTCATCATTTTTGTACACGTTTATAGGGGGGGCAGCTTTTTTGTACATAAAATATTTTAAAATTATGCTTAAAAAATATTGGAAGGGGAAGGGGGGTAATTGTTTTTGTACATGACATGCAGGGGGGGTCACTTTGTACATAAATTTTAGGGGGGGTCATTCACATTGTACATGCTTCTCCATAAAAATCATCATAAACCCCCCCTGGCCATAAATTATGAACGGTCCCTGACCCTTAGGCCGAAATTAGTTTAACAGATATTTCACACGTTCACATATTATGATATTACCAGCATAAATTGAAGATATAAATGTGAAAAAAGGTTATTTTTCTATTTCCGACAGCACTATAGTCAGGAGGACTAATGCTATTTCAAAAGTGAGTTACCATCCTGCTGCTTAACATGGACGCCCCACACACATTATAGGTTGAATCCCTACCCGCGAGCCAGGGTAATATTTTTGTTTGTTGTTTCACGCCGCAGACAGCAATATTCCAGCTATATGGCGGCTGTTTGTAAACAAACGCGTTTCGAACAGACAAGCCAGTGATCAACAGCATGAACATCAATCTACGCATGCGTTAACCAAGCCAACTAACCTGACCATCCGATCCCGTTAGTTGCCAGGTTGGGTTGCTGAAGACCTGTTCTAACCAGGGTAATAAGTGGTATCTTGTATTTTGTATGAAGAGATAAGGATCCTACAATAGACCTTCCGTTCTCCGGGCAGCCTATCCACAGCAAACTGTTTCTGTTCAGTCTACGTTTGTATCAGTGTCGGGGCGGTGGGGTAGCCTAATGGTTAAAGCGTTGGCTCGTCACGCCGAAGACCCGGGTTCGAATCCCCACATGGGCACAATGCGTGAAGCCCATTTCTGGTGTCCCCCGCCGTGATGTTGCTGGAATATTGCTAAAAGCGGCGTAAAACCAAACTCAGTCAGTCAGTCAGTTGTATCATTGTCTTTTGACAGTAACTGGTTCTTGGGAATGTATTCTATCTAATTTAAGCTGTGGTGTAGTTGTTATTATATACTTGGATGCTTCTGAAGTCAGTGTAATCAGGAATATTCTAAACAGACTAAACAAACTTTGAACTTCAGAAGTACTTTGACTATACTGACTGACTGAGTTTAATTTTACGCCGCTTTTAGCAATATTCCAGCAATATCACGTCGGGGGACACCAGAAATGGGCTTAACACATTGTGCCCTTGTGGGGAATCGAACCCGGGCCTTCGGCGTGACGAGCCAACGCTTTAACCACTTGGCTACCCCACCGCCCCACTTTGACTATACAAAAGTATGTTTTCACCATCGATATCTAGCCTGTAGGCCTCATTAGAAGCAAGGCTACTGTTGCAGGAAGAAGAATATTATTGACACCCACCTTGATGCAACAACCACTACTTATGTATTTTACTGGGACATTATGGTAGCCCAATGGTTAACGCGTTCGCTCGTCACGCCGAAGGCCCGGGTTCGATTCCCCACATGGGTACAATGTGTGAAGCCCATTTGTGGTGTCCCCCGCCGTGATGTTGCTGGAATATTGCTGAAAGCGGCGTGAAACCCAACTGAATGTTTTTATACTGCCATTGCAATTATACTGTCACTGAATTTTAAATTCTAAAATTTTAAATTAGGTACTGCTGTTGTAATTCCTTTAAAATAATTTGCATACTTACTTGATGTAATGAGTGAGTGAGTTTAGTTTTACGCCGCACTCAGCAATATTCCAGCTATATGGCGGCGGTCTGTAAATAATCTAGTCTGGGCCAGACAGTCCAGTGATCAATACCATGAGCATCGATCTACGCAATTGGGAACCGATAACATGTGTCAACCAAGCCAGAGAACCTGACCTCCGATCCCGTTAGTCGCCTCTTACGACAAGCATGGGTTACTGAAGATCAATATTCTAACCCGGACCTCCACGGGTACGCACGGGTACTTGATGTAATGATACAACTGTTAATCTATGTGTTTCTGTTATTTTTTCTTCGGTTTCACGTTTCAGTCTGACACCTAACATTGTTTATGACAATAGGAGAGGTAGAACATCAACCGGATCTTTTAACACTTTCAGAAAATACATACCCACAAGTGACAGTGAGAGACACGTCGTGTCTCTGTGAGAGACTATTCTAATCCTGCAGATATCATATTACAGGCGTACCACAAAGCCTGTATAAAACTCGGTGTGGTAGTTGATCCTTTGTGCACAACACGTGCCACATTCAGGACACATTATCAGCACGATCACGCACATGCACAAATGTGTAATTCAGTCACGAAGAGGAAGCTATTCATAGATAAAAACAAAGCTGTTTCCGATTAATGATCCATATTTATCTTACGTAATGAAGTGTGTATCTGTCAATCAATGCCATGTCAATATCAGCTGAAACTACATGTAATTGAATGCCCCCCTTAAATTCATGGCTGACACCTTGTGTTCACAAAAAAGGCGAAGGGATTTATTCTATACTCCCCATGAAAAGTTTAGACTCACTAGTGTAAATGCAGCCACTTACTTCAGTAAACTGTTCTAAACTAGATTTTGCAAAATATTCTATAGTTTAAAGGTACTGTTTACACATGAATTGATGCATTGTAAAACAAATTTGTAACGTTGGAAAGATTATTGTCATGAGTTCAATAAATGATGAAACTCAGTGAAAATTGGCGAATTCTTAACAAAACTTTACACCAAAACGCAGCTGTTCACATGCACGTTATTTGCACATACTTTTCAGCAAGTTGATGCATGATCCTCTTGCAATTCATCTGCATAAGGTTTGCAGTTGGTTCCCCCAAGTTAGTGGAGAAATGTAACCACATGTCTATACATAGCATATAGTGAGTGTTTTAAGTGAGTCTAAACTTTTGATGGGAAGTATATTAATCGTCTCTGGCACAGTACAGTGTGTATCTTGCCCTCTTAATTTTAAAAAAAATATTTCATAAAAAAAAATATATCTGTCAAAATACCCGTTCAACAATCCAAAACGTAGAGTTTGTGCAGGGCTATCATAATGGTTACAACATTCACTCCAATGGGCACAGTTCAATTCACCATATGAAGCTGCATTATTGCTGAAAGTGGCATAAAAGCTTACTGATTCACTCACTCACTCACACTGAAAACAAAATATATAGTTCTGCATGCTCCAAAACACATAGAAGATACGTTTTTGAAACCTGTGATATATAAGAGTCATTTCTTAAATCGTTTAGAAGGAAGAGTAAAGTCTAGCTCTAAATCAAGATCATCCAGTTCGTCCTCCTTTTCTGTCACGGTAAACACAGGTGGTGGTTTGGCCTTGAGTTTCAGCAACCAGGCTGGGCTACTCTTGTGTGTCTGGGATACCGCAGAGTTAGCTCCCTTGCCCACGTCATCTGATGGAGAACACCCAATGGATGGTAGCCGGATATTTGAGTCTGTATTTCTCTCAACTGATTTATCTGGTACTGAAGTCTGAGAGCTGCTAAGTTGGGACAAGGATAGAGCAGCTGGCACTCTGAATGAAGAGTCTTTATTTGATTTGAACTCATGATTTGATATCATCTGATCTTGGTTAATTTTATCTGTTTCACTTTCAGAACATTTCTGCATATTCTCTTTGTTCTGTTGCCCTGAAATCCATAAATGCCCAGAAAGAATACTTTCAGAGACAACATCATACTCCGAACTTGAGTTCGAAACATTATGACTCACAGAATCCAATTTATGGAATGAGAATTTGTTGAGTTTATTCAGGGTTGATTGTGCAACAGTTCCTGGAGATTTCGTACATATTGGCTTCTCTGATGCAGTGGTTATGTTTCTTGTGGGAATCATCGTCTCTTTGCTTGAGTCAGATAAATCAAAACATGCTCGTTTCTTCTTCTTTGCAAAGTTTGGAAGAGGGTCATCCAAAATGTCATCAATGAAGCTTAAATCTGTATCCAGTGAAGAACTGGAAGATTTGGATTCTCTACATCCTGAACTCACTGAAGAAGGATTCATACCAGCTCCAGTTCTGCCACTTGAATCTGATAAACTCGAACCATCAGGACATTTCATTTTCTTCCTTGATCTTGATTTGTTTAATTTCTTTGAAGGCTCTAAAGACTCTCTTTCTTCATGATCAAGAATTCCATCAGTCATTGAGACTTCATTAGATGTTTTCCCTGAATCTAAATTCCGCTTTGTATTGGATGTCTGTACAAAGTCATCATCGTCCATGTTGTCGTCTGCTCCACTAGTTTGACCTTGATTCATTCTCTGTTTAACCTTGGCAGCCATTGATTTCTTGGCAGTGGGTTTCCTTTGATCTTTAGTATACACAAGTCTGCCATGATCTTTTTCAATGTTCTCTAATATATCTGCCTTGTTTGGAGTTGAAGCCATCCTTGGAATATTTGGCTTTCTGTTAAATTTGTCCAATCTATTTTTGATCATCTGGCTGACCATGGAATGTTGAGAATCCAATTCTGCAGATTTAATTTTCTCTTTCATGCCATGATTAGTTGGTTTGATAAATTTTTTGGATGGCTTTAAAAAGATATCCTCAGCATCTTCACTGCTAGAATTCAACAGGTCTGATAAGGAGGAGGAATTGAACAAATTTGACTGGTTTAAGCTGTTCTCACAAATCCTTCCCAGATTTCCTTCGCCAGAACCATTAGGCCCAGTTACTGCTGGGGTTGGCTTATCAACGACAGATGTTTCAGGCAGAACAGCTGATGCTGGGGTTGGCTTATCAACGACAGATGTTTCAGGCAGAACAGCTGATGCTGGGGTTGGCTTATCTACGACAGATGTTTCAGGCAGAACAGTTGATGCTGAATCTACATCATTACTGGGAGAGATATGTCTATCAGTAACCAGTGTTTCAGGAACAGAAGGTGATGAAGGTACAGAGGATGAGCTGTCAGTTATCCTAACAGTTTGTTCCCTGGTACTATTTCTACTTCCGTCCGTCAAGTTTATCTGTTCTGTTGAACATGTCCAGTCCTGTAATCCATTGTTATTGTCCCTGCCTCGATTAGACTTGTCAGTCAAAGACTGTTGCATTGTTTTAGATTTTGTTCCTGGGACCGGCCCAAGTTCATCATTATCCGTTCCAGATTTAACTGAATGATTAGGGACCCTCTGCCCTTCATCTTGTGCCATTGTATTTCTGTTTGTTGTCACCTCTTGGACATCTGACATCTCCCCTACATCTGATAAGTGGATAATCCCCCCTTGTTGCCCCCTGATTTGTTCCCCTTCACTATTCCTCACTTCTGACTCGACCCCCGAGCTGCCAGGGTCAGTGCCAGGTGCTCCAGCTGGTGGTTGGCCCCCATGTCTGTGTTGCTTGGCCTGCTGATACTCAGCCAGCTGGGTCCGCTCCTCCTCCAGGAGATCATGCAGGCCTAGGTGCTCCAGGATCAGCTCGGCTGGAACAGTGAGTGAGTTGATGAGATACAGTGTGGGTGAGTGAGTTCATGAGTTGCTGAGCGATAGTGTGGGTGAGTGAGGTGATGAGTTAATGAGAGAGTGTGGGTGAGTGAGTTCATGAGTCAATGAGAGATAGTGTGGGTGAGTGAGTTCATGAGTTACTGAGAGATAGTGTGGGTGAGTGAGTTCATGAGTTAATGAGAGAGATAGTGTGGGTGAGTGAGGTGATGAGTCAATGAGAGATAGTGTGGGTGAGTGAGGTGATGAGTTAATGAGAGATAGTGTGGGTGAGTGAGTTCATGAGTTAATGAGAGAGTTATTGATAGTGTGGGTGAGTGAGGTGATGAGTCAATGAGAGATAGTGTGGGTGAGTGAGGTGATGAGTTAATGAGAGAGTGTGGGTGAGTGAGTTCATAAGTCAATGAGAGATAGTTAGGGTGAGTGAGTGAGGTGATGAGTCAATGAGAGATAGTGTGGGTGAGTGAGGTGATGAGTCAATGAGAGAGAGTGTGGGTGAGTGAGGTGATGAGTTAATGAGAGATAGTGTGGGTGAGTGAGGTGATGAGTCAATGAGAGATAGTGTGGGTGAGTGAGGTGATGAGTCAATGAGAGAGTGTGGGTGAGTGAGGTGATGAGTTAATGAGAGATAGTGTGGGTGAGTGAGGTGATGAGTCAATGAGAGACAGTGTTGATGAGTGATAGGGGATGGGTGAGTGGATGGGCGAAAGAGTGAATGAGAGAGTAGGTGGATGAGTGAGTTGTTTTGATGAGTGAGTGAGGAGATGGTCATGGAAGGGTTAGTGATTTGGTAAGCAAGCAAGGAAGGATGATGAACAAATAAGTCAGTGAGTGGGTTGGATGATGGGTGGGTGAGTTAGTAGATGAGTGAATATATTGTTGCCACAAGTATTCCAGTACTGACTCAATCTGTAACTTGTTAGGTCAAACACAAGGGAGATATTTTTCACACAGAAAACAAGACAGCTTTTCAGAACATCCAGCTTATGAAGTGAATAAATTCTTTTTTTCTTTAAACCTCCGTCACAAAATCCAAGTCCTGATGACATACCAGTATTAAAGAATTTTACCAACTCTACCTTGAAGCCTGTATTCATCTTCTGCATCCTCTGGGAAGGCTGTATGTAGGGCGTTCACACCACCCAGCAGTGCTGCCCCCTGGAAACAGGGGAGATAGACACTGTTTAGGACAGTCTTACAGGTGAGGGGATATGTTTGTTTGGGACTTCTTACGGGTGAGGTAAAACTGCCTAAACAGACAATTCTGCTATTGAACTGCACCCAAAGATGCACATAAAAGCATATTCAAAAATGATAATCAATCAGTTTACTATTTGTTTGTTGTTTAACGCCATACTCAGCAATATTAGTAAAATCTAAATACTTTTTATATTTGTATACTTATCCTGCACTACTTACTTCCTGCACTTATTGCTTATGACTCGAAACGTGGCTGTGCCAGACGATTGATGTTGAAAGCATAGACTGTGATCACTTCCTGGTCTCGGGTAAACATCCGTCAGTGGTGACGTCAGCCACCTCAGATTATTGCCGTAAATCCCACAGATGAAAACAAAGCAGGGAAGTAAGTGAAAGCGCAGGGTGGGCCCTTATCATAAGAAGTGCAGGATAAGTATACAAATATATAAAATATTTAGATTTTACTAAATTTTTAACTAATCCTGCACTACTTACTTCCTGCACATTTATCGGACAGGCAGGATGGAGGGTGTGTCATCTGTGGGGATTGCCTCGCAAGGTAAACAAAGACATCTCGGTCAAGTTCGCCATGGTGGTGGAAAACCGCCGTCGCACCTAGATCAGGCAGTAGTATTACGCATATAAGACACGTAGTCTTAAATGGAATATACCAGAAGACTTTTAAAGTGTTATTAGCTTTAGGGAAATGTAGTAAAAAGCAGTGACTCAGGTTAACCCAAGCGTTACTCCTTAACTGACACGCCCAGTTGTTCTCCTGGAACAACTCTTTTCCCATACGTCGTCGGCGTGCTTCATGGGAAGAAAAAGCATGGTGGAAGGTATCTTCGTAGCACCTGGCAGAATAGTCAACAGACAGTGACTATCTCTCAGTGGTAATTCACATATAAGACATGTAGGCTTAAATGGAAAAGACCATGCAGTTTTTAAAGCGAGATTAGCTTTGGGGAAATGCAGTAAAAAGCATTGACTTGAGTTTTTCGAAGAGTTGCTCCTTAACTGACACACCCAGTTGTTTCCCTCGGAACACCTCTTCTCCCACAAGGCGACATCATGCCTCGTGGGAAGAAATATCATGAATGAAGACACCTTCGTGGAATCTGGAAGACTGGTCGACAGAGAGGGATTACATCTCAGTGGTAATTCGCATATAAGCCATGTACGCTTAAATGGAAAAGGTCACACGATTTTTAAAGCGTTATTAGGTTTAGGGAATGCAGTAAGAAGCATGGCCCTGAGTTTATCCAAGTGTTAGTCCTTTAACTAACATACCCAGTTGTTTTGCTCAAAACAACTCATTCCCCACACGACATCGCCGTGCTTCATTGCGAACAACAATGTAGGATGTGATATCCTTCGGGGATTGTTGAGGTGCTGGTCTGGCACCATGGTCTGAAGCGTTGGACACATATGGTGTGGATATTGATTGGCGAAGACTGTGTCCGACTTCTAGAAACACTCCTTGCATTATCAATGCCACTGTACAGGTACAGTGAAGCGCTACTGTACAGGGACAGTGAAGCGCCATCGTAGAGGCGATTGTAGCGAAGTACTGGAGGTTGGCGCAGATGTAGGGGAAACCAGATCAGCCGCATTATACGCATGAATAAAGGAAGTCCGTATCCACAAAACACTCGGGGTTTTGCTTACATGCCTCTGATGGCTTGAGTTCGCTTAATGTACAAACTGAGTACACCAGCTGAACACAAGAGGAACACAGGAACGTCTTCACGCTGACAACAGACGATATTGGCGAAATAGAGAACCGTCGATCATTTCGCCCTAAAGTTTGGCATGAAATGCATGTGGACCCGGTTGTTTGTAAATATCTCTTCATCCAATGACCCAATCGATCTCAAACTGTGCAAGTGGATGTTTTGTCAGACAACCTAATCACATTGTAAATCACCGATTTTGTGCATTGGTATTCGAGGATCTGTCTATGTAACTGTCAACAAAATAAACAGCAGAACGCAAACTGCTTGCAGAGGGAGGGAGCCAATGACCTGTAACAGCGGCAGTGTTGGGTCACTGGATATAGTGGAGGCGTCATATAGGTGCTGAATCTGGCAAAAACGCTGCTGGAACACAGTATTCAGAGTCCAACACTGTTCCATCGCAGTGTCTTCCTGCTGGAGTGAGTATTGGTTTATAGGCGCTAGATCTAGTAGAGGCGCCATACAGCTGGTAGCGCCGTACAGACGCTAGATCTAGTAAAGCGTACAGCTGGTAGCGCCCGTACAGGCCAGATCTAGTAGAGGCACCATACAGCTGGTAGCGCCGTATAAGCGCTAGATCTAGTAGAGGCCCATACAGCTGGTAGCGCCCGTACAAAGCGCCAGATCTAGTAGAGGCTAATACAGCTGGTGGTGCCGTACATTGCCGCCAGATCTAGTAGAAGCGCACCATACAGCTGGTACCGCATGTTACAAGCGCTAGATCTAGTAGAGGCACCATACAGCTGGTAGCCCATACATTACAGGCCAGATCTAGTAGAGGTGCCCGTACAGCTGGTAGCGCCGCATGATCTATTAGCTAGATCTAGTAGAGGCTGCCATACAGCTGGTCGGGCGCCGCATTAGCGCTGAAATAGATCGCCGTACAATAGCTAGATCTAGAGAGGCCCATACAGCTGGTGGTGCCGTGCAGGCGCTTAGATCTAGTAGAGGCACCATACAGCTGGTGGTGCCGTGGCGCCAGATCTAGTAGAGGCCATACAGCTGGTCGCCCGTATAGGCGATAGTAGAGGCCATATCTATAGCTAGAGGTACAGCTGGTGCCCGGCAAGCCGCTAGATCTAATTGAGCCATACAGCTGGTGGTGCGATATGCCAGATCTAGTAGAGGCCCATACAGTTGGTGGCAGCCATACAGGCTTAGTGGTAGTAGTAGCCCGTACAGCCTAGATGAGTATACCGCTGGCTAGGCGCCATACGCAGATACATCTAGTAGAGGCGCCATACAGCTGGTGGTGCCGTACAGGCTAGATCTAGTAGAGGTGCCGTACAGCTGGTGGTAGCCGTGCAGGCGCCAGATCTAGTAGAGGCACCATACAGCTGGTTGCGCCGTACAGGCGCTACATCTAGTAGAGGCGCCATACAGCTGGTGGTGCCGTACAGGCGCTAGATCTAGTAGAGGCACCATACAGCTGGTGGTGCCGTAGAGGCACTAGATCTAGTAGAGGCCATACAGCTGGTAGCGCCGTACAAGCTAGATCTAGATCTAGTAGAGGCCGTACAGCCGGCTGGTAGGGCCGTTACAGGGCTAGATCTAGTAGAGGCCATACAGCACAGCTGGTAGCGCCGTGCAACAGCTAGATCTAGTAGAGGCCAGTACAGCTACAGCTGGTGGTGCCGTTACAGGCTAGATCTAGTAGAGGCTCCATACAGCTGGTAGCGCCGTACAAGCGCTAGATCTAGTAGAGGCGCCATACAGCTGGTAACGCCGTACAGGCGCTAGATTTAGTAGATGCGCCATACAGCTGGTAGCGCTGTACAAGCGCTAGATCTAGTAGAGGCGCCATACAGCTGGTGGTGCCGTACAGGCGCTAGATCTAATTGACAGGACAGGCGCTGGAGTGAGTAGGCGCCGTTTTATAGGAGTGAGCAAGTGAGTATGGTGTTATAGGCGCCATACAAGCGCTGGATCTGGTGGAAACGCCATACAGGCTCTGGAGTGAGTAAGTATGGTTTACAGGCACCGTACAGGCGCTGGATCAGGTAGACCATACATTTGCTGTAGTCAGGAACGAAGCTGGAACAGGTAGGTATGGCGATGGAGACGCTGACACCAACTGCTGAACGCAGAGGTCATAGTCGATTTGGTAGATGCGCCGTACAGGCGCTGCAGTCCCTGCTAACTAGGTCAAGTGTGGAATGGATGTCGAAACATCCAGTGACTGCTGAGCGTGCGGCGCATGGATCTTAGGCGTCAGGAGTATGACGCCTGCCATTCTCTGAAAACAGCAACCTGGAGAATGGAGACGGAGCGGCAGACGCCCTAGAGTTAGTGGACATCAGTGGTGTGGCAAGAATCTGGGTGCTTGCCATAGGCGACATCGGTGTTGGACCTGGCGCTTCATAGACAGAAAAAAGGTGTCAAGATGATATATTAAGAAAGCGCAACAAGCACATTCATTCATGTGAAAAACAGGGAAAAACAGGGAAAAGTGCAATTCAAACAGCATGAATGAAGGCACTTATGAGATACCCCGCCTTTACAAACTATACAGCAAACGCCTCACAAATACTGATAGAAACTGCAACATAGCAGAAACCCCAGCAAACCACGGTGAAAACATTACAATAGTAATGAGGAACACACGGGAAATTCAGCAACATAATTGAGAACAAACGCCTCACAAATACTGACAAGATTGGAGACCAGAATTAAGGCTTAATATAACCATTAGGCTATAATAGTATAACAAATAAGCATGAGCCAAGAACAAGCCACTACTGAATACATCGGGCTTCACATGTTCTGAATGGCTTAAGGACCGATAATAGTGATGAAAACTATCGTGTTTAACACAAACACCATCACTACAACAGTACTACAACAAAGAAACAGAAGGGTAATACCTACACCCTCTGAAAAACAAAGGAAAACACCCAAAAGTCAGTTTATTATCAATAAACACAATTCATAGGATACAAATCAGTCGAGCTGGCAAACCACACGTCTTGCGAGGCATGCGAAAAGCAATAATCTGAGGTGGCTGACGTCACCTTCCGGTGATGCGTGCGCAGACGGATGTTTACCCGAGACCAGGAAGTGATCACAGTCTACACTTTCAACATCAATCGTCTGGCACAGCCACGTTTCGAGTCGTAAGCAATAAGTGCAGGAAGTAAGTAGTGCAGGATTAGTTAAAATTTCCAGTTCCATGGAGGCAGCAGTTTACTGATTGCCTGGCTGGGACGGTCAACCAACATTATGGCTGTGAGATCTCTGATTTCTGTGTCCAAAGGGCCTTCGCAAATTAAGGTCTTGCAGCATACATTTGTCAACTTTATGAAAGACATGCACTATACTGCTTCAATAATATGGCAGGTAATCAAAAATCAAAATCTCTATCCACCAGCCTGCTACCCATGTCTGTCAGCCTCCCACCTACATACCTGCATAGAAGACTCCATCACTGTGACGGCAACTACAGCATCCTGAACCAACACCTCATCTCGGAACATCAGACGCGCATGAGCTGGAATAACCCAGTTGAAGAATATTATCCCACACAGGTTAATGATATTATCCCACACAGGTTAATGATATTATCCCACACAGGTTAATGATATTATCCCACACAGGTTAATGATAGTTATACATTTATCATCCAAAACTGTGTTCCACAGGAGATATCGCATGTGTGAGATCATATGATATCTCCTAGGGGATATCGTTTTGACAGTAGATTTTGTACAATGCCCTGACAATGCTATGACGTCATCAAGTTCATGACATCACAATGCTATGACATCGCTGCACTGCAAATCTAATTGTACAGTGTTGAGAGATGTACATTTTTCATTGAAAACTAACTCATGTTGATATAATTGATATCCTCGGCAAGCCTAGTAACTTTATCAACTCGGGTGAGATTCTCTATTTATTCCACTTCTATTTGCAATCAAGAGATTTTGACAACAAGACAGGAATAGAAACAATGGATGCTGCCCTCCTGAACATACCATTCCTCTCGCACATCCTCAGTCTCGCACACCCTATCCAACAACAAACCACCTCACAGCACACCATTACATCACAATCGCATAGGTTTGAATGAGTGAGTGAGTGAGGTTTACAACACTTTTAGCAATTTCCCAGCAATATCATTGCGGGGGACAACACAAATGGGCTTCACACATTGTATGTGGAGAATCCAACTTATGTCTTCAGGCAGACAAGCCACCGCTTGTACCACTAGACTACCCTTTCACCCCTTAAAAGAAAATTTGTACATACACATCACAGAATGCAAGGAATCCAAAGATACCCATAAATCACGATCTTCAAGAGAAGAAACATCAGAATATGCAATCCAAAGGGAGATAAATCCATAACCATTAGTGCTGGGAATTGGTCAAAATCTCATTATTGATGATTGGTTCATTACAACCGATCAATCATCGAAAATAATTGGTTAGCGTCATTTATGAAATTTTCCTGATTATTTTTGTTAATGGACAAAAAAAAAGAAAGAAAAAACCCTGTAGTTCTTTGGTGCTTTTGCAAATTGCACAAAAGGCATTGGCAAATTTCACATCTTTAAAGGATGACTAGTAGGTTAGGAACATTAATTTCTTGGAGTCTTGAAGATAAATTCAACCATGACTTGGAACGAGCTTGTAGTGGTCATGAAATGTAGCAGACAAAACCAACCTTGTGAAAAATATTGTTAATGCAAACAAGTGTTCCAGAATTGTTTGTGTTCGATTATGAGAAAACATGATCGATTGCTTGGTCGTTTTGTCACTGCGACCAATCTTCGACTACTTCAATTAATCGGACCACCACTAATAACCATGTAACATAGACCACAAGATAGTATATCCATAATCTATTTTACATAATTATCACAGCAGTGGATAGTTAAAGTCAATAGTAGGATTAAGATCCATGGAAGATAGTCAGATCTGTGCCATATTAGCACTTAGACCTTCACTCGTAGACCAACTTCAGTATGTCCTCTCATTATGGGTTGTCAGATGCTTAAGAAGCATCCATTGTTTTCTCGCTAATCACATGAACAAGTTATAACACCTCATTAACTTATAAAAGACAACAATATTTACACAAGGCATTTCCTAAGTATTACAATGTCTGCAACACACCTCTTCTTACACACTATTTTCCAAAACTGTATCACTGTCGGAAAACATTTAAACTGACAATAGATATTACTCTTAAAAATCAAGTCTCATCTTCAGTGGCTTGACCCTGTCTGACCTTGAGCTAGGCGGATCATGCTCTGTAACAACCTCATGGTAGTTCTGGCAGCGTTCCGGTCATCAGCACTTCGCTGGGCTCGGTAGTAGGACCCCAGCACCCTGAAGTGTGAGGGAGAGGAAACATGAGAATCAGGAGTGGCACCAAGAAATATAACAAATACTGCTCCACTATTTTCCTTTCAGGGACTTTGTGATCAGTTACAGAAACCTTCCACAGGAATCAGGGTCCAGTACTGAACTTGGAATATTGCTGGCTCACCTCACTGCTCCGTCAGTCAGCTGTGGTGTGATGGTCTTGATGAGGGCAAAGTATGCCTGCATTTTCTCCATACTCCACAGGGACTTAAGGTCAAGGTCACCTGAAACAATCGCATTGGAATCTATGATGACGACAGCAGCAATCATCTCTGATGATTGTAAGGATAAGGTCTTGATAATGCGATGGTGAAATATGTACACTGACTAGACTATAGGCTGTGGTCACTGTAACTTTGTATACACATAGATTATCATTATCATTATCAACCATGTGGGGCGGTGGGGTAGCCTAGTGGTTAAAGCGTTCCCTTGTCACGCTGAAGACCCATGTTTGGTTCCCCGTGTTTGGTGTGTAACAGGAATCCTCTATGATTACCTAAAGATCTTTACTCACTCGTGGTTTTTAGAAATGATCTACCAATGATACTAATCATACACAGCCGCCATTGTGCACATCTGAACCACACTTAAATCTTCTTCAGGTTGTATTAGTCTTCAGGTGATGATAACCGCCCAGAGAGCCGGAAGAGTCCGCCGGAATCCCCCCGGCGTCATACCAAAAGACGTTAAAATATGGTACTTGTTGGTCCCTGCCTGGCGCTCGGCATTAATGGGTACAACAAGGACTGGTCGGCTCGGAGTCAGTATAATGTGTCTGAGTGGGGTATTCATGCTTCACTGCGGCATGGTATCTCAGTGGGCTAGCACTATAAAACCAGCTTAAGTCTGGGCTAGTACAAGCAGCTGTACATACACATACACATGCATGCACGTCGTCATATGAGCAAAATATTCTCAAGCACGACGTTAAACCCAATTTCACCTCACCTCACCTCAAACAGCAAGGACTTATTGTAAGGGGAGTTTCTGTTGTTTTCTTCACTACATTTGGTAATGAAAGACAAATGTCAAAGCAGGTGACTAAGGAAAGGGTGAAATTCAAAGTGAGTTCAGAAAAGTAATGCATAAAGCATTATCTATTCAAAATGAGCATTCAGGTCACGGATCTCCTTCCCAAGTTCCTGGTTCCAAGCCCATTCCAGTCTTTTGCCATGATATTGCTGGAATATTGCCCAGTGGCCTAGAAACCTGACTCATTCACCCACTCCACACACACATCATACCCAAAGGGTCCTTGTGTTCCAGGATGTAAGAGGAGACAACTCTGTCCCAGTCCTCGTTCTGCGAGTCCAGAAGGACCAGTACAAGGTCAAAACGGCTCAACAGAGGGCTAGCCAGTGCCACGTTCACACAGATAGACTGGAACCAGAGATTCATCAAATAATGTAATATACGCACATATATCACCTTAAGATATACCTAAATACAATACTCAGAAACCTAATTGAGTCCATACCATAAAATTACTGGTCATACACAAGATACCCTGGAACCAAAGTCAGACTCTCATCACATGCTTTTAATGCTTGATTTATGAAACTTAGAAATTATCTAAAAATGCAACAACAAAGTTAAAGATCTATTTACAGATCTTGTTATCAGTAAAAGTCACATCAACACAGCAATAACATCAGTTGAATATTATGTGCTTGGATACTCGGAATTCCAATTTGGAAATGTTTTGGACATTTGCTTAATTCCTCACATGGGTACAATGTGTGAAGACCATTTCTGATGTCCCCACTGTGCTATTGCTGGAATAATGCTAAAAGCGTCATAAAACCATACTCACTCACTCACTGCTACAGACTTAATACAGACCAAGTAATAGCCTCTGAGAAAGTCACAAACCACAAATGGATTTGTTCCTGTGTACAACATTGGATTTGGAAACTTTAAAGAATCAAACATCAATAACTTAGGTGTGAAGCTACAGTGACTTACCTGGTCTGGGTCATAGTGACCTTTAGGGTTTGTAGCAGCCAGGATTGTCGTTCTTGTACTCAGCTTACACACCATCCCGGCCTACAAGACACACACACTTGTATTACAGATGCTTAGGCAACACTTAGGTTACTAATGTAAATCTTGCAATTTATGCCAGAATGAATTATATGCAAAAAATTGCAAGTGGTCTTGGCTTGTATTAATTAAAAGTCGCAAGTCACAAATAAATTTTTAAAATGACTCACTGATTTTTTATGTAAAACCCTAAATCATGTGAAGTTGGGGTGAAAATTGGACATACCCCCTAGTGTATGAAGTAAAACAAAACCATATCATACTTTTGATGTCACCATTAATTTTCAAATGTAAGCAATTTGGGGTGTCAATACAATTCGTCCAGTACTTGTCAATACTGACTGACTGACTGAGTTTGGTTTTACGCCGCTTTTAGCAATATTCCAGCTACCTGGGTCTTCGGCGTGACGAGCCAACGCTTTAACCACTAGGCTACCCCACCGCCCGAAATTCGTCCAGTACTTGTCAATACAACTCGTCCAGTACTTGTCAATACAATTCATTAAGTACTTGTCAACACAACACGTCCAGTACTTGTCAATAATTGTCAATACAACATCCAACTCGTCCAGTACTTGTCAGTACAACTCGTCCAGTACTTGTCAATACAATTCGTCCAGTACTTGTCAATACAACTCGGCCCAGTACTTGTCAATATTAATTCGTACTTGTCAAGTACTTGTCCCAGTACTTGTCAATACAATTCGTCCAGTACTTGTCAATACAATTCGTCCAGTACTTGTCAATACAACTCGTCCAGTACTTGTCAATACAATTCATCCAGTACTTGTCAATACAACTCGTCCAGTACTTGTCAATACAATTCGTCAACAGTACTTGTCAATACAATCAGTCCAGTACTTGTCAATACAACTCGGCCAGTACTTGTCAATACAACTTCGTCCAGTACTTGTCAATACAACTCTCCAGTCCAGTACTTGTCAATACAATTCATCCAGTACTTGTCAATACAATTCATCCAGTACTTGTCAATACAATTCATCCAGTACTTGTCAATACAACTCGTCCAGTACTTGTCAATACAATTCTCAGTCTTGTCAGTACTTGTCAATACAACTCGTCCAGTACTTGTCAATACAACTCGTCCAGTACTTGTCAATACAATTCGTCCAGTACTTGTCAATACAACTCGTCCAGTACTTGTCAATACAAACCCGTCCAGTACTTGTCAATACAACTCGTCCAGTACTTGTCAATACAACTCATCCAGTACTTGTCAATACAACTCGTCCAGTACTTGTCAATACAACTCGTCCAGTACTTGTCAATACAATTCGTCCAGTACTTGTCAATACAACTCGTCCAGTACTTGTCAATACAACTCGTCCAGTACTTGTCAATACAATTCGTCCAGTACTTGTCAATACAACTCGTCCAGTACTTGTCAATACAATTCGTCCAGTACTTGTCAATACAACTCGTCCAGTACTTGTCAATACAACTCGTCCAGTACTTGTCAATACAACTCGTCCAGTACTTGTCAATACAACTCGTCCAGTACTTGTCAATACAACTCGTCCAGTACTTGTCAATACAACTCGTCCAGTACTTGTCAATACAACTCGTCCAGTACTTGTCAATACAACTTGTCATCACAACTGCCCAGTACTTGTCAATACAACTCGTCCAGTACTTGTCAATACAACTCGGCCCAGTACTTGTCAATACAACTCGCCCAGTACTTGTCAGTACTTGTCAATACAACTTCGTCCAGTACTTGTCAATACAACTCAGTACTTGTCAATACAACTCGTCCAGTACTTGTCAATACAACTCGTCCAGTACTTGTCAATACAACTCGGCCCAGTACTTGTCAATACAACTCAGTCTAGTCCAGTACTTGTCAATACAACTCGTCCAGTACTTGTCAATACAACTCGTCCAGTACTTGTCAATACAACTCGTCCAGTACTTGTCAATACAACTCGTCCAGTACTTGTCAATACAATTCGTCCAGTACTTGTCAATACAACTCGTCCAGTACTTGTCAATACAACTCGTCCAGTACTTGTCAATACAACTCGTCCAGTACTTGTCAATACAACTCATCCAGTACTTATCTTGACCGTCAAAGCACATATAATTTTGAAACTTCATTAATGTTCTGTAAGATATGAAATGCTGTATTCTAAATAGAGATTTTTACACAAGCATGTGTGTCTCACAAAACAAGTGTCAGAATTCTTGTGTTTCAAGAGAGAGAAGGTAATTTGTGAACTAAAAAGATTCTGTAAATTCAGTATGCCACACATGTGCATTATTTCTTAATCATTTTTATCTCCCCTTTTAGGAACATGCACTTACCACAACCACCTTCAAATTATCAAATGACAATTCATCGTTGGCGGTTCTTCAAGAGAACATTATTCTGACCTTATGTAACAGTAAGATGTGAACAACGCCATCCCAATGTCATAAACGATGCACCAATAAGTGATTTGATTTTTGTTACCTAATATATTCTTGATGGGTAATGAAAAACATTATGCTATTTATTTCACAACTACAATCCTGTAACATATTTTGTCATAAAAAGTATTAACAGTTGCACTGAAATTTCATCATAACAGACAAGGGTTCCGATCCACAGAGCATTCATTGCGTTACGATCTATCGTAAGTCTATTGTATATCATTGGCTTACGAACAATGTAGTGCTACGAATGCCATGTGGATAGGGCCTGACAGCTAAAAAATACAAGTAATAAATTATTTACCGGTACTCAACATTCTCAAGGATGACAACTGAACTAAACTAAATGTGGCATTCCCTGAACACATCCACCCACCTTGGCTACACTGATAGTCTGCTGTTCCATCGCCTCGTGAATACTGGCCTTGTCATGTTCCCGGATACTGTTGAACTCGTCAATACAACACAACCCTCCATCAGATAGAACCAGGGCCCCCGCCTCCAGCTGCCACTCCCCCGAGTCCTGCCGACAAAAAATGTCATGTGACCAGCTATACACAGATACTACTTCCCCGACACAACACTCCATCAGCCAGAACCAGGCCCCCGCCTCCAGCTGCCACGCCCTCGAGTCCTGCCGACAAAAAATGTCATGTGACCACCTATACACAGATACTTCTTCCCCGACACAACCCTCCATCAGCCAGAACCAGGGCCCCAGCTGCTCCAGCTGCCAAAAAATGTCATGTGACCACCTATACACAGATACTTCTTCCCCGACACAACCCTCCATCAGCCAGAACCAGGGCCCCCGCCTCCAGCTGCCAATGTCAGGTGGCTGAGTGGGTTAGATCGCTGATATTGTGTGCTGGCAATGGGTTATGACCTGGATGACTGTGTTGACTGCTCTGACTAAGATTAGATTGTTCAAAAGACCTTTCCTAGTTTTCATTCACCCAATGAAAGAGCTACAATAATCTGTCAAACATCATGTTCCTTAGAATAAAATTTGTTACACCCACAATTTTCACCTTTATGTGTATCAAATCTTAATTCCACTCAAAGACTATAAAGGGGGGCAATCAATGCCGACAAGTTTGCTCCTCACCTTGACTGCCGTGACCGTCAGTCCAGCGCTGGTGCTGCCTATACCGGTAGTGAGAACCGATCGCGGGGTGATCTTGGTGTCGTACTTGAGAAACTGAGACTTCCCTGTACCTGGATACAGAAAGACAGGAGAAATAGGGGTTACTTGTGACATTGCAGACTTGCATGTGTATATTCATACATGCATAAAGCACTATCTATTCAAATTGAGCATTCAGGTCACGGATCTCCTTCCCAAATTCCTGGTTCCAAGCCCATTCCTGATTTGTTACAAGTGATGGATTAGTTTCCTTTGTTTAACACCACACACTCAGCAATATTCCAGCTATATGGCGGAGGACTGTAAATAATCGAGTCTGGACCACACAATCTAGTGATCAACATCATGAGCATTGATATACACAGTGTCAACCAAGTCAGCGAGCCTGACCACCTGATCGATTTAGTCGCTCTTACGACAAGCATGGGTTGCTGAAGACCAATTCTAACCCGGATCTTCATGGGTGACAAGCATGGCTTGCTGAAGACCAATTCTAACCCGGATCTTCATGGGTTGATGGGTTAGTAGGATGTGTTCATCTTGATCACACTACAGATAATTTTGATATTTAGATCTGAGTAAAGATCTCCCCACTACTGCCACTGCCAACAAAATGCCTCCCTGAGACCTAGCACACATGGCACATAGACTCATACACAGGATGCATCACACACTATACAACCCTCCAGACTGGTTTAAATATAATCAATGTTAGGATACGCAGGATGCAGCGTAAATCCATCACTCAAGATGGTCACTGCAAGTTCAAGTGGAAATGATGCTATTATCGTAATTATCACAAAGAAGTGGAAATGATTTCAACATTTGAAAGAAGAAAATGTCCACATGATATTTCAAAAGTCAACAGCCTTTATATTGTAATCTCCATATTTTCTGTCAACTCACCAGGATCCCCAACCAGCAGCAGGTGTATTTCTCCTCGCACCTTGGATCCACTGTCATCAACTCTCTGGTGAAACAAACACCCAAACATCAAAAAATACATCATGACATTTCATCATATTAACCCATTGGTGTTATGGGATAACACCATATTAACCTGTTAGTGTCATGAGATACCGTGATAATAACCTGGTAATGCCAAGGGCAATTATCCTTTTGATTTGTTAATGTCATGGGATAACATCATATTAACCTGTTTGTGTCATGGGATAACATCATATTAACCTGTTTGTGTCATGGGATAACATGATGTTTACCTGTTTGTGTCATGGGATAACATACTAACCTGTTTGTGTCATGGGATAACATCATATTAACTTGTTTGTGTCATGGGATAATACCATAGTAACATATTTCTGCCATGGTTCACTGTCATAATAACATCATACCTACCTGAACACCACCTGCCATCACCATGGCAACAGCTAGCTTGACAACATAGAGCCCATACACCTGAGGACAGAAACTGGCCAGAATTTTATTTCTGGCAGTGAATGGTTCCATTTTGTGCTCGTCCCAAAATGCCACAATCTCCGATTTCTGAAACCAAGATAAAAAAAGTAAAACGTTTATTACACAGAAGTCAGGCTTACTTCATCTTCCATCAAACTCTATCCTGTATCAGGACTCTATTTAAACGTAAAAGGAGCCTAAATTTGTGGGAAATCTAGATTTCTCCTTTAGGGCTCTATCATAAAAGTAAGGGAAAACAATATGGTTCAGGGGCTATGAGACAGACTATAAAAGTGAATGACCAGATGTAATAATTTAACTAAACAATGACAAAAGTTGGCTGTGGAATACATTCAATTGAAAATCCGAATCAAGTGTTTTCAAATTGTAGTTATTATCGTAGAGGTACAATAATTGAAAATCACAGACATAACCGGCCAAACACATAAGAATATGATATCACAACCAACTAACTTCATCACCAATGTAGCTAATTCCTACGAACCATCTCCTGCGTGATGAGAACAGAGTTTCTCTGTTCGTTAGTGACAAGGACGTGATTGGCCTTCAAGACGATCTCGATGTCACACTTGCTGTCAGCTGACAGGTTCCTCCAACGTCGCATCACTGTCCCACTGGAGAAGAGACAAAAGAAGTAGAATTCTCATCAATTAACACTATGCATTTATCAATTATTAATAACACAACATTTCATTCAAGTTTGAGAGTTATATGGACAAATGCTTCAAGACTTGCAGTCAATTTTCAGGGTCTGTGACCTACCAGACAGTGATGTCATCTCCAGCCTTGCAGCTGTCCACCAAGTCGTCTTCCAGCACTACCCACATTGAGACTCCCACTCACACCCTGCCCTGTGACCTACCAGACGGTGATGTCGTCTCCAGCCTTGCAGCTGTCCACCAGGTCGTCCTCCAGCACCACCCACATGGACCGGGGGATCGTCCCCACCGCCAGGCGCTGCGCCTGCTCCTGAATCTTGATCTCCTGGTAGTTCCGGGCACTTGACAGGAGGGGCACCTGCACACCACCAGGATTTACAGCACACAGTAAACTATCTTTATAATGAACTCAAAGGGACCTCTAACTACAGTTCATTATAGCTGGAGACTACACTAAGACTAGAGAATCAGCAGAAACTGGTTCTTGAAAAGTTTCCATTACTATTTACATCTGTCACATCAGTAAAACTTAGAATGCAATGTATCGTAAGTACTGCAATACAAGTTTGGGTGACTATTGAGGGGGAACAACTATTGCGATAGCTATAGTCTCTTGCAACATACTATTGCGATATTGATACCAACTATTGCAATACTATTGCAACAGTTTTTTCTCCTTGAATTGTTTTATTTGAAGTCATTTCCCAAATGAATGTATAGTTTATATGAAATAAAAACAAGCTTAAGTAGTCTCACTCTCTTTTCATAACTGACAAGAAACCCAGATCAAGTTTGTTTCAGAGGTAACAGGGGCATATAACTCTAAATCAAAGTGAACGAATCTGGTACTTCCTGTATTTTGGCTGCGCATTTATCAATGGAAGTCAGTTACTAAACTATCGATAGTCAAACATACTATCGATCCATCAATAGTTTTTCGTTTCTACCATCGATTAATTGCTATCGGAGACTCAACATTTGCAATCCATCGATAGTTCAATGCATCGTTACAGCCCTAAATACAGGAGTGGTATATCAATGTATTGTATCATAAGCCTTGTTTGTGATACAACATTGTATTACCGTAACGTTACATCGCTAAGCAACATGCTGACAGTTGGATTGGATATCTTTGTCGTTTTATTTCTCTTGATGCAAGCTGAATGTACAGGGGTGGAAATAACTTTAATATTGCTAGTGTACTCCCGGTACAGTGGCACATGTAAAATCACTTGCCCTGATAATTTTTCCACTATACCGGCCGTTTTCTTGTTGTTTTTTTAAAATAAACAACATAATTAACATTGGAATATCAACTGGACACCAGTACAATGTGATATACAAATTTGCTTGCCCGAGAGTAAAAGACACTTGACTCGGGCATCGGGCAATGGGTTATTTCCACCCCTGATGTAAGACAAAAACGCATGTGAACATTCACAAAGAGATAACAAAATACCTTGATCGCTGAGTGTGGTGAAGTTCATAGAGTTACACGCCTCGTTAGTGCACTTTGATGGTTTGACCATTGAATAGAACTGCTCGAAGTCGGCCTGGTAACAGACAGAACAATTATTAACTACTTCAAATAACATAGATTACATGCACATATTTCTGCTTCTTACAACAAACATGGGATTGCTGAAGACCAGTTCCAAGCCAGATCTTCACAGGATCATAGTAAGTAAACAATGATGTCTGTTAACATTAAAACTGTTAATCTACATGAACATTATAATTTTCCCATCAATAGCATCTGCAGTGGCAGTTTCCGAATTAACACTCTACGAGTGACGGTAGACATTAACGTCACTTAAATCATTTATACATGTTCCCTAAAGTAACAGTTTTTGCCCTAAGCATAAAAATGTAGGAGTCATCATGACTCCCTGGTGTCATGAGAGGGAGTCCTTGACATGTCTTTGGGAGTCAATTTCAGTTTGGAACTTTCATCAAGACATCAACTGTGATTGTTTAATAACGACAAAAAAGAAGGTAAGGCAGGTCAGGTATTTAATCAGCACTGAGCAGTTAACAGGCAAACATTTAGTTTTAGAAGTTTAGATTATCTGAACTAAGGGCCCAGTAGCATTGCGTAAACAATGACACAAGCTATAAATTAACTGCATATATGAGATAATATGCAGGTTTTCTGCATCAGGTCAAACACTGAAGTAATCAACTGGAAACTAACCTTGACGCTGAAGACTGTCCTACACTTGGTACAGATAAATTCTTTCTCATATTCTAAAATTCGAACAACTGTTGCCCTGATCACAGTCCCTGAAAAGAATAAACACACAGAGATATTTCATGCTGAACTGAAACAATGTTCACATAGCAACAAAGTGGTCAGGATAAAAGGAACAAGTAATTATAATGGACAACCACACTGAAACAAGAACAAACTCAGAACTAAATTATAACAATAAACAGAAAAAAGTGAAGGTTTTACAAATATATTAGGAGCTTAAATATTTTAGGTGATGTTTATATAGTTGGGGATAGGAGAAAGAAAAATTATTTAAAAATATTTATTTTATTAAGTTAAACCAAATCATCTGCTTTCTTGTGGTCTGTGATTTTTGCCACTGGTCAACCATCAGAGTCTAGTAAACTCCTTTTCTTCAATTAAAAACTACTGTTAATCATGAAACAGCAAACATTTTGGCTAGCGCATTTCACCAATAACTGACAACAGACACATCCTTTTGGACTAATGATAACAAGACTGCAATTCTTGAAACAGGTGAGATAAATGGGAAATTAGTTCATCGTCTACCAATTTTTAATGAGTGAGTGAGTTTGGGTTTACACCACTTCTAGCAATATTCCAGCAATATCACGGTGGGGGTCACCAGAAATGGGCTTAACACATTGTACCTTGTGGGGATTGAACCCGGGTTTTTGGCGTGACGAGCGAACGCTTTAACCACTCGGCTACCCCTCCTCCCCATATTTTTAATGAGTAGAATATCAAATACATATGGTATCACTACAATATTGATGTTTGCATCAACAATTCAGAAATTACAGAATTATTAGATTAATTAAGAAACTGTATTTCTTTTCTAAGATGACAAATTTAATACTTTCTAAGGATAATTACGATTAATTTAAGGCAGAAAGCAATTGACGGTGTCGGTGACCTAAATTAAGAATCCTCGCACAGGGCTAACTGACGCTCTATTGATGTGTCTGTCCCCCTACGTTAAGACAAACGTTACCAGAAAAAACAAATGATAACAGTTTGATGGCGGTTTACGTTCGGATTAAATATCTTCTCTGAATTATTTTAATTACATCTGTCATCAACGTAAACCATATGGGGCAATATGAACGTTGCATTTCTACTACCAATGTAAGTTTAGATCAGTACATCCAGACGAAGCTGAGTAGTCAAGCGACATTCCACGATTGCATTGTGGGAATGTGAACATTGCGAACGTTACCGTGTCGCTGAAAATTTGTGAGTCGAATTGACACATTTTAACCATCATAAAACATAAACGCAATGTTTCCACCAGTGAGCAACTGCAAACCAAGAAACGGGATGCAAAGGAGTAGTTTACTGTAGGAGGCCGTATGAGACGATGACAACTGACATGCATCGTGACGTCGCTTACATTGTGACGTAATGTAAAATGGTTCGATCACGAGGGGGCACACTAGAATGGCGCAGTGACGGGATAACGTCATTCAATTGTTACCTCATAAAAAAACTCTACCTTTATTGTCTGATAATGTATTTTTTTTCTCAATTGTTGTAACCGCTAGGCATCTTAGAAATTACAGGAAAACCTTTTTGATAGATTGGTTGTACAAAGGCAAATTTCTGTACATTTTCTTGTTGTTACATTATTTCTCCAACAGAGAAGGACATCGTGGTAATTATAACATAAATACCTGTCACAGAGAGGAAGCTGCCAACGTCCGATGTCCTGGGAAGCGTGGTGCGGGTCAGCTCAGGACAAACGGGGAGGCCCATCACTCGAGCATGAATGTTCTGTTTTACCGTCTGGTAGGAAACAATAAATAAAGAATATACAGCTATACATGGAAATTGAGTGTAACTATCAGAATAAATCTCTAACTGTTCATCAGGACTAAAAACAGGTCTCTTAAAACGACATTTCAGGTTCATACATAAAAAAAATAATTTCATAGTATCTGAGTTACTTGGGCTGACTGACTGACTGATTTTAGTTTTACGTCGCTTTTAGCAATATTCCAGCAATATCACGGCGGGGGACACCAGAAATGGGCTTCACACATTGTGCCCATGTGAGGAATCAAACCCGGGTCTTCGGCGTGACGAGCCAAGGCTTTAACCACTGGGATACCACACCGCCCCCGAGTTACTTGGGAGAAATATAATAGTATTAGTAGATTTAAAAGTTTAAGACTGTGTTTCTTCTTTGATTGGCATTCTAGAAGTTGAAACGATAAAATGAGGACAATTTTTTTATAATATATAACTTCTTTATTCTGTATAGGCGACATTTCGACACAGATTTTAAACTTGACAACAACGTTAGAATCCATGTCGAAACGCCACCTATACAGAATAAAGAAGTTGTATATCCATACAAATATTGTCCTCATTCTTTAAGATTGTGGTTTAAATTATCCACAAGTAAATGGCACTATTTAAATCAAAACTCATTGTCATCATGTAAACCGTGCTCCCTGCTACTGATATGTGGATACTTTGGAAAACAATTTACATTATAGGAACAGAAAAGCAAGATTTATGGATGTCAACTTCTTTATTGTGAATAACACGACATTTCGGAGTGTATGCTTGCTCCTTCGTCAGGAACACTTTTAGAATACAGCACACAACCTCTCATGCGACAGTTTCTGTCGTAGGTCACGTGTCACTAAGATAAGCAACCAGTTGTACATATCTATTCTGTTAAAATACACAGGCAGATTAATTACCATTCTGTGTTGAGCTTCATGCTCAGATTTTACAGTCTCCTGTACAATCACCAGAGTCTCATCAAACAGTGACAACAGTTTCAATGGGGATGCCAGGAGTACCTCACAGACTGTTGTGTTGCTCTCAAAGAGGGAAAGAGCACTGAAGAAAAAGATTTGGTGTTGAAGTAAACACAACAAACCTGGAACAATACCAAAATTACTGTTACTTCACCTTTAACTAGAACGTGCATTCATATCCCTAATTTGACAAATATACCCCGAAAATACATTTATTGTTCAGTTACTTCCAAAAGTATGACACATGTTATTAAAAATTTACTAATAATATGTAAATTGTCGTGAAATCCATCTACAACGGAAGTTTTTATGTTTTCTTACTCCACCGATACTGAGAAATGGTCTTCATCTTCATCTTCAAACAGAATTTCTTGCAGTTCACGTTGATGGAACGCCAAGGAATATGACTGCAAGATATCTGCAAACAACGACAGAAACTTTGAAAACTTTGCAACTTTCGTAGGCAAACAATGAGAAATGTATTTGCAAATATGATAATGCTGCTGACGTTCACAAATGACTCAAATGTTAACCTATCCCTGGGATATATGTTATAAAAACTTGATCCATCACAAGGACCAAAGCCAAAGATTTAATGTTCTAACTTGTACATCGTAATAAGCTCCAAAGAGTGAGTGAGTTTAGTTTTACACAACACTCAGCAATATTCCAGCTATATGGTGGAAGTCTGTAAATAAACAAACCAGTGATCAACAGCATGCGCATCGATTTACACAATTGGGAACCCATGACATGTGTCAAACAAATCAGCGAGTCTGACCACCCGATCCCTTAAGCCGCCTCTACCCGCCTCTTAAAACAAGCATGGGTTACTAAAGACCAATTCTAACACGGATCTTCATGGGTCCAAAGTGTTATCCAAGTGAAGTGTGTCAATCAGCATTGATAAGCGACATCACATCGGCTGCTAACAAACACGCAACAGAAGCGCTGAAAACACACAAACCTTTCAATTTCGATGTCTCATCGGTGCTTAGTTCCAACTGAGACATGGTGTAGATAAACTGAATACCACTGTCATGACCTAATTGATTAGATCTGGGGGCCGTTACCACTCACATCAACATGTCAACATGTTCATAATCTGAATTTTGCGCCATATTACTATTTTTTACAACTCGCGAGATTACAGGTATCGCATACTATTTGAACACAACGGTTTTTAACTCAAGAAATTAAGCCGTGATAATCTTTAGCACTACCTGCTTATACAATTGTTACCGAGATACAAGAGACAATATATCACTGCATTTGTTTACAATTTTCTAAATAAATTATGAAGTGGACAATATCTGTAAAATATTGAAAGATGAGCAATACAAAATGGGGAATATTCTCTCTATATAACAGTAGTTAGTTGGGAAGTACTATTATATACGAGATTTAGAACATGGCGTCTAAGTCTGGAAAGTTTGGGTGTTACCCTGTTTAGTTTGTATTTGCACAGCTATTTTATTGTGTCGCTGTGTGGTTTAAGTTGCAAAAATGCGAACTGTTTTAATGGTAGCAGAGAAGCCATCTTTGGCTCAGTCTCTTGCTAAAATTCTCTCAAATGGTGCTATGAACAGCAGAAAAGGCATGAATGGGGCTTGCTCGGTTCATGAATACAGAGGCAAATTCAATGGAGACACTGTATTCTTTAAGATGACATCTGTTTGTGGTCACGTAATGAGCTGTGACTTTATGGGAAAATACAATAACTGGGACAAGGTTGATCCGGTAAGGCAACTCAAAGGCAGTGATGATCATAAATATGTTATGCACACTATGATAGCAGGGCTCCAGATAAGGGCCGTATCGGCATATGTACGGATAAAAAATATGCACGATACGGTAGGAAATAATTTAGGAACAGTAGCAGATACGCACCACAGCAGTGGTGAATGGTCTTAGAATCATTTACAGACGTATTTATCTGAAAAAAGTATTGTTTTTTACCTGTTTACACAATAGTAGCAATGTTGTGGTGCATATATGAAACGAAACACAAGATCAAATACTCCATTAAATTCAATTAAGTACTCTAACAGTTTTTGCAGTACTCCTATAGTTAAAAAATAAGGAGTACGTACTCCTGATGTTGAAAAATTATCTGGAGCCCTGGCATACTCAAAGGCAGTGATAATCATGAAAATGTTATGCACAGTGACCTGTCTGGACTAACAGTAACATTTCGGCATTTCATCACTGAAATAAGTTATGTTATTTTAAAGTGTATATCTATAAAATATAATATAAAATCGAATGGAACACGGGACAATGCTTAATTTGAGGAGCAGGTGGAAGCAATCCGGACGTGCCAAAACATTCCAGACATGAGTTGAATTCCTTGTTTTGTTATTTATTTTAAGGGTGTGGGAACAGAATAAGACCTGTCAGGTAATCCCGGTGCGTCAGCCTCTTTGAAGGGTTAGCAAAATTGTTAGCAAAAGTTTCTGATAATAATTGTGAAAGTATGCTACATACTTTTCTTGAGATATATCTCATTTTTATTATCCTTTCGGCTTTGGGCTAGTTTCACCTTTCTGATCATTAGCATGATTAGGGCAGGGTAAGCTCTCCAATTTGAAAGGAATATTTGCAAAGATAATAGTATCATGTTATTATATCTGTAACAACAGTGCTAACTGGAATCTCAAAAAAGATATTGTGGCAGTAATATGCTCCCCTTTTGATTTACAAGTTAGTAAGCAGAGTTCACATTAAACATGAAAGCAAGGATTCCCTGTCATGACCTGAATGTTAAACATCAAAGATCTGTGGGGTCCCTAAAGTGGGTTCAGTTACAAAAGAAGCATTTTACAAGATCGGAAAGTGATTTAGTTTTACTTATTCAAAAATTGTTTTATGCTTCCCATTGGAATCGCAGAGCAAGTTGTTTTCATCAATTCTGGGTTGCTTTTTTACATCTGTAGCAGACAATATTTAGCATCTGGTTAAGTTCTCAGTAAGATTAGATTTCATTTCTAAAGTTTGGTTGTTTTCTCTTTATAAATCTATTCCATGAGGACTCTGCACTATCTTAAAGTATAAGAGCCATACATACAGTCTGTATTGCACATGTTTCATTTCTCAGGTTGAACTGTTTCAAGCACCCATCCAGAAGAAGGAGGCAACACCAAACCTACACATGCCTGCTTTTCTGAGAAAGGAGGTAACTTGCCATCATTACTATGACTGCTTAAAGAAGCTTATAGCCTAACTCACTTAGTTCTCCGCTGAATAAGATCCATTATGTATAACTGTATTGTGCTCAGACAGATAAGGTTACTGGTCTGAAGACAAAACAGTTGGAACAGATGGCGTATAAACGCACCATGCTTCGCGGCTCACCGAGAAGCATGACTTTTCACGTGCGGTCAGACCACGTGCTCTTGACCACGTGGGAAACGGTCGAATCGGTCAGTTGTGTACAGGTTATGCTTGGGTTAAGACGTCATTGAGTTTAGACGTCAGTTGACTTCAGGTTTCCCTTGAGTTCGGTTGTTTCTTGAGTTGGGTGACAGCTCGTCAAAATAGGATTTAGATAGACTGATATAAAGAATGTATTAGTGCATCGAAATAGAAGTTCCATAGAGCTAGATACTGTAGATAGTAGACTTCCGCTGCAATAGAGCTAGATAGTGTAGATAATAGAATTTAAGGTATCACATTAAGTTTCTTGCCTCATTAGCATTTGTTATAAGAGATTCACGTTTAGTTCCCCATTTGTTTTGTTTGAATTATTTCATCAGTTTAATCAAGAGAGTCATGTTTAGTTCCCCAAATAGCATATTTCGATACTTTAATTTTAGTTAGTTTAGTTTTCAATTCCACCGCGCAACAGTTACTTTATCATAATTTATGCCCAGTAATTTTGAGAAGATAAACCTAGAATGTGTAGAATCAGAATGGTGTCAACAATGGAAGACTGTGAAGTGACATTTATCTGTCACATCATAATGTCTATACCAACAGTGGTGCCTCCATTGTATCACCATTGAAAAGGGTTTGTGACACCACTATGTGTGGTCTGAGTGTGAGTACATCTCAATTAAAATTAGACCTTACTTCTTGCTACAGCTACCCTCAAATCTGAAGACATCCCATTATCTGTCATGTCAGAACGACCCATCATTCTAATCCAATCTTTCCGTTCTCCGTATATACCTGAAAATCACCAGTAAAATTTGTTGGGGACCGGTAAATTGAAACCCAGCCGGACACTGTGTCCGGTAAATAATCAAGTATTAAAATAAAAAAATCATGGGTAAGCGAAATGACAGTCTTGGCTGTGCTTTCATGGTCGCAAATATTCTTATGTTTCGGAAATACCCAGGCTAAAAATAACTTTAAAATGAGTACTTACAGTATGGCAATAGGATACGACCGGCAAATTTCATTCAAGACCGGTAAAATTTTAGGTCGTCTGACACAGTGTCCGATAAATAATTAAGTCAGCAGAAACACTGTAATCTGAAAGTTACTTATCAGATTGGGAAAGTGAAATTTGGAATGTACTGGCATCTTGAGCATTCAGTAATTTTCTGTTGTGTAATTTTTCAAATTTTGAATCAATATTATTCAGTGAGTTCTTGGTTGAAACTAAACCTGTTGAAATTAGTGCTCTGTGATTGGCCAATGTCACCTTGTTGGTTGTTTCATTGGTTGATGATAGTTGAGTAAAGGTCATCTGACATAAGCTGTATTGGAATGTCTTGGTTTAGTTTTGGTTTGATCATTGTGATCGCACTCAGCAATATTCCTGCTATATGGCGGCGGTCTGTAAAAATAAATAATCTAGTCTGGACCAGACAGTTGGGATACAATGACATGTGTCAACCAAGTCAGCAAGCCTGATCACCCGATCCCGTTAGTCGCCTCTTATGACAAGCATGGGTTGCTGAAGAACAATACTAACCTGGATCTTCACGGGTGTTCTGGTATGTCTTCAAATATGTATTTAGCAGTACTGCTTGACTCGTATTAGATGAGCCTCGCGTAGTACACGTGTTTGTGAAAAGTAGACGGTGCAAGGAGTCTAGACGAATACACTTGGTTGCTACAGATAGATTGGCGATTAAGCCCGTGCAATACTTGCTGACCGTGGCATGAACTCAATACCGCTTCTGTTTAATGTGTCTCGGAGAGCTATTTAGTTCAGCAAGACACCATCTCGACACGAGTCAATTTTTTAATGTTTGCAGATTTTAATTATTTTAACATGTCAAATTTGCATGGGCAAATTGTTCATTCTCAGGCAAGGGAGTTAGCCTACAAATTAGTACAATGATACTATTTATATGGAAATTACGTATGCAATCAAAGTAGATGCTATGTAGCCTTGCTACTGGTCTTTCCAAGGCTACCTTTAAAAGTATTAAAGCGGAAGGTGATATGGGTGCGAGTAGGCCTACTTTTATTAGTCCAACCAAGTTGTGCAAACCCAAAACTTCCAAGCACAAACTTGATGATTTTGACCGGTGTACAGTCCATCAATTTGTATAATGTTTACATGGAATACAAAAGCAACTGCCTACTCTAGATATGATATATGATATGGCAAGAAGCCAATTGCATTACCAGGGTTCAAAGAACAGTTTTCGATAAAATCTGAAAGACATGGGGTTTAGGTGGCGATAAACGCAGTCAAATCGTAAGGTTTTAATGGAACGAAAAGACATCGTTTCAAAGCGCATGCAATAAAAAATGTCGAGATGAAAATCGAACAATCATCTTTATCAATGAAACAAGGTTGCATGTACACCACATTGTCCCAAAATGTTGGCAGTTTGATGGTGAGGTTGTGATAAATGGGGATCAGCTTCCGTCCGCTACCGGACCATGGCTTATTGTTGTTCATGCAGGGTTCGAAAACGGTTTTGTACCAAATGCATTACTTGTATTTGACTCAGTCAGAGCTCAAATCAGCACAATATCATGACGAGATGAATTTGGATAATTTTCAAAATGGCTGCAGGAAAAATTGATCCCACACATTCCACCCCACTCCGTCATTGTTATGGATAATGAGCCATACCACAGCAAGCAAGTGGACAAATGTCCAACAATGGCTAACAGAAAAGATGATATCAAACAAAGCTTGGTTACAAAGGCACAATATTGCATTTGACGATAAAATGCTCAAAGCCGAACTGTTGTGTCTGGCAAAATCCAACAAATCGGGCCCTGTCTATAATGTAGACACTATGTTGAAACAACATGGCCCTGATGTACTATGTCTTCCTCCTTACCACGCAGAATTGAACCCAATTGAGTTGATTTGGGCCAATGTCAAAAATTATGTTGCTAAACAAAACTTGCAGTTCACAAAAAACTTCGCTTAGAGTTGCCATAAATGAGTGAATGTCTGCAATCGGTGCCAAGGAATTGTCCGAATGTTGTAAACATGTTAAAACCATCGAAGATGGCTACTGGTAACGGGAAATTGCAGTAGAAAAAGAAATTGACAGAATCGTGATCGAAGTAGGACTGGCAAGTGATTCAGACACAGAGACCGATTCAGAAAGGGACGACTACGGCCCGAAGTACGCCTAAATCAGTAAATTCCATAATGGATCTATTCGGTATTTGACCCTGGTGTGGAGAGGATGCACCAGAATATATGTCAAGTATACATCCGTTTGTAAACATAACAAGTGTTCTTTTCTCTAGCACCTCTGTGGAGTGTTTTGTAAATAAAGTTATATTTGTCTTGGTTCAGTTTCTAAGGATCTTAGCTGTACACATACTTAGTATGATATAAAAATCAAAACACGATTCACACGAGGAAATTGAACATTTCAAGTTTTAGACGACAACCTGCTTCCCTCATTTTTCAAATCGAATGTTCTGGAGGGCGTTCCCATATATGCAAATTGGGGTCATTTGTCAGATCGTGGCTCATCTAATAGTAGTACATCAGTAGTGAGCACTAAGATCTGAATTATGTTTGAATAGTTCTGCAGAGCTCCAGATAGGATTTAGCTCATGTGTGTTCTGTACCCACTGTATTTTTTTGGAGTGGGTATTATGAATATTGAGTGGGTATTTCATTTTCCGTTACCCACTGCTTTCAAATATGTGCATATTTCAGTCACTTTACTCACCTAAGTATTATGTCATTGAGTAAGTTTACTAAGCAGGTATGTTCTGCCTTATGTCATACCTAATCAAAGCCAACTTTAATATACTGGAAATGATTTCATAAAAAATCACTCATCCTATACTGACAGTACAACACTTGTCCTATACTAACAGCACAACTTGATAGCAATCGATGTCTTTTTCATTACGCAAGCAATTTTTATAAATATATTCTGTACGCATTTGTTTTAAACTTTTTTGCGTATCTAACATTTTAAATGCGTAATTGGTACGCAACAATTATTTTTTCAATGGGTAATTGGAAATTTTCTATGCATATTTTACCCGGATACGCAGCTTATCTGGGCCTCTGGTTCTGGGTATGAAGATGATACATTTTAATGTTGCTTCAGGGCCAGGGAGCTGATTATCTTGTTCTTTGGCTGGATTGTGACAAGGAAGGCGAGAACATCTGTTTTGAGGTTATAGACTGTGTGGAGCCCATGATGAACAGGACACATGCGCAGGTGAGTTAATCACACAGGGCGTTTCAGTTGTTGTTCAGTCACACAGCATACAGGGCCTGTGAGTTGATCGCATGGAAATGTCTGCAGTTCACCAGTTACACATGAGATCAGATCTAGATCCCCCATTTAGCATAGTGAGTAAAGATCTGTAAAGAAATGCAGGTACACAAGTTAAAATGGTATGTTGTTTCTGTTGTTATACAATTGTAATTATGAAATTATGTATGCATCAGGGGTGGAAATAACCCATTGCCCGATGCCCGAAGTCCAGTGTTTTTTTCTGCCGGGCAAGCAAATTTGTATATCACAATGTACCCGTGTCCAGTTGACTTCCAATATTTATTATGTGGTTTATTTAAAAAACCAACAAGAAAACTGCCGATACATTGGAAAAATTATCAGGGCAAGTGATTTTACATGTGCCACTGTACCGGAGTACACTAGCAATTTTAAAGTTCTTTCCACCCCTGATGCATACTTACATACAAGCAACTCCAAACTAATCGCTTAAGGGTTATGAAATACACAAGTGGAAGCCGCCATAGCTGAGCGGTCTAGGCGGCAGACTTTGTATGCTGGCGATTAGGTGCCTGACTCTGAGGGTGTGGGTTCGAATCCCAGATGGGACTCAACCAAAAAAGGACTAGAATGTGTACTTTACTGAGAAAGTGTAATCCCAAATATAACATATGTTGCTGTAGGGTTATGTTGTAAAGTTATTCATATAGACAGCTTATTTGAATCTCCGCCATCCTTTTCAGCAAATCTTCCGAGCCAAATTCAGTGCAATCACAGATACTGATATCAAGAGAGCCATGCAAAACCTGGGCGAGCCCAACAAGAACGAGGCCCTGTCAGTGGATGCCCGCCAGGAGTTAGATCTGAGGATAGGATGTGCCTTCACCAGGTTCCAAACCAAGTTCTTCCAGGTAACGATAATATTCATAATAGATCATAGCTATTTTTGTCATTCTGTCATGTGTTTTAATATGATTAATATAATTCATGAATATATACAATACCATACCATTGAATGTCACCAGAACATTATACGTACTTGCGAACAATATACACAGATCTACTTAAGAAATATTTCATTACTAGGACGTAGAAATTTCACAACACAGCTTTATCAACATGATATATTCAACAGCCATAAATGTTATAAATAATTTATTCCTATCTTTATATAATGTTGGGAAAATAAGAGATTCTGATGTTTTTCTGAGGTAAGGCACAATCACAGGTGTAGGCTCTGATAGGCCATGTTTGAAATGACATGTTAAATCAATCGTTTAGAAAATTATGATGCAACTTCTTTGGGAAATGTTTAAGAGAAATGATAGAACTTTGATGTTTCATTCTCCTGTAACATCAAACAACACATATCTATCATCAATGCTCCAGATTATGCTTGGAGATCAATACTGGTCATTATCAGAAACAATGAGTACTGGGCATAGGTTTGCAAGTCAGTAAATACCATACTGCTCTTTCTTAGTAATGACAAGTACTGGTATGATATTGCACTTCAGATTTTTGTGCCAAACTCACATGAACATTTGATACAGCTGTTATTTCCAATACGTCTGTATTTGTCTAGTTTTCATCTGTAAATCCCCTGAAATGGCATCTTGGATTTGGAAAACTGATCATGTTCTGTCAGTCTATAAGCATTAAAAATTTGTTACATATATTTATCACATATTTTTCAAGAGTCAGTAAAAGGGTAAATGTTATCACAGATATCTACATCTACATTTAAAATCTTGACCAAACAAAAATTACAGATGAATGTATAGAAATTACACACAATATTTAAGACTTATATGTATTGATGATGAAATGGTTGATGGTACAAAATATTTTTAGAAACTGATGATCAAATCCAAAGTGATTTCCACCACTAGATATAAGCAGACAAGATCTCTAATATTGCCAAAGAACACAGACCGCCGTAATATATTTCATGCCAAACATGATATGACATGCATGTTATTATATTGCTAGGGAAAGTATGGAGATCTGGACAGCACCCTGATATCTTATGGTCCATGTCAGACCCCGACACTAGGCTTCTGTGTGGAAAGACATGACAAGATTCTTTCCTTCAAGCCTGAGGCCTACTGGGTGATCGATGTACAGGTATAGATACTAGTGGTGTTCCGATTAATTTAAATAATCAAAGATTGGTCTCAGTGACCAAACGACTAAGCAGTTTATCACATTTTCTCATAATCGAACATAAACGATTTTTGAACTACTTTTTTAGTCTTTGAAATACTTGACAATGGAACATATCGTTGAAGTTGTCAGTGCCTGAAAACGTGTTTAATTCATAGAAAACTGAATGACTGAATATTTCTTGAAGACTCCAGGAAGTTTATGTTCATGATATATATGTCATCACTTTAAATTAGCAAGTTGCATCATGTTATACATATCTGCAATAACAACCTGGATAGGAAAATCTGAAAAATGACGCTAACCAATTTTTTTCGCTGATTGTTTGTTGGTAATGAAGCAATCATCAATTGTGAGATTTCAACCAATTCCCAACACTAATAAATACAAGATATCAAGCTTGGTCATGCTTACTGCGTTAATATTTGGCAGATACTCTAACAATCTTATTGACCTATAACATGCACAAGTACCACTTTGAAAGTGTTATCATTGGAAATGATACTTCAGCTCAATAAGCGTGTTAATCTTCCAGTCCTGTAACCATGGTATCAATTTCAAAATCAACTTGTTGATTGATGCTCATGAGGTCAATCACTGGCTTGGTTGGTCCAGACTTGATTATTTACAGACTGATATCATGTAGCTGGAATTCTATTTATTCCAACCTTAATTGTTTGTCATAGTACTTATTCCAAGTTGCTTTGTCAATTGTAATGTTACCCGTGAAGGTCAGGGTTAGAATATTGATCTTCAGTAACCCATGCTTGTCGTAAGAGGCGACTAACGGGATCGGTGTCAGGCTCGCTGACTTGGTTGACACATGTCATCAGTTCCGAATTGCGCAGATCGATGCTCATGCTGTTGATTACTGGATTGTCCGGTCCAGACTCAATTATTTACAGACCGCCGCCATTTAGCTGGAATATTGCTGAGTGCGGTGTAAAACTCAACTCACTTACCCACTCAGTCGTAATGTAAATGTTATAGTTATTATTCACCAAGTAACATGGTAGCTTCCACTCTTGTTATCCTAGCTGAGTTGACTGTTTCTGTAGGTCACACATCCCGATGGGAAGGAGCTGAAGCTGGAGTGGGACAGAGTCAGGATATTTGACAAGGAAGTGGCACAGATGTTTGTCAACATGATCAAGTCTAGTGATGGAGCAAGGTAGACAGTGCATCCTAAAGTCAAATTACCAAAATTATAACAACCATTTTGTCGTTTAGATTACAGTGACAATAATTAGCACTTTTCTGCAGTAAAAGATGTTTTCTTTCTTGTATTGATGTTGAGTTATCTCCCTTTGTGTATTGAGTTATCTCCCCTGTGTGTATTCAGGGTGCTGGGTGTTGTCACCAAGGAGAAGAGCAAGGCCCGTCCCATTGCCCTCAATACAGTCGAGATGCTCAGAGTGGGAAGTTCAGGGCTCGGTAAGAAACATTTCACTATTCTGCCTTTGGGGTTTGCCTTTGAAATTATATTGTTTCTTTCCAGAAGTAGGAGACCTGTCAAGATTCGAGATAGAATTGATCTTCAGTAACCAATGCTTGTTGTAAGAGGCGACTAACAGAATCTCGTGGTCAGGCCCACTGACTTTGTTGAAACATGTCATCATATGCATAGATCAATACTCATGCTGTTCAGATCACTGGATTGTCTGATTCAGACTTGATTATTTACCAGCTTCATATAGCTGAAATATTGCTGAGTGCGTCGTTAAACAACAAACCAAACAAACCAGAAACAGGACTCCTGTGTAGTGTCTTGGACGAGGGCTTTGTTTTGGCAACACAACTATGCGTTTGGAAATACATGGACCATCCAAGAATATTCCTGAAGTTCACTCAGTTTAAATGTTCAATCAGGTTTAATGATATTTTTGATATAGCATGAATTTGACTTCGAATCATCATATCAATAGGTCACATATGACATATCGGTGGGTTGTGCATTGATTTTGATGTTTACGTTACAAACCAGTGGGAGATCCAGACTCTCTGTGTGTGTGTGTGTGTGTGTGTGTGTGTGTGGGTGTGAAACCCCCTGAAAACCCCGCGCGCACACACACACACGCACTTTGAAAGTTTCTGGATCCTCCTATGCAAACAGTACATAGTAACAAACTCATTGCAGTATATATGCTGGGACTATGCATGGGTACTACTACACTGCCAAACAGTAAAGGTCACAAAGATCACAAAGATTTTCCTTCAGCATATTACTGAAATATGTAACCATGGTTATGCCATGCCTTGATTTATTTCTTGTAATCTACTTGCTGCTAGGTATGGGCCCCCACCACGTGATGCAGATAGCGGAACGTCTCTACACCCAGGGTTACATCAGCTACCCCAGGACCGAGACAACGCACTACCCAGAAAACTTCGATCTCAAGTAGGAGTTTGTCACAAGTTCATGAGATAGTGAAGGGAGAGGTGCAATCATGTGTATTGATTGATTTCCCTTGATTTCTATTTACACTGACGTCATCATATGAGCGAAATATTCTCAAGCACGACGTAAAACCCAATTTCAGCTCACCTCACCTATTCACACTGCTAGGTGTAACGTACCAATCAGAATGTGTAACATACTCTTACCAGCCACAAACTTGGGTTGGTAGTATCAGCAACAGCCTGTTCTATTGAATGTTATTGAGGTGGTGAACAATTCAATACTGAAAACACACTGACATGCAAAAGAAAGCGTTCAAAATTCTATTTGATGGAAAGGATGTTTTCATGTCCTTTCAAAGTGGAGTGGATTTGGCTTATAGAGTTACCTCCCTTACCCTTCCCTAATGTCAATGTTTGATTGGTTGGTTGAATATTTATGAAAATTAAGGGTGTAAGAACGTCGGTAATAGATCCAGGGGTTAGTGTGGGTTTAACCTAAGTCTAGTCCTGGAGATAAAGAGGATGGTGAAGGTTTGGTTCAGTGACTCCACGACTGCTTGTGTTCCAGGGGCACCTTGAGGCAGCAGCAGTCGCACCCAGACTGGGGGAGCTTCGTCCGTGATCTACTGAGCAAGGGCATCCAGAGACCAAAGTAAGTTTTGCTACATGATGCATTGTTTTAGTATCAATTAAAAGGGAGATCAAAATTGTTTCAATATGATGAAAGAAACAAGCAATGTCTTTCTGGTATTTTCAATTCACTTTCAGTGATGTAAGTTGTAGCACCAAATCTGAGCTTCTTGCCTTAAAGACTGTCTCTGTTTAGCTGTGGTGTTGATATATCATAGCCTTTTTATTCTCTCTGATTTGTTGGGCCGTTGGGGTAGCCCAGTGGTTCATTCACTTTTCACACTAAAGGCCTGGGTTTGATTCCCCACATGGGTACAATTTGTGAGGCCTATTTCTGGTGTCACCCACCATGATATTGCTGGAATATTGCTAAAACTCTCTCACTCACTCACTCACTCACTCACTCACTCACTCACTCATCACTCACTCACTCACTCACTCACTCACTCACTCACTCACTCACTCACTCACTCACTCACTCACTCACTCACTCACTCACTCACTCACTCACTCTTGTCAACAGGAAAGGTTCGGATGCAGGTGACCATCCCCCAATTACCCCTATGAGGTCGGCCACAAACTCAGAGCTGGAGCATGATGCCTGGAGATTGTACGACTACATCACCAGACATTTTATTGCAACTGTGAGTTGACACATAGGGTGTAGGTCACCTATAGAACTGCTCTCTTCTTCATAAGCTGCCATTGTGACTGCATGTTTATCTGTGAGATGGGGACAGCCTCTTTTGAATGAGAGCTATTAAGTGTGGCAAATATCATGTTTGTAACAAATGTCCAGTAACTAGTGCCTTATCTATCTTAAAGTATAGCATCAAAGTAGACCAACACTGCATAATCAGAGTTACAGCTGGGAAGTTAAAATATATCAAAAAGTATATTTAATTTTCGAAACTGCAATGAATATTTTTGTGTCATGGGCCCAGTGTACTCATCCTGCATGCTATCATTGGGTCCACCTCAAGCTGTGCACCTCCGTATGTGTAGTGAGATCTTCTGATGACTTTTGGTGCCCTCGTCACCGCAAACCAGAGGAGTGAAACATGCTTGGACATGTGATGTAACTAGCAAAGTGTTTTCATGATTAACTTTGACATGAAATTATTACGACTACAGTTTCTAATAATTATTATTGGAACTGTTACAAATATTCGTTTTGGACTGGATGTTTATCAACTTTATATTATAAAAATATCAGCATAGCATGTATACTGCTATTAGATTTCTGTTTTACGGAGAACCATTGAAGTGAACGAAAACAGATGACGTCACTTCCGCATTCACGATCTTTGTGTAGCGAACTATGAGGCCTGCTGTGCGGTTGAAACATGAAGTAAATCCATCAGATATTTGAATATCATAAATAAATGACAAACAAACGAGGTAGGATTGTTTATTATCAATTTATTCATGCACTTTATGTTTCGTTGGTCGACAATCCTTACATGACCGAAAACCGAATACACAAGGATATATATATTCCACTATTGAAACAATAGAGTGAAGCCCCAGCTGTAAAATAATTAGTGTCTCGACAAGTGTCCAGAAATACTGATATACCTCCCTCAGGTTCCACTTTCTGTTCCAGCTGTCTCCCGACTGTACATACTTACAAACAACAGTATCCTTTGACATTGGTGCTGAGTTGTTTTCATGCTCTGGCAAAACGTTGCTAGACCCAGGTTTCACAGAAGTCATGACATGGCAGGCCATTACCAGTGACGAGGAAATGCCACGGTTTCACCGTGATCAAATGCTCTCCTTCAAAGAAGTGAGTCGTTCAGTTTTCATGATTTAAACATAAACACCTTGAAAATGCATAACAGTAATAAAAATTTTGTAATATTTGGCAGAATGGTCTCAAAAATCAATTTAAGTCGTTGTGGATCTTAGACCTGGTATAATCATATGCAGAAATGGCTTATGGATTTGAATCTCGTTCAAATCTCACTCATGAAGATCCTGCTTAAAATTGGTCTTCAGTAACCCATGCTTGTCAAAAGAGTTGACAAACAGGGTCTGGTGGTCAGGCTCGCTGGCTTGGTTGATGTCATATCGGGATCGGGTGGTCAGGCTCGCTGGCTTGGTTGATGTCATATCGGGATCGGGTGGTCAGGCTCGCTGACTTGGTTGATGTCATATCGGGGTTCATCGGGTGGTCAGGCTCTGACTGGCTTGGTTGATGTCATATCGGGATCGGGTGGTCAGGCTCGCTGGCTTGGTTGATGTCATATCGGGATCGGGTGGTCAGGCTCGCTGACTTGGTTGATGTCATATCGGGATCGGGTGGTCAGACTTGCTGACTTGGTTGATGTCATATCGGGATCGTGGTCAGTCAGCTCGCTCGCTGGCTTGGTTGATGTCATATCGGATCGGGTGGTCAGGCTTCGCTGGCTTGGTTGATGTCATATCGATCGGGTGGTCAGGCTCGCTGACTTGGTTGATGTCATATCGATCGGGTGGTCAGGCTTCGCTGACTTGGTTGATGTCATATCAGGATCGGGTGGTCAGGCCTCGCTGGCTTGGTTGATGTCATATCGGGATCGGGTGGTCAGGCTCGCTGGCTTGGTTGATGTGATGTCATGGTCAGGCTCGCTGGCTTGGATGATGGTCAGGGGTCAGGCTCGCTGACTTGGTTGATGTCATATCGGGATCGGGTGGTCAGGCTCGCTGGCTTGGTTGATGTCATATCGGGATCGGGTGGTCAGGCTCGCTGGCTTGGTTGATGTCATATCGGGATCGGGTGGTCAGGCTCGCTGGCTTGGTTGATGTCATATCGGGATCGGGTGGTCAGGCTCGCTGACTTGGTTGATGTCATATCGGGATCGGGTGGTCAGGCTCGCTGACTTGGTTGATGTCATATCGGGATCGGGGGTCAGGCCTCGCTGACTTGGTTGATGTCATATCGGCTCCAGGCTGACTTGGCTTGGTTGATGTCATATCGGGATCGGGTGGTCAGGCTTGCTGGCTTGGTTGATGCCATCATCGGGATCGGGTGGTCAGGCTAGCTGACTTGGTTGATGTCATATCGGGATCGGGTGGTCAGGCTTGCTGACTTGGTTGATGCATGTCAGCATATCCCAATTGCGCAGAATGATGCTCATCATGTCAGTCACTGGATTGTCTGATCCAGACAATATCTCTTCCAGGATCCTCTTTACACCCATTTCATAGCAGAGCACTCTTACAACAGACCTCACTCGGTGTTGTTGTGAAAGGAATACTTGGGATAACATGTACTTGTGATTACAGGTAAAGCTAAACGAGCGACAGACCTCACCCCCTGACTACCTGACAGAGAGTGAGCTGATTACTCTAATGGAGAAACATGGTATCGGTACTGACGCCAGCATCCCTGTCCATATCAACAACATTTGTGAGAGGAACTACGTCAACATTATCGCTGGCCGTAAGCTGAAGCCCACCCCACTTGGCATTGTGCTGGTACATGGATACCAAAAGGTAGGTGTTTCTGAGAATAATCTAAGACATGGGACAATTCCTGCAAATAACCTGCCTCTAGTAGAACACATGTATTTCGGTGATATTCTAGTTGTTTTACTGTCCTTCAATGACAATTTTTTGTACCTTTAAATTATTCGTCATCTATAACTTGATCTAGTCATGATATGACTGAAATATTGCCAAAGTGACTTTAAATTTTAACTAGCTCTCTCACTCCAGAAGAAGGCTGTTACAAATCCTGAATTTTGGCTGTCATAATATTTTTAAGATCTTCAGACAGAAGACATTATGAGTCCCACTATAGTCATGACATCATTGAAAGGTGACATTAGAGTAATGATATTTTTGCCAGGGTGACATTGTAGTGATGACATTATGACATGGTGGCTATATGGTTGTGCTGACATTATGACAGTGTGGCATTATGGTGGTGACAACATTATGACAGGGTGGCTTTATGGTGGTGACGACATTATGACAGGGTGGCTTTATGGTGGTGACGACATTATGACAGGGTGGCTTATGGTGGTGACGACATTATGACAGGGTGGCTTATGGTGGTGATGACATTATGACAGGGTGGCATTATGGTGATGATGACATTATGACAGGGTGGCTTTATGGTGGTGATGACATTATGACAGGGTGGCATTATGGTGGTGATGACATTATGGTGGTGATGACATTATGACAGGGTGGCATTATGGTGGTGATGACATGACAGGGTGGCATTATGGTGGTGATGACATTATGACAGGGTGGCATTATGGTGGTGACAACATTATGACAGGGTGGCTTATGGTGGTGGTGATGACATTATGACAGGGTGGCATTATGGTGGTGATGACATTATGACAGAGGGTGGCATTATGGTGGTGATGACATTATGACAGGGTGGCATTATGGTGATGACATTATGACAGAGCACCATTATGGTGGTGACAACATTATGGTGATGACATGGATGGCATTATGGTGGTGATGACATTATGACAGGGTGGCATTATGGTGGTGATGACATTATGACAGGGTGGCATTATGGTGGTGATGACATTAAGACAGGGTGGCATTATGGTGGTGATGCGACATTATGACAGGGTGGCATTATGGTGGTGATGACATTATGACAGGATGGCATTATGGTGGTGATGACATTATGACAGGGTGGTGATGATTTATGACACAGGGTGGCATGATGACATTATGACATGACAGGGTGACATTATGACAGGGTGGTGATGACATTATGACAGGGTGGCATTATGGTGGTGATGACATGACAGGGTGGCATTATGGTGGTGATGACATTATGACAGGGTGGCATTATGGTGGTGATGACATGACAGGGTGGCATGGTGGTGATGACATTATGACAGGGTGGCATTATGGTGGTGATGACATTATGACAGGGTGGCATTATGGTGGTGATGACAGGGTGGCATTATGGTGGTGATGACAGGGTGGCATTATGTTGATGATGACAGGGTGGCATTATGGTGGTGATGACATTATGACAGGGTGGCTTTATGGTGGTGATGACATTATGACAGGGTGGCTTTATGGTGGTGATGACATTATGACAGGGTGGCATTATTGTGGTGATGACATTATGACAGGGTGGCATTGTGGTGGTGCTGACATTATGATAGGGTGGCTTTATTGTGGTGATGACAGTGTGGCATTATGGTGGTGATGACATGACAGTGTGGCAATATGGTGGTGATTACATTATGACAGGGTGGCTTTATGGTGGTGATGACATGACTGTGTGGCATTATGGTGGTGATGACATGACAGTGGCATTATGGTGGTGATTACATTATGACAGGGTGGCTTTATGGTGGTGATGAGATTTTGACAGGGTGGCATTATGTTGATGATGACATTATGACGGGGTGGTTTTATGGTGGTGATGACATGACTGTGGCATTATGGTGGTGACGACATTATGACAGAGCACCATTATGGTGGTGACGACATGACATGGTGGAATTATGGTGATGATGATATTATGACAGGGTTACTTTATGGTGGTGATGACATTACAACAGGGCGTCATTAGAGTGATGACGGGTTTTTACGTAACACAGAAGTGTATATCCATGGTGGCAAAGTGAAATTATGACAGAGTGACATTATCATGAGGGTGGTGGGTGACATTGTCTTTACGGTGAGGAAACAATTTTAGCTTGGATGACATTAAGACCTGAACGACATTATAGCAAGGACAATGTGTTATCACAAGTTACATTACAAACCCATGATGACATCAAAGTTTCAGAATTATGCCATCAACACCAATCACATTATGTAGCAAGGATGGCAGTAAGGGGCAGAGCATTTCTTTTGTTCCAGATTGACGCTGACCTTGTGCTACCGACCATGAGATCAGCTGTGGAACAACAACTGAACCTCATCTCTCACGGCAAGGCAGACTTCTACGCAGTCAAGCAGCATGGCTTGGACATATTTCACAGGAAGTTCCGATACTTTGTTGAGAATATCAACGGTATGGATGAGCTGTTCGAGGTTACTTTCTCATCCCTGGCCGACAGCGGTCGACCTCTGTCAAGGTATGTACTGAATGGAAATGCATCTGCTGTGGTAACACAAACTAATGCAGAGGTTACAGGAAGCCCAATTGTCTAAGATGTAATTTGCTGTGCAGAGTTACCCCTCTTCTGAATCTGTACTCACTGAGAAAGTGTAATCCCGAACATAACCTATGTCACATGTCACCACTTTCTAAATGGCTTTGTGTATTCATAGCTTTTGGCTGTGGGAGCCGTTCCAACTTACACTTGTCAGAGGGGTACACAAAGTATGTGATCTAGATTTTCAGTTGTCAGACATCCATTTCGAGGAAACTGCAGCTGAATGGGTTAGATCGCTGACTTTGTGTGCTGGTGATTACCGGTAGGTGCCGGTAGTGTGGGTTCGAATCACAGATGGAACTCAACCCCAAAAGTACTAGAATCTGTACTTTACTGAAAAAGCATAATCCCACTGATAACATTGTGCAAAGTATTATTCAAAATATTTTGTTTATCCTATAACTAAGACCTAATCTGTTTCATGATTGACTTTTCACATGATTGGAATATTGTAAGATGTTTTGTCTAACACACAAGTAATTTCCAGGTGTGGTAAGTGTCGACGCTACATGAAATACGTGCAGGCGAAACCTTCTCGTCTTCACTGCTCCATGTGTGACGAGACATATTCCCTGCCGCAGAACGGCAACATCAAGCTCTACAAGGAACTCCGGTGTCCGCTAGATGACTACGAGCTGGTGTTGTGGACAACTGGTGCCAAGGGCAAGGTCAGTCCTTGATATGTAAATCCTTTAATCTTCTTATCTGCTGATCGGCCATAGTTCATGGCTTGATTTGTTGTTGATTCTGTTTGTTTCTCTCCCCAAGTGGGGACGTGAAACAGAAAAACTCAATTACTTGTGGAAAGAGGTGACTGAGTGAACTGTGTGAATGTCTGTCATCATACCTAACAGTTTGGGAACTTAATCATTACTTCGATTGCTGGTTTGATTGGCAGGATATGATTATTCAGACATCGTTTGAAGAGCTGGAATGTACCAAAAATTGTTTACTGGTCAAATTAAGACCAAATATTACTGTTTGCTGTCATTACACATTGAACGTCCCATTAGAACTCCTTTTTACCTGATCAATGAGAGCATACCTGCTGATATTATTGAAGTCCAAAATGTTTTTTCTAATCATGCAACCTCAAAATGGCTAGCACGGGACATTTTGAATGACCATTACACTGACCATTACACATCACATAACTTGACAGAAGAACTGCAATACAATCTCAGCCTTAGACATTTCCTGAATGTCATCAGTTTGAAGCTAGTTCCAGTGAGCTGGAGAAAGCTCAGGGGTGGAAATAACCCATTGCCCGACGCCCGAGTCCAGTGTTTTTTTCTGTCGGGCAAGCAAATTTGTATATCACACTGTACCGGTGTCCAGTTTACTTTCCAATGTTAATTATGTTGTTTATTTAAAAAATCAACACGAAAATCGGCCAGTATAGTGGAAAAATTATCAGGGCAAGTGATTTTACTTGTGCCACTGTACCGGAGTACACTAGCAGTTTTAAAGTTATTTCCACCCCTGAAGCTACTTTTCTATTGGCTTTTGTTTAGTCCTTTTTGCAACTGGTGGTGAGGGTCATTCTCTTCCCACAGAGGTTACTCCTGTCATATCTTCCTACGTAACCTCTGTTCTAATACGGCCATATTTCCCGGTTCTCGTAAAATCCCCTAGCGGCAAAAGATCGCAACACGAATTATCTCCTTTCTTTCTATCCAATCAGAACACCTGTTACATTGACTTAGATTCAACTTGACTAACACAAGCAAATGTGGGGCCACAAATATCCCCCATCTGCCAGGGACTTGTGTTGATGTTACACACAAGACGTTTAATGGCTAGCTTGTCCGTTGTCAACGAGGGCGATGGAGACGCCACTGATCTGTCTAGAAGAAACGTTTGCGCATCGCGCAGGGGAAGAAGTTTAGTTTTCTCGAAGCATACAGAAATTACCGAGGCCTTGCGAATGATCACTTTTGAAACAACGTCGCTGATTGCACAACTAAATCTGATTGTCTCCAATCACGAGTCTTGAACGCTCACACCATGAAAGGGCCGTATTAGAACAGAGGTTACGTAGGAAGATGTGACAGGAGTAACCTCTGTGGGAAGAGAATGGGTGAGGGTTGGCAAGGGTCAGTGGGACATGACCTGTAATGGGACACCTTAGATCATTGTTTAGGAGAAGCCAGAACTTAGATCTGAAGTAGAGTCTATGAGCACTAGGATGTGATGTAGTAGTTATGAGATCTAAGATGAGATGTAGTGGTAATGAGCACTAAGATCTGTTTTCATTGAGGCTGAAAGAAACCATAAAGACTACAATCCCGTTTGTTTTTCAGAGTTATCCACTGTGTCCATACTGCTACAACCACCCTCCCTTCAAGAACATGAGGAAGGGGATGGGTTGTAACGAATGTACACATCCGTCCTGCCAACACTCCCTATCACAGACCGGAATCTCAGAGTGTGTGGAGTGTGAGTACGGCATCCTCGTCCTGGACCAGACGTCTGGACCCAAGTGGAGGATGGCTTGTAACAAGTGAGTCAACTTTAGCTTCATGTTCACTCACACACATGGCAAGTGAAGATCCGGATTAGAATTGGTCTTCAACCCATGCTTGTCGTAAGAGGTGACTAACAAGATCAGAGGGTCATGTTTGCAGACTTGTTTGACTCGTGTCACTGTATCCCAATCGCATAGATTAATGCTTATGATGTCAATCCCTGGATTGTGTTGTCCAGGGTTGATTATTTTAAAGCCACCTTGTGTTCTTTAACTTTGTTTGAGTAACATGTTGCCTACATGACCTACTGCCTTGTTTTGTTTCAGGTGTAGTGTGGTGATCAACTTCTTTGACAATGCTTCCAAGATTACCATCGGTGAAGACACCTGTGACGACTGTGGTGCTAATACTGTTGTTGTGCAGTACAAGGTAAAATATTGATGTCTTGGTTTCAGAGTCTTGGAAAAGTTTCGTAGCAGAAAATATCATCATACAACATGACCTTTTTACAGTACTTAAGGAAATGTTCCTTCACTATTTCTGGTCAACATGTTATCAGATATGGGACATACCATGATTAACTTAATAAACAGTCCTGCACTTATTGCTATCAGCATTTCATCAGGTTTTGGGGCATACCATAATGCAGTGTATGAAATAAGCCAAAATTCCAGCCAGACATCAGGGCTGGTAACTTCAAAATGTTACCAGCCCAAAATGGATTTAACCAGACCAAATATGGTGAATTTACTCAGATGTATGAAAGATCCAAAAAAAATTACCAGACCATCAGGCTGGCTAGCTGTAAATTTAGACCGTCCGTCAGAAATCTAGACCGCCTCGGGCCTTATTTCATACACTGCATAATGGACTAAATAAATACTCCTGGTTAACATTTCATCATGCATTAGGACACGAAAAACCATTATTACATCAGTAAGAGGTCATTGGTGTGTTCTTGGCCCTCTTTCATCGGGTTGTAAGACTTACCATCATCACCTCACGGAGACAGATTCTGCACTTATTCCTTGCAGACATTACACTAGAACAGGATCATGTAAATCTAGTGTTTTGTTCTATTTGGTTTTCAGAGCAAGTCTCCTTTCCCTAATGGTGATGAAGAGCACACGGGGTGTGCCTTCTGTGATGCTGTGTTCAAGTCACTCATTGAGAAACATTATGCCGTCAACCTGTCGAACCGCCGTGGCCATGGTGGCAGAGGACGTGGGGGCAGGGGAAGAGGAGGTCGTGGCCGTGGCAGGGGTCGAGGAAGAGGAAAACCAAAAGACAAGATGGCTCAGCTTGCTGCCTATTTTGTATAGCATGATTTTATGGAGACCTTTTACAACGGTTAAAGACTTGTTATTGTACATCTAGATGTTTATATACATCTAGGACAGTACGTTCTTCCCTGTTAGGTGTACAGCATGTGCACGTAATGAATGCAAGAAATGTCCATGGTTGGAAGTGTCGCCACTTACAGATGTGTAGAATTAGTACCTGGGTAGACAGTCATAAGGGATGCCAATATCACAAGACTCTACGTGTCCACCTTCAGGGCTCAAGGGTTACATGAACAATCTGTAACAGACGTGAGCTCTGCTGTAGTCTACTCTTATATTCAACATAGTGTACAGGACAGAGGAAAGTTCTCTATAAACCTACAGACATTTCTTCAAGGCAATCCTGCCCACAACAAACAGTCAATGTCTGGAAATATTTCATCAGCCACACTTGACATTTCTTTGGACCAGGTACATTCGAATGACTGCTCTGAGATGGTATAAGTTTGTGAAAAATACTCCTTTCACTGCAACAGTTCAGTGGTGCCATGTTTATCGGATCTATTCAAGCTGTTTTCTGGGACAGTATGTGGTGGATTCAGTCAGGTCCACCCATGAAGGTTGTTATCAATGGCCACTTGTGTCAACACGACCCTGCGCTTACACGAATGTGCTCATTTGAAGACTTGGAAAATGCTCCAGAGTACTTAGAGATCTTTTACATCGGAATAGTGCAAGCATGCTAGTCTTTTGACAAAAGTAATCAATAAAAAAATATGATCACAAAGTATTATTGTTTGTCATAAATGTAGGTAAAATTCTGAATGTGAAGTGTCAGGGTAAATTTGTGATCAAGATCAGATGGCAAGATATGTTGACCCTGGGTTCATATGCCAGCCCACGCACTTCAGGTTCCAAGCTTGATCCAAGTAAATATTTCGTGAAGCACCATATGTACATAAATATATGCATTGACGGTGAGCTTAACTGGTCGTCTGATGTTTCGAGTCCCTGAGACAAACCAAAAACAGAAGTTTAGGATTCCAACCCACAGGAATATTCTGTCATCTCCTAGACAGCTCATGGACTTCAAATTGAAAACAAAACACATATTGGACGCATAAAATTTATTTCAATACATCCATGCTGCAACCAGTTTATTCCTGCAACAGAGAGAAGACATTGCATCACAAGATGTCCTTCAGGTGTAAAATCGAAGTTATGATGTAACAAACTGAGCAGAGGCAAAACAAATGTACAAAACATGAGCCCTACTTGGCAAGGATGGCAATTCTAAAGATTATGTAGCTACTTTGTTATCAACAATGTCTCGTTCACCAAGCAGTTGTATCGTAGTTAGAAGTCTGTCATTCATTAAGTGAAAGTCATAACACTTCTTTCCTACAAGGGGTGAAACGGTACGGTCTGTATTGCGGTACAAGGCCTTCGGTTCGGTCCGGTATATGAGAACTTACTTCCGAGAAAAAAGTGGCCATCTGGCCAAGAAATGCATACATTTTGACAAAATGCTCGATTTGTAGACATTTTAGAAAAGGTTTTAAAAGGTTAATAAATGACGGTACAAAAACCAAAAATACCGAATTTTTGGAATGCACTACAGTATACCGAACCGAAGGCCAAATACTGTGGTTCTACTAATACCGCGGTATACCGTTTCATGCCTATTTCCTACGAGTATGTATGGTTTTATGCCACATTCAGAAATATCACGATGGGGACACCATAAATGGACTTCACACATTTTACCCATGTGGGGAATCGAACCCAGGTCTTCAGCGTCACAAGCGGACACTTTCACCATCAGGCTACCCCACCGCCCCTTATTCCAATAAGTACTGTTTGTCACTTTTAGCAATATCAGGACGAGGTACACTATTCCTATGAACATAAATGTGTTATATACCTCTGGGGTTTCCATTTCTCCACTGTCAATCTTCTCAATGATAGTGTGTGGATGACTTCTCTCAACTGTGCACCCAACTGACTGACAGGTTCCTGAAATATAAAAAACAAACAATGAAGACAAGGCTCTTCAATCATGTGTTATTCAACTTTTTCTCATTAGTGCATTCACTCTCACAAGTTAAACAGTGCCTTGTGAATATCATCTCAGAACACAAAATTTGCACCTACAAGGATATGTGCCATGCATTCAGTGCCATACGTCTGAGTGGGGGTTTCAAGCCGCTTTTAGCAATATTCCAGCAATATAACTACAGGGGAAAACCCGAAATGGGCTTCACACAATGTGCCCATGTGGAGAATTAAACCAGAGTCTTCAGCGCGACGAGGGATCCTCTTAACCACTAGACTACCCCACCGCCACAGTGTCCTATGAAACGAAGACCATATAAGTTTTGAGTGAATTGTCCAACACCAGTACTATTCCTGGTACAAATACTGGGCAAGCAAATCTGGTTGAGAGACCCAGTAACAATGCCAAACATACAGCAACAGCCAATTTCTCCATCACAATGACTTGGAAAAAAGTTCTTACATACCCAGAATTTCTTTGACAGTCCCGGAGAAAGCCTTTGCCATACTCCTTGGCCTCATCTGTCTGGCTATCTTGAAAACATCATCCATTGTGATGTTGCCCGAGTGCTTCACTGAAAGACGAGTTGATGTATCAATTATCAAATTCCAAGTACAATAAGTAAAACATAGGGAACAAGACCTATTTCATACTAGGTCATCATGACATTCATTGTTTGTCCTTTACCATACGAGCACAGTCCAGAAATTGACACTATCAGGAATACTATTTTACTAAAATGGCTTATCAGCACTAAAGTACTATCACATGACTTTCTTTTTCAAAAGACATGCATTTCAAGTCAATGTCATTGCTTCAATCAACCAAGTGTATTCCATTTAAATGACAGCAGTCTGCAAATAACCGGTCTGGACCAGACAATACATTGACACGAGCATGGTCCTGCTTAACTTGGAGACTATGACAGGCATGAACTGAGACAAGTCTGGCCGCCTGATTCTGTCATTTGCCACGCCATATAGGCCGCTGCTTCAACCCGTTCTAACCGGCATCTTGAAGGGAGGTCAAGTTGACTCTGCAGTAAAGGATACTTACCGTGCTTCACCTTCTTCCTGTCCCTTGGCGGCTCCTTAAGGGCCTTGATGACGAGGGATGCAGCACTGGGTACGACTTCAACCTTGGCCTGTCTGTTTTGGATGATCAGCTTCACGGTGATCTTCAGGCCTTTCCACTCGGTCGTGTTCTTAGCAATGTCATCACCAATCTTCTTGGGGGACTGAATTCAAGAGAGACAAATAAACACCAGTTCAACATCTATTCAACTCCAACAGAACAATAATGGGCAACTTTGGATGTCAACAGGTGCTTTCTGACTTCTTTGAGAGGCATTTTAGAAGTTTGGAAGTGTGGGTGTGACATTTTGATACAGATTCTTGTATCCTGCTAGACCATGTTGCAAGAATCTGTTTCGCACTCACAAAATACAAAATACAATAACCACCAGTCCAAGATGAGTACAAATGTACTGGGACCGTCTGCATTCTCAAATACAGATACTTCACATAAACCGCCACTCTGAGATGTGATCGAGTTGGAAGTGGACATGGTGTTTATCTCTTAATTTTCAGCAGTGTTCTTTGGTTTTAAAACAGCCAGTTTGACAATGAACACACTCATTACAAAATGTTGGATAGAACTCTTTCTTTTAATATGGTCTCGGGCAATTTAAACCAAAATTTCTTACAAGATTTTAACCAATTTTCTAAAACCCAGCTACCTGACCATCAGATATACTGTTTTATTTCATCAAATATATATTCAAGGATTGATTGGATAATGTCATCATGTTAGGTGACAGTGGTGTCAACAATGACCCACTGCCTAAGACATGATAGTTGATATTGCACCTGGTGAAAAAAACTATATTCATTTTCTAAATACAGCATGCCTCAGGTGCAGACCCTACAAACATGATTGAGCATACATGTATGTCGCTTTACCTAAACATCTTAAATCAACTTATTTACAAATTGAGGAATGCTAAACCTACCAGACCGAGGGGACCAATCTTGGGGGCAAGCGAGGAGGTTGCTGGAACTTCTCCACCGACAGCCCTCACACATACTGAAAGAGAAAACATTGATCAGACTACTGACTAATCAACCCAACTAATCTGATTTACCATTTATTAGGTTTTGATATAATCTTAACAAAAAATGAAGAAAAGTCTGCTTAACCAATCAAACCCTTCACCAAGAATAACCCACCAACATCCATCTCATGATAAGCCAGCCAAGTTGTCTTTTAAGAATCTCCACCACATCTCTAAAACCAAGTCACCTGACAATCAGATCCACTGTTTTTCAAATTAATCTTCAACACAGAATTGTGTATATGTCATCAAGTTAGGTGACAGTGGTGTCAACAATGACCCACTGCCTAAGACTTGATAGTTGATATTGCACCTGGTGAAAAAAACTATATTCATTTTCTAAATACAGCATGCCTCAGGTGCAGATCTCAGAAACATTGACAGTAGTTATCTTGTCAACTCAAGAGTTCATGGCAAGTTGGACAAAACCCAAATGTTTACACCCGAACACCCACCCACATAACATATCAATCATTCAAACAAGTTGACACATTTTTCCCCATGTTGTGCCAGTTTGGTAATGGCAAAAGTATGTACAATTTCAATCACTGCAGTGATCGGACAATCATTTTAAGTTAGTTATTTTCCAACAGTCTGGACCATAATTATTTATTTACAATGAAAGCGTTTTCTAATAAAATCCCATTTAAAAAATGTAACAAACGTATATGGAACAAAGTCAACCTCACTATTGTAATTTTGCAGCACATGACTATATCATTTAGCCATTTAGAGAACTAGGTAAGTTTTAATTGACGAAAGAGCCAACATGCATAAGGTTTTGCCCGACTACTGCCCATTCCAGCGTGTCCTGTGACTATCATTGGAACATTCGTTTCCAGACACTAAGCCAGCACTCCATAATCAGTCTCTCTGTTGAATTCATCTGTTAAATTCCCACAGAAATCGCCTTGACCGACACAAGCACAACTTCACAACGACTGAACGTGAACAGAAAATATGGGTTAACATAAAAAAAGTCATTGTACGTGTTACTAATGACACGCCAGACTTCTTCGCAATATTCCATCACATCAAAATATTCAACCATCTGTACTTGTCCTGAGAAACGTTTTCTATGGTGGAAATAAATACATGACAAGACAGATATAACGCCAACCTTACTTACAACGTGTCCTCTGCCATGATGATGACACAGCCAGTGCTAAGTCAGTGGGGGAAAGCTGAAAATAACGGAATATATGGATCTACCTTCGTGAATAACGGTTGGATCGAATTTGGGAGGCATTGTAGTTGCTTAAAGTGAACTTGTTTTCGATCTAGATGTCAGCAATGGTGTTGGATGAGCCCGATAGGACACGACCAAGCAAGATGCACCACCACCGACTGTAATAGTGGAGGGGAAAGAGGGCGCACACGTGCTTCCGGGGAGATAAGTCAGATTGCATGCGAATGGTGAAATAGTTTGTCAGTAGCGGGACCGTCCTACAAAATATGTCGTTTTTATAACAAGAATTAAATTGACAATATTATTAGAAAATGCACTTCATGAAACAAAAACAAAACAGTGTAACTATGTCATGGGTTATAATTTCACTTAATCCGTTGAAAGAAGCAAAGGTACATTATATATCGTCTCTGCCATTTTTAGTGACTGCATTCTATGTGACGACCCACCACTGGCCGTTTCACAAGTCAGCGAAACAGTCAGGGATTACTAACTGGATTTATGGAAGTACCACAAAAGAAAAACAGGCAGAAGTTAGTTACAACTCATCATTTGCATTTAGGGACCGTGCATAATTTATGGCTTGGGGGTGTGGGGTGTGTGTGTGTTTGTCAGCAATTTTGTACATAGGAATATTTAATAATTATGCTTAAAGATTATGGGAAGGGAGGGGGCATTGATTTTGTACATGACATGCAGGGCGGGGTCACTTACTTTGTACATAAATTATTTTTTTTAAATGTTTTATTATTATGTTTTTTTATTTATTTATTTTTTATTATTATTATTTTTTATTATTATTTTTTATTATTATTATTTTATTTTATTTTATTTTATTTTATTTTTATTTTTTTTTTTGGGGGGGGTCATTCACATTGTACATGCTTCTCCATGAAATACATCATCAGACAAGTGTACGTAGTGATGGCTTTGACTAACATTTAAATCGAGATGTAGTCATCTTATCCAAAAGAGTTATGCCTACAAAATAGAAATATTCCAAATGGATCCCAGAACTATGCTTATTTCAACTGAGACAATCTTTGTTTATTTGTTGTTTGACACAACACTCAGCAATATTCCAGCTCTATGGCGGCTGTCTGTAAATAATCGAGTCTGGACCAGACAATCCCTTGATCAACATCATGAGCATCGATCTACGCAATTGGGATACGATGACATGACTGTGTCATCCAAGTCACCGAGCCTGACCACCCGATATCGTTAGTCGCCTCTTTAGCGTTACAAGCCCCCGTGTCTTCAAAAACCCATGAAGACACAGGGGTTTGTGACGCTAAAAACTGCCATCAAGGTATATACTGTCACTGACGGGATCTTAGTACTGTGTATTTATGCGTACAAACGCTGTGTCAAATATTGGTATAAGTTGTTGAAAATGCCGGCATCGCGTTTTCCTAAAAATGTATAACTTAATGTTGCTAGATGTTTCCCACGGTAAAATTAATTGGGCTTCAAAACTTGTGTTTTTATTAAATAGCATGAGATTTGGTAATGTATGGGAGACCCAGTGTATTAACAATCTAGACTCATTTCTTTTTGAATTCACTACTAGGGCACAGAATATGTATGTACAGTGTTGGCATGAATCATTAACATCTAGTTCTAAAACTTATTCCTATTCACTGTATAAACATGTATTTGTCCCTGAGACATATTTAAGTTGTATAAATGTGACAAAATTCCGCATTGCGCTTGCGCAGTTTTGTTGCAGCTCTCATCAGTGAAATATTGAGACAGGTAGATATATTAATAAGCCAAGGAATGTCAGATTTTGTCATATGTGTTCGGGTGCTTACATTGAAAATGAATATCATTTTCTCCTAATATGTTCTGCCTATGATCATCTGCGTACATCTTATATTCCTGTGAACTATTATACATATCCATCATTATGCAAATTTAATACTTTGATGTCTGTAGACAATTCCACTGTGCTACGAAATCTAGCTATGTATCTATTTTATGCGAATGAGCTGCGTACAAGCCGTTTGTTGGCTGTATGAAGTAATATTGTACTACGGACCGATGGCCTACATACACCAGAATAAAGAGAGATTGAAAAGGCACATGTCCCCACGTGCTTCGTTGTAGGGCAGGACTGAAGTCCTAGATACTCTAAGAAGTCAAGCCTTGCATGTCATGTACAAAATCAATGCCCCCTCCCTTCCCATAATGTTTATACACAATTTTTAAATATTCCTCTGTACAAAATTGCTGATAAACGGTCACCCATCCAAGGACTCTCCGCGCTCGACGTTGCTGAACTTAATCTAACTTTGAGTTGAGCTCTATGCACGGGACCAAACACCACCACGGTTAATAAGCTGAGACAATCACTTGAGGCAATCCAGAATTGCTGCATCATTCTAGACTTAAGTCACCAACCTGACTTTCTTCACACATGCAGTTGTCTACAGAGTTCAGTGACAGAGCATTTATTCTTCCTAACCCCTTCTGACCTGGGATGTCACGATTAAGAGCTGAAAGATTGCTAAATCAGCGTTAAAGAATATTGATTCAATTCAATTATTTTAGTCAGTATTATGGGCCTTAGGCCCAGGGTACAAACAGTATGTACAATATTCTTGGTGTAAAGCTGTACAGAATACATAATATATTTCAAAATATAGATTGCATGATACAATACATAACATTTCACATAGAAAGTTACAAATCATCAAACAATGATGAACAGTGTGGAATGAGATTGGGTTATCTCCCTTCCACCAGGTGCTGAGGTACTTCTGCCTCACAGCCGAGGCCTGATTTTCAAAATTATTGATTGACTCATTAACTGTAATAAGACGGATTTAACCCACTTGGATGTCCAGTCATTTAATGTGCAGATTTGCGTCCCTTTGCCGCCCAGGATCCTCTGACTAAACCTTCTGGATTCAGTGGCGGATCCAGAGAGAGAGAGAGAGAGAGAGAGAGAGAGTTCAGAGAGAGAGAGAGACCACCACCACCACCCCTTTTTGACTAAAGGCCACATTGAAGTTAATGTTTTGCAATGGCAGAGCCAAGATGGGGTTCAGGGTTTCCAGAATCCCTGAAACAACACCCTTCGACACCACTACCACCACCTCCTCTCCCCCTTGAAAATTTCTGGATCCGCCTATGCTGGATATAAGAGTGTCTGACACCTTGCAATTGTCAGGCGTGTCCACGCAGAGAAGTTGCCCATAATACAATGTGAACTCCGGCTGGCTAGAACACTTCCTGGCGGTTCTAACCTGCCGTGCCAATGCTTCACCAACTCACACATTCTTAAATATTCTAATATGTCGCTATGTATTTAAAGTCCTTCTCCTGATATAACAGAGACGTTTCTACATAATTTGTGTAATGTATTTTCCTGGTCTTATTAACCAGTGAAGATCGGGGTTAGTCTTCAGCAACCCATGCTTGTCATAAGATGCGACTAACGGGTTCGGGTGGTCAGGCTTGATGACTTGTTTGACACATCTCATCGTCTCGCAATTGCGCAGATGGATGCTCATGCTGTTGGTCACTGGATTATCTGGTCCAGACTTGATTATTTACAGACCATATAGCTGGAATATTGCGGCGTACGGCGTTAAACAACAAACAAACAATTCCTTGTCCTCCTTGCCTCCATCAATTCTGCGACTAAAGTAACAATTCGTTCATCTGCTTAAGGACGATGATCTTCTTCGGGCTTCTTGAGTTAGTTATCTGTGTCACTATCCATCGAGCAGGCTTCCGTGTCATCACTGGGGCGGTGGTGGTTAAAGCCTTCGCTCGTCACGCCGAAGAACCGGGTTCGATTCCCCACATGGGTAATGTCTGTAGCCTATTTCTGGTGTCCCCCGCCATGATATTGCTGTCATATTGCCCCCAAAAGCGGCGTAAAACCATACTCGCCCCATGTCGTCAATGTCACCAATCAATATCCGGGTTATAATTGATCTTCAGCAACCGATGCTGGTCGTAAGCGGCGAGTGACAGAATCGGGAGGTCAGGCTCGCTGACTGTTTTGACACATGTCACTGTATCCCAGTTGCGTAGATCGATGCTCATGCTGTTGATCACTGGATTGCCTGGTCTAGACTCGATTATTTGCAGGTCGCCGCCATATACCGTATTTCCTCTAATAAGCGCCCGTACGCTTAATTTTTGAACGGACCTCCAGACTCGGCGCTTATTAGAGGCCCGGCGCTTATTGCGCTTACTGGGTGTACAGCAATTAATTGTTAGTGAGCGTTACGTCAAAGTTAGGGACCATTCCTTAATAAACCTATTTTGGGATCAAGGGAGAATACGTTTATAAAAATAAGTACTCGGTGCATATTAGACACCCGGAGCATATTGGAGGCTCGGCGCTTATTTCTTAAACCGCTGCTTTACACCCGGCGTTTATAAGAGGAAATACAGTACTAGCTGGAATTTTGCTGAGTGCGGTGTAAAACAACGAACCAAGAAAATATCACCAGTGCCATTACAGCCCTCCTCTCACTCAAACCAGTCGCCCTCTCTTTGTCCATTACCAATGATTATGGACCGCCTCCGTAGTGGTACTAGCGGGAAAGTCGCGGGTCTCCCCGACCGCGTATACCAAAAAGACGTTAAAATATGGTCTTTTGGTCTGCCTGCGTTGGCATTAATGCGTGAACAAGGACTGCCTCCTGTGTGTCTGAGTGGGGTATTCATGCTTCACTGCGGCGTGGTATCTCATGAGCTATAATAAGTCTGGGCTAGTACAGACTGTATAGAGGCACCCCGAAACGTGGTGGTTCTCTCATATTAAGGTACATAAGTTGACATCCACAAATGTTCCCTTTGATCTGTTTCAGTCTTAAATCCCACTCAAAGGTCTCAATAGTTAAATACACTGTATATGGGAATATGTAGTTCGTAACACAAAAAGGGCTTTCGCACTTTTGAGATTGTTCACAAAGTAGGGACTCCTCATCAAAATATAGCAACTCGCTTGTTTTTCAGTTCAAATGATGGCTAACTGGCCTCACTGGACCCGACGTAAAAACTTATCACCGTTTCGAAGTTGGAGTTTTCTACCAGATATAAACTGGACAATTTACTGTCAAGAGAAGCTTTGTGAAGCCGTTACAAAATGACAGACGAAGTACCCTAGTGGTTAAAGCTTTTGCTCGTCACGCCGATGCCCCGGGTTCTATTCTATAAAGGGGTGTAATCGGTGAAGCCCATTTCTAATGTTGTCGGGGAGGTAGGGTAGCCCAGTGATTAAAGCGTTCACTCGTCATGCCGAAGGCTCGGGTTCGTTCCCAAGATCGGTCCCGTCGGTCTGGTAGGTTTGGTATTTCTCAATTTGTAGAGGTGGTGGGGTAGCCTAGTGGTTAAAGCGTTCGCTCGCCACACCGAAGACCCGGGCTCGATTCCCCACACAGGTGCTATTTGTGAAGCTCATTTCTGGTGTCACCAGCCACGATATTGCTAGACTATTGTCAAGAGCGGCGTAAAACCCAACTCACTCACTCCGATGTTTGTGATATTGCTAGAAGTGGTGTAAAACCATATTCATTGAGCGCTATAAGAAGGAACTCCCAACAAGTTTGCTTGCACTCAGACACGCCTATGTCCACAGTTATTATCAGCTCAGGGTGACGAAAGACATGTTAGAGGGGAAAAGAGGAAGGAACGGAGGAAAGGAGAGAAGGAGGAACGGAAAGAGGAGGAAAGGAAAGGAAAACCAGAGGAAAGAGGAGAGAACGGAGGAAACAGGAGGAAAGAGGAAAGAGGAGAGAGGAGGAAACGAGGGAAAGAGGAAAGGAACAGAGGAGGAACCTAGAGGAGGGAGGAAAGAGCAGGAAAGAGGAGGAGGAACCTAGGAGGGAAAGAGGAGGAGAGGGAGGAAACAGGAGAGGAGGAAAAGGGAGGAAAGGAGGGAGGAGGAAACGAGGGGAGGAACGGAGGGGAAAGAGGAGAGAGGAACGGAGGAAAGAAAGGAGGAACGGAGGGAGGGAGGAGGGGAAGGAGGAAGAGAGGAGGAAAGGAGGAACACAGAGGAAAGGAAAGAGGGAGGAACGGAGGAAGGAGGAAGAGGAGAGAGAGGGAGGAAGGAAAGAGGGAGGAAAGGAGGGAGGAGGGAGGAACGGAGAGGAAAGAGGGGAGTGAAGGAAAGAGTGGAGGAAGGAAAGAGGGAGGAACGGAGGAGAGGAGGGAGGAAACCTATAGGAGGAAAGAGGAGGAGGAAAGAGGAACCTAGGAGGAAAGAGAGTGGAGGAAGAAAGAGGAAGGAGGAACAGAGGAGGAAAGAGGGAAAGAGCAGAGGAGGAGAGGAAAGGAGGAAAAGAGAGGAGGAGGAAAGGAGGGGAGAAAGAGAGAGGGGAGGAAAGAGGAGGAAGAAAGTGGAGGAGAGGAAACGAGGAGGGAAAGAGAGGAGGAGAGGAGGGGGGAAGGAGAGAGGGAGGAAACAGGAGGGAAAGAGGAAAGAGGAAAGAGGGGAGGAACCCAAGGGGAAAGAGAAGAGAGGAGGAAACGGAAGAGAAGGAGGAGGAGAGAGAGGGAGGAAAGAGGAAAGAGGAACGAAGAGGAGGAAAGAGGAGGGAAAGAGGAGGAAGGAAAGAGGAGGAGGAAAGGAGGAGTGGAGAGTGGAGGAACCCCAGAGGAGGAAAGAGTGGAGGAGAGGAACGAGAGGGAAAGAGGAAGTCAGAGGAAGGAGGAGGAACCCAGAGGAAGAGGGAAGGAATGGAGAGGAGGGAGGAGAGGAATGGAGAGGGGAAAATGGGAGGGAAGGAGTGGAGGAATGGAGAGGAAGGAAAGAGGGAGAGGAACAGAGGAGGAAAGGAGGAATGGAGAGGGAAAGGAAAGAGAGGAAAGGAGGAAAGAGGGAAGGAATGGAAAGAGGAGGAATGGAGGGAGGAAAGAGGGGAAAGAAGGAGGGAGGAAAGAGAGGAATGGAAAGAGTGGAAGAGGGAGGAAAGAGGAATGGAGGAGGAAACCAGGGGAAAGGAGGAGGGAGGAAAGAGGAAAGGAGGAGGAAAGAGGAAGGAGGGAGGAGTGGAAGGGAGGGAAAGAGTGGAAGGGGAGGAATGGAGGAGGAAAAGTGGAGGGAGGAAAGAAGGAAAGGAAGGAGGAAAGAGGGAGGAACGGAGGGGAAGAGGAGGAGGAGGAAAGAGGAATGGAGGAAAAAGAGGGAGGAATGGAAGGAACAGAGGGAGGAATGGAAAGGGAGGAATGGAGGGAGGGGAGGAAATGGAGGAAAGAGGAGGAGGAATGGAAAGAGGGAGGAAAGGAGGGAAGAGGGGGGGAGGAAAAGAGGAGAGGGAGGAACGGAGGGGAAAGGAGGGAGGAAGGGAGGAAAGAGAAAGAGGGAGGAAACAGGAATGGGAAAGAGAGAGGGAGGAAAGGGGAGGAATGGAAGGGAGGAATGAGGGAGGAAAGAGAATAGGGGAGGAATGGAAAGAGGGGAGGAAGAGGAGAGGAGAGAGGGAGGAATGGAGGAAAGGAGGGGAGGAAACAGGGGGGAAAGAGGGGAGGAAGGGGGGGAAAGAGGAAAGAGGGGAGGAATGGAAAGAGGGGGAAGAGGAAGGAGTGGGAGGAATGGAGGAAGAGGAGGAATGGAACGGAGGGGGGAAAGAGTGGGAGGAACGGAGGAAGGGGGGAGGAATGGGGAGGAAAGAGGAAAGAGGGAGGAAAGGAAGGAAAAGGAGGAAACCCAGGGGGGAAAAGAAAGAGAGGAGGGAGGGAACCCAGGAGGGGGAAAAGAAAAGAGAGGGGAGGAACTAGAGGGGAAAAGAGAGAGAGGGGAGGAACCTAGGAGGGAAAGAGCAGGAGAGGAATGGAGGAGGGAGGAACCCAGAGGGGGAGGGAGGAAACGGGGGGAGGAACCTAGAGGAAAGAATGGAGGAGGGGAGGAACCCAGAGGGGAAAGAGGAAGAGAGGAGGAACCCAGAGGGAAAGAGGAGAGAGGGGAGGAACCTAGAGGAAGAAAGAGGAAACGGAGGGGAGGAACCTAGGAGGGAAAAGGAGAAGGAGGGGAGGAACCTAGAGGGGAAAGAGGAAAGAGGGGAGGAACGGAGGGGGAAAGAGGGAGGAGGGGAGGAACCCTAGAGGGGAAAGAGTGAGGAAAGGAAAGAGGAGGGAGGGAGAGAGGAGGAACCCAGAGGGAAAAGAGGAGGAAAGGAAAGAAAAGAGGGGAGGAACCCAAAGGGGGAAAGTGGAGGAAAGAGGGAGGAAAGAGGGGAAAAGGAGGGAGGGGGAGGAATGGAGGGGAAAGAGTGGAGGAGGGAAACGGAGAGGGGAAGGAGGGGGACCCAGGAGGGGAAAGGAGGGGAGGAGGAAGAGGAGGAGGAATGGAAAGAAAGGAGGAAAGGGAGGAAAGAGGAAAGAAAGAGGAGAGGAATGGAGGGGAAAGGAGGGAGGGAATGGAAAGAGGGAAAGAAAGGAGGGAGGAAAGGAGGAAAGAGGGAGGAATGGGAGGAAAGAGGAAAGAGAGGGGAAAGAGAAGAGGGGGAGGAATGGAGTGGAAAGAGGAATGAGGGAGGAACCTAAAGGGGAAAGAGCGGAGGGAGGAATGGAGGAACCTGGAAAGGAAGGAGAGGAGGGGAGGAAAGGAAGGGAGGAAAGAGCAGGGAGGGGAGGAACCTAGAGGGGAAGAGGAAGGAGGGGAGGAAAGAGGGGAGGAATGGAGGGGGAGGAACCTAGGAGGGGAAAAGAGGGAGGGGAGGAAAGAGGGGGAGGAAAGGAGGGGAGGAAAGGAGAGGGGAAAAGAGGAAGAGGGAGGAACCCCAGAGGGAAAGAGGAGGGAGGAATGGAGGAACCCAGAGGAAGGAGCAGGAGGGAAGAGGGGGGGAGGGGAAAGAGGGAGGGGAGGAAAGAGGGGGGAAAGAGGGAGGGGGGGAGGAATGGAGGGGGAAAGGAATGGAGGGAGGAAGGGAGGGAGGAATGGGGAGGAAGGAGGAAAGGAGGAGGGATGGAAAGAGGGGAGGAATGGAAGGAGGAGGAATGGAGGGGGAAAGGAGGAATGGAGGGGAATGAGGAAAGAGGGGGGAGGAAGGGGGGAAGGAATGGGGAAAGAGGAGAGGAAAGGAGGGAGGAATGAGAGGAGAGGGAGGAATGGAAAGGAACGGAGGGAAGGAGAGGGGAGGAATGGAGGGGAAAAAGAGAAGGAGGGGAGGAATGGGAAAGGAAATGCAGAGAGGGGAGGAACCAGAGGAAAGAGAAGGGGGAAACCTAGAGGGGAAAGAGGGGAGGAAACCTATAGAGGGGAAAGAGCGGAGAGGGGAGGAACCTAGAGGGGGAAAGAGCAGAGAGGGGAGGAACCTAGGGGAAAAGAGGGGAGGAAGGAACCTAGAGGGGAAGAGGGGAGGAAGGAAACCTAGAGGGGGAAAGAGCAGAGAGGGGAGGAACCTAGAGGGAAAGAAGCAGAGAGGGGAAAGGGGGCGGTGTGGAGCGGGAGAGAAGAGGGAGGAAACCCAGAAAGGAAAGAGCAGGAGAGGGGGAGAGGCCTAGGTATAGGTAGGGAGAGGGGCGAGGTGGGGCGGGTGTCGAGTGGAGTGGAGAGGAATGACTTTTAGTTTGCAATATGTGTTCGCAGGTTTTCGAGTTGACAGCGGATTGAAAGCAAATAGGAATGTGTAGCCCTCCCTAGTAGTAAGAATTATACACACTTACTTAATAGCATGCATGAGGTGTACCTTGAGGAATGCATTAACTAACAGTCACTGAACTTATCAGTTCACATGCATACATTCAGGTACTTGTCGGCACTGCATAGACATGTAGATTCCCACGTATACCTTCAGAAATCAATAGTGGTGCCGCTTTTACTCTTAAGCACGTAGTTCTTTTGATGGTTACTCGGTAAAGAGCGCATGACAGCTAATTCGCCAGTTTAATGCGATATGGCTTGTGTAAGCATGTCGTGTTTGTTATCTTGGCCTGACTACGCACCCCGGAGCACGTCCGCCACCCACAACACGCTGTACAGGAAGGTAGAGGTCGTGGACTTGTCTATACAAGACTGGGACACTGTCTACGTCACGAGAAGGTTTAACGCTTATAAGTGAACCTGCTAAATGTCACGCATTGTTATGCACTAGGTATGTTCTTGTCTATATATATTCGCGTGAACTCGCTTTAGGGCATCATCACTTCAGGGCATCTTCAAAGTATTAAATCAAATGTACTTGAGACCTGTTATATGGCAATCAAGTGCATTTTTACTGTCTAAAGTTGATATGCGTGTGTGAAGATGATGTTTTTTACTTTTCCGTAAATAAAACATGTTTGACATATCTCTTTATCATAACATGAAACCTTCGACATTCTCACACGTGAATTTTCTGGGTTTACGTAATATTGCAAGTTTTCTGACGGAATATGGAAACCAAAGTGTTAAGGAAAATGTCGCATACTTTAAATGTAAATATTTTGTAGTGAGATAATATTGCGTACAAATAAATTCTTTCAACGAAAATTGGGGAAATCTAGACTTGCTTCATTTAGGGCTTTAGCATTGCAGGGTGGGCTAGGCTGTAGGGACAATAATGTGGTCCAGGGACTGTGAGACGGACTCAGAAACCCACTGATTATGAAAAACATTTTTGCCCTCACCCACGGTGTGGGGTGTTCCGTGATGTATTATGTTTTTCTATCCTGTAACAGGAACTCTCCCCCATGCATCATGCTTCTTACTGCATACCAGTCATATTTGGTCATTGGTTTATTCTAAACGATTGTACCTGTCTGCTATAGAATTGAATGTCGTCTCGTTTTCAAGTACGACGCGTACAATAAAAGCGTTGAGAATAGACAACCCGGGCTGTGCCCCTTGTACCTTAATTATACTTCCTGCTGCATTCCATACAACTCCGTCGCGTCGTTTAGTTCTTAGTCACTATACAAATGTAGATCCTGGTTAGAATTGTCTTCAACAACCCATGCTTGTCCCCACCATGACGATCCTGGTTAGAATTGTCTTCAACAACCCATGCTTGTCCCCTCCATGACGATCCTGGTTAGAATTGTCTTCAACAACCCATGCTTGTCCCCACCATGACGATCCTGTTAGAATTGTCTTCAACAACCCATGCTTGTCCCCACCATGACGATCCTGGTTAGAAATGGTCTTCAGTAACCCATGCTTGTCGTAGGAGGCGACTAATGGCATCGGATGGTCAGGCTCGCTGACTGGGTTGTCATAGATCAAAGCTCATGATGTTGATCACTGGATTGCCTGGTCCAAACTCGATTAAACATTGAGCCAACCAACCAACCAATCTCATTTATTACCTAGAAAGGTTAGAAAAATCATAAGTGCAGTGGATAGAGGATACTAAACGACCTTCCGTGTAATACCATTTTTATCAAACGAGTTTATAATTTGGTATCAAACGAGCGAAAAGCTAAATCTTTCACGAGTTTGATAAAAATGGTATTTCACGGAAGCGAGTTTAGTATTCTGTAATAACTCTCAAACATAAATTGATAGAAACTGCCTACAGTGTGATTACTCTCAGCTTTCCGCGAGTCAAGCAAGGTCTAATACCATTGTGACAGAGGTATTAGCATTATGACGTCATATCTGTAAACCATTATGACGCCATAGGTCTATCGGTATTACATTAGTGTAATATTGCCGTAAAATACACTGCAGTATCTTCCACGGGAGAATAATGATATGGGAGATGGTCCAGAGTATTGTTTACGTCATTTAAATCTTATTGTGACATAGGGTCGGAATGACGTCACACTGAAAACAATTTCGTAGCTAAGGATTTGTTTACGTCATGTGACAATCGTGAATAGTGCATTTTGCTAAACCAGGGTCAATAGGGTATAAAAATAGTAAGAAATAAAGAAATTATTACACTAACATTACTTCCAATTTCGTGGATTTCATAGCTGTGAACAGGTCTATAAATGCTTCTTAATGTAGCATATGTCAGGCAGACAAATTTACAAATACAAGATATATCAACTCCATGCTTTCGAAGAATAGTTGTTTAAATAGGCAACTCGTCAAATCTTCTGGTGTTAAGAAACGTTTGATATAATGGTCCTCGATGCAATTTCAATTCTTTTGAAGATATGTAAAAATATACATGCTAGAATTCCAAATATGTATTGATATCACGTATGTACAAGTACTTGGTGTCTGTCTTTCCCAATATGTGACTAATAAAGGTTTCGATTTCGTCACACTGATGCGTAGAAACTGACGACATGTCACGTACACCACAAACTTGGTTGTCAAGTTAAAAATAGATGTTAATAATCACGTTTCGGTCCACTAGTCTTAAGTATTTCCCACGTTTTAGTTCATACCAGCGTAAAAAGAGTCAATGTCACTGTAACATGCGTCACAAAAATATAAATTATACTTTTAAAGTTAAATTTAGAATGATAAAAGTTCCTTTATATGTCCTGCCTTCCTCGTGATTCATCTGGACTTACCGAGAAATTTCCTTGTTGACCTTTGACTGATCTAAATATAGAAGCTAATTTTAAAATGTGTTTTCCTCCCTTGAATCAATTTTGTGAATCGTTATAAACCTCTCATTTAAATTCTTGGATATTGTTTGAACATTTTTCAATTTCAGCTAAAAGTATTGTCTAGTTATACCGTCCTCAATGATTACCGAGAATCTGATGCAATATTTTACCGACAACCTTGACCTTGCAGGTGGTCGCGGAAGTAACAAATATCCCTACGCTCATTGGTTATTTTCAGATAACGACGCCTTTCATGCTTTATAACTAACATATTTTCTTCAAAAGAAGTCACATAGATCCAATCATAATACGATTACGTCAGGAAACCAACATATGAATATATTGTCACATTATATACACGGAACTATGTTTCTACGGCGCATTACGATTTCTGTGATCAACTCATCGGTATATGAGAAACCAGCTGAAATCATGTGTTCATTCTACAACTCAAACGAAAGTTCAAGATTTTAATGTTTACAGCTCCGACAAAATAATGGATCTGAGAAGAAAATCGACAGAAGACGAAGTCAAATCTTTTAACAAAGTTGAATGTGAGACAGTTGAAGAGAAAACACACGGTTACCAGTCAAAGCCACCTAATCTCAATCATCGATTCCGTGTTGGGACGGACAATATGTGTAAACAGGATATGATGGGTTCTCGTGGATATTTTAGTGTGTGTGATGATGAAAATATGTTTGTATCTCCCGTCGCTTTTTATTTGATTCCTCACGCGGCAGAATGGAAGGCTGACGACTGAATAAGTTATAGAAAGCCTACTGCTATGCAGACATATGGTCGGAAATGGCGGGGAAACAGCACCGCTTGTGCGCCGGGGCACGTCTCATGGTCAAACGCGAAACCTTTCTTAAGGTTGGACAGTACAGGCGAGGTTTCATCAGTCGACCACACTTCTGGAGATAAAACGCAGTTAGCGTCTACACCGAGAAGCGATAGCAGTTTCAAGATGAAGAACTGGGTCACCAACAGTAGATTTTTTCATGTCAACAATTTGACAAGCGCCAACAATCTGACAAATTCGAAGAACAGTAGTAATTTAGAGTGTACTCAAAACATGTTTGAATGTTTGACAGGGGATTTTTTATCAGATAGAGTTGTCAGCAAAATGAATCCAAAAACACCTCATCAGAAGTTCCAGAAACCACAATGTGGTATTTCTGGTTGGAACTACAATGGACAGGGATTCAGAAGCGTTGGTACGAAAGCCTTTGGTGTATTTCCATGTCATCAGTTCAGTAACTCATTCAATGCTGGATATTATCCATTCCATAGTCAAGGGAATATGGGTATGTTTAACATGTGTCAGTTTGACAATGGGGTTTTGTCTCATGTTGATGCATTTGAAGATCGGTTTTGGCATCAGAGACAGCGAAAGCAGGACAGGTGTCACAGAGGACATTCCCCAAAACATCAAAAACGTGAACATTCAAAGACTGACAGTAAGACTAGTCTTGCCGGAGATGTGACCTCAACAGATGATATGAAGCTCGGAAAAACTCAGTCAGAGGATACATCCAAACATTCCAATGATGCCATGATGAAACATCCACAGGAACCAAGTGTTTCTAAATCAAAAAAGGCAGATAGCCGAAACATGGATATTATTGAGCAATTCCAGATTCAGGTACAACCTGAAGATTGTGTATCGTCTATATTAGATGAACCTAAAACAGAAGACAATAATACTGGTGTAAAGACAGACATGAGGGAATATTCTGTGGCAGACGCCAGTCTCGTAAGAGAACAATTGGTTGATACAGGTGAATGTGTCACCACTGAATTGAGTCAGCCACTGGTTAGACCAGACATTAACAAGACTGAGGAAACTCTGCCTCCAAAGGAGGATGTTATGAATTCCCTGCCTCCAGAGGATGTTAGGACTTCTCTGCCTCCAAAGGAGGATGTTATCAATTCCAACAATGAGAAATGCCCTGAGATTGCTGCAAAAGACTCACATATTGATGTCCTATTAATTCGAAGGAATCGAAAAAAGGGTCGTGCTTCGTCTAGAAGACAGCGTAAGAGAAAGATTGCAAAAGCTAAGTCTGCTAGCTCTAGTAATGGACCTGATGCTTTATCTTGCAGTGAAGGTGACGTGGATGGTCATGAAGATGATCTCCCCCATAAAGTGAGAGAAGACAGTGAGGATAAACAATCCAAACGATGTGCATCTGTGTCTTTTGTGCTCGGTCTAACACCAAGTCCATCGTCACCCAAAGTGCCAAATGGCTCAAGCTCTGAGTTTACTTTTTGTTTTACTGGTAGTGACAGTGATAATGATGGGGACTGGGATGAAGATGATGAGGACGACATTGATTTTGGTCATATTCAAGGAACATTTTCACAATGTGATCTTTTTAATTTTCTACCCAAGAGCAACAAAACAGAACCATCACCCATCAATTTTCAGGTCCACATTTCACCTGTTCACAGTAGCTGCGATGGAGACAAGACTCTTGAGGATATCAATGATTCATGGAATATTCATATCTCCCTCAAAGAGACTTCTTCAGAAAATCAAAAAATCTAAAAAGAAGGTAGGCAAGTCTTTGGCACATTAATTTGAAGTTTGATACTCTTTGTATTAAAATATACTGAGCTATAAAGTTTTAAAATTTTAATGTGATCTCATGTGGTGCAGGCATTTATCAGGTGTCATTACTTATGTAGATTACTGTACTTTAAACGAAAAATACATTGAATGATTTATTGCAATGGTAAGATCATTGTTGAATATATTCAACTACTGGTAAAATCTTAAAAAAATCCAAATTTTTGGGTGCCCGTCTGCATCTGGAATATTGCATAAAGCCGTATAAAACCACTCTTGCTTGTCGTATGAGGCCACTAACAGGATCGGATGGTCAATCTCGCTGACATGGTTGACACGTGATGGTATCCCAATTGCGAAGATGGATGCTCATGTTGTTGATCACTGGATTGTCTGGTCCAGAGTTGATTATTTTGAAACCGCAGCCATATAGCTGGAATATTGCTGAGTGCGGCGTAAAACAAAACTCACTGACACTGTCAACTTTCGGTGTGGGAACGAAGTGTACAATATTCTTTCTGTTTTGTCATGTTGTGATCACAATATGTGATGTTGATTCATCATCTGTATTTTGCAGGTTCATTTTCCTGAAGACAAAGACCTGAAAGTGGTTCACCCCATGATACACTGGTCGTATGCATACAGAGCAGCTCGCAAAGGACATTGGGAGAATTATGTGCGCGATAGAGACCGCTTCAAGCGTAGAATCCAGGACGTTGAAACTGTGCTAGTCCCAGTGTTGGACTCTAAACATAGGCAAAGTGTTTATGAAGAGCGATTGAAGACTGAAAAAAAAACTGAACTGATATCATTATTATCAGTCACTATGTGATTTTGAATTCTTGTCACCCTTTCCTCTGTGATATTCATGGCAGCTCAATATTATGCAATTCACTCCCCGTGGTGCTGTTGTGGAGACTGTTACGTGGGGCCATGCAATTTTCCTCAAGGTGTGTGTTATTGACTTTTATTTCCCATTTCATGCTACAGTCAACAGTGTTGATCGGGTTGTGGCCATTGATCGTTCTGATCAGTCACCAGTGATGATAGTTATGTCATTATATTAACTGGATAGTATTGACTTGAGGGCTGGCATTGTGAAATGACATGTTAAGATTCAGTTTGCTGAAACTATTGACACGGATGAAACTATCCTTAATTTATTTTTTTCCTCTTTCATGTGGTTACTTAAACTATGATATGAATATCGATAGGGATGATAATTGTTCTCAGAGGCTTTTATTGATCTCAATAAATATCATTTGAAATATTTCTCATTTGACTATGGTTTAAAGTCCATCATTATGTTGGAATATTTGCCAGACATTTTCTTCCTGAAAAAGGTATATTGATCCTGAGATGTTCAATGAATGATAACTAACAGCCCAACGACTTCTATGCTCAGAAAAAAAGGGATAAAATCTGCTTTCACAGAATTTCTACATAGAGGTAAAGAAATTTATGATCGTTTAAATCAAGGTTAGAACTGATTTAATGATTGGATATTTAGAAATGAAATTTCCACCAAAACATGTCTTCAGTCTTAGTCCATTTGAAATAGTTTTTATATTGCAAACAGTTTTGTTTCAAGAGCGAGCTTACATGGTTGAACTAATTGAAAAACTTTAACAGTTTTTTGACTCTATAAAAGATAAACACAATATTAGTTTTGTTGTCGGTTGATTTTATCTGACTGTTATGTTCTACTACAGTGGTAAATCATCCACGGCCATTGTTTTATTTGTTCTCCCACTTGGCTGAAGTGCCAACCTGCAAGAGGTTAGAAAGACATGTGATGTTTGACTTTAATTACACATTGACTATTAAGAAGGCTATTTTTAACATGCCTCTTAACAAATGGACAAAGCTTGTTTCCCTGAAAAATGGATATTGAGTTATGTGAACAAACATAAAGGTTAGTAAAGGTTTGAAATGGCACTTTTAATTTTTTTATAACCTTTGCAGGTAGACAACTATTAAACAAGAAATGTTGGTCTGGTTTTAAGGACACAAATGGTAAATAAGGATACAATAATTGAAATATTTTACAATGATGCTGTTGTCTGAACATTGGTAGGTTACATGTTACTCTAGAACATTTTAGACAGAAACTCTCCTGATAAACTAAAGCCAGTTTAATGTTATTGTTTGCCTGAGCCAGTTTGCCTAAAAACCTAAATGAATTTCAAACTTTATTATGTCTGTTATATCTGAATATGTTATGAATGTCTTTACTTATTTCAGGTATGTCTGTTCTTGTTCATTTGTAGTCTTTGATTGTTTTAACATGAGGGGATTGTTTAGGTATTTATAACTTAGTATTTAGTCTCTAATTTATGAGTTATGAGTAAGGCCCCTTGGCTTTCTTGCTCTTTCCTACCTCATGCAAAGAGATGAAAAACTGTCCTCGATTTTCCAATGTATCAGTTCAACATTCTAGATCCTGTTTTAGCTGAATAGGAGTCCTGATTTTAGAGATAAATGAACCATGCTAATTAGCCATACTTGGTCTAGTCAAATCAGTCTTGTTTGCGATACTTACTGTTTAGATTACCGACACTGATCATGTGTCTGAAAAGAGTATGATTGTACTACCGTTTGGTAATATTCTGTCAGTATCACGTCATGGGACACCAGAAATAAGTGTGATAAATTGTACCATATGGGAATCAAACCAGGGCCTTCAGTGTGATGCTTATGCTGTTGATCACTGGATTGTGTTGTCCAGACTCTATTATTCACAGACCACAGACACATAGCCGGAATACTGCTGAGTACTGCATTAACACAACAAACTACTAACCAAGCAGCCTTCAGTTTGAGCGTGAATGCTTTAGTTTAACCCTAGTGTCCTCCCTCATGAATAAGGCCAAGTAAAAAATGTTGTGGTTCCAATTACACCTCTTTAGAATTAAGGGCAGGTAGGTAGGATTTTGTATTATTATTTTTAGAAGTTAAGTTCAAACTAATAACACATTTATCAAAGTGTAAATGTTTCTTCAATCGAGCTTGCAGCCATCATGCCGACCTCCTCTAACAGAATGACCAATGTCCATTGGTGCCGGGGAAAAACAAAGGTATCTGAATTCTTATTATATTCATACTGCTTAAAAAAAATGTAGGGTCGGCACCAGAATTCAAGGGTCGGGTAATTGGAACCACAACCTTTTTTTTTTTTAAGGCCTAGTGATAGTCACAGATGATATGTGGTATGGAATGTAAGTGATACATTGGATAACAGGACCAAACACCAAATGCTTAAAAAGTGTTTTATGTACTCAGGAAGAGATATTGCTGCAATGATATTAGTATCTGTTGACATGTGCAGTGGAGAGTTACACCGCTTTAAGAAGTATTTAGGAGACATTTGGGTGCGTCTAAGGTAACACAAGCACAGATAGTCAACATATTGAGGAATACAGGGTAACGTGGATTCAATAGGCCACTGAACAGTTCCAAGTAACTCTGCAGGTATGACACCTTGGACCACCCTTGTCTATGATGTAGTTAGCATTACTTATATCTTGTTTATATGGGAGATTGAAGAAGTTTTCTACAGTAAAAGTGCAACTTATATGGACAGGAGAGAGTGAACAATAGAATTGGGTAGATGTCTTTGTTAGGATGGCAGAAAACTTTCTCAACAATATCATCACAGAAGAGTTGACAGTAATAAAGTGTTTTAGTCAAAACCTTTGCTTTGAGCCTCAAATCCTTATTTACATATTCTTCCTTTATCACTTCATCTTTGTCCAACATTGACTTGGTTTGGGATATATGTTTTACTTTACTGTTTTATCCAAAGATCAAGGGCAGATTTATCTTGTTCTTGAGAACTAAATTTATCAACAGGTGTAATAGTGATGTATGGACATTTTGGATTCTGGAAATGGAATCAACAAGCTTCAAACTGTCTGGTGATTCTGCTTACGGATTCATCAGATTTCGCCAACTCCAACCATGCTATTGTTGGTAAATCATTTCTCAGTAGTTTTGCATGAAGACTGATAGTTTTTAGAATTTTTGGGCAAGTTCAGAAAAGCCTGTGAATTACTGGCTTCAAATTCCTCTGCAACAAGTCACATGTAGTTCTATCTTGAAATTTGTTTTTTTAAGGATATTAAAGTTATATGCTTTCCCAGATCAGCGAATTCTATGACAAATATTATTGCTTAATTGGAATGGCTAATTACTAATATTTATCAGATATTCTGTTTCCTGGTTGTGGATTTCAGTAATTGGATTTTCATGTCTGTGGTGGCATATTATTCTGATTTGGGTTTTCTGAATTATGGCATTTGGGTTGCTTACCTGTCAGGTGTTGATTTGAGGCAAACTGGTTTTGATTTGATTATTTATCCTTAAAGGGTAGCTGATCAATTCTGGCTGTGAACACATGCTTTAAGTTGTTGATGTAATTAATAAATTACATGCTAATGACGCGTTCATTCCACTGTCAAGACAGATATATTTTTCTATTGTTCAAGAGTGGAATAATTGATGCATAATGTATCATGTGATTGTTATGACTTTTAATAAATTGAAGTTAAAACAAACTGTTAACATTTGTTTGTGTCCTGTTTCTTGGGACCGCCTCCGTGGTGTAGTGGTTAGAGCGTCCGCCCGGAGAGAGGAAGGTCGCGGGGTTAGATCCCCAACCGCGCCATACCAAAAGACGTTAAAATATGGTTTTTGTTGGTCCCTGCCTGGCGCTCGGCATTAATGGGTATAACAAGGACTGGTTGGCTCGGAGTCAGTATAATGTGTCTGAGTGGGGTATTCATGCTTCACTGCGGCATGGTATCTCAGTGGGCTAGCACTATAAAACCAGCTTAAGTCGCATGCACGTTGTCATATGAGCGAAGTATTCTCAAGCAGGACGTAAAACCCAATTTCACCTCATCTCCCCTCACCTCAGAATGACCTGTGAAGATGCTCAGCAAACCCATGCTTGTCGTAAAAGGCGCCTAACGGGATTGGATGGTCAGGCTCACTGACTTGGTTAACACGTCATAGTATTCCAGTTGTGTAGATCAATGCTCATGCTGTTGATCACAGGTTTGCCTTGACTTTATTATTTACAGACTCCGCCATATAGCTGGAATATGGCTGAATGCGGCAAACAAAACCTCAGAATATCATGGATTTATTTGATAATCCCAATCTTTTGAAGCTTGGCAACCATCTCCAACAGTAGTCTGGACAAGTACAGCTGGACATCTCTACATGTAAATACAGTGATCTTGAAGGTGACAAATATATGCTTTGCTAAACTAGGATTACCATCATCATATATATCCAAGGATTTATTGGAAGCTGTTAATTTTGAGCACATGCATCATCTGCTGTTAGAATGAAATGTCAGGGGCCACATCACTCGTGTTGGGAATTGGTTGAAATCTCCTAATTGATGATTGGTTCATTACCAACGAGCAATCATCGAAAAAAATTTATTAGCGACATTTTTCAGATTTTCCAATTCAGGTTTATATTGCAGATAAGTATAACATGATGCAACTTGCTATTTTAAAGTGATGACGAAATTTCCTGTACATAAACTTCTTGGAGTCTTCAAGAATTATTTAGTCATGACTTTTGAGCAAGTGAAGTGAGTTTTCTACAAATTAAACATGTTTTCAGGTCCTGACAACATCTAAGATATATTCTATCGTCCAGATTTTCAAACACTAAAACAGTAGTTCCAAAATTGTTTGTGTTCGATTATGAGAAAATGTGATCGATTGCTTGGTCGTTTGGTTACTTACTGTCACCAATATTTGATTATTTCAATTTAATCGGAACACCACTACACATCACTGCATCATACGAAGGATGGTGCTTGTTGCTGCATTGCTTTGCCTGGCAGTTGGCAGTCAGGTGATGGAACAACCACTAGTTTCATTAGTTTAAACCAGTGCAAACAAAACAGACACACACAGGTAATCACAGGTAATAGGTGTATTTGACACAGACAATTAACTATGTTGTGATCAGAGATTTGTAATGACAGGCAGAAAGAAATCTGACACGAATGTAAATTCAAGAAACAGTATCACTGATTTCATATTCTTGAATCATTTATTCAGCATTCTGATGAAGGTAATGACTGACAGTTTTCACTTGTTTGTTGTGGCTTTTTACAACTTTTAAATCAAAATATCTTACATTTGTTCCAGTTATATGAAATAGTAAAGAACATTTTCTTTACTTGTTGACCACACATTTAATAGACTGACTGACTGCTGAGTTTGGTTTTACGCCGCCGCTTTTAGCAATATTCCAGCAATATCACGGCGGGGGACACCAGAAATGGGCTTCACTCACTGTACCCATGTGGGGATTCGAACCTGGGTCTTCGGCGTGACGAGCCAACGTTTTAACCATTAGGCTACCCCACCGCCCCCATTTAATAGAAGTCAGAGACCCCAAAGCAAGAACATTGCATTTTCACACCCAAGCATTTTGAATGTTTTTGTTGTACAATGCAGAATTTGGCAATATTCTAGGTATATGACTTCTCTTTACACAACTTTTAGCCATATTTCAGCAATATCATGGTGGGGAACACCATGAGTGAGTTGGATTTTACGCCACTTTTAGCAATATTCCAGCAATATCACGACGGGGGACACCAGAAATGGGCTGCACACAAAGTGCCCATGTAGGGAATCGAACCCGGGCCTTCAGCGTCACGAGCGAACACTTTAACCACTGGGCTACCCCACCGCCCCGGGGAACACCATGACAATGACCTGAAATAACTGAGACTGTACCACACAATGAAGTGATTGATATTGTGTTGACAGACCCACTCTGTCAGTTTACGTTGACAACCAATTCATAGTGCTTGAACATCTGGGCCCTTAATCTCGAAAAGTTTGTAGCCCTACGAACTTCTTAAGCCCATTCTTAACACATTGGCTACAATCAAAGTTAAGAATTCTTAGGGCTACGAACGTTTCTAGTATAGGTAGCCTGAACACATAGTGACTTCCAACTGGGTGTGATGTGTGTGTGTGCATGTGTGTCTGTGCATGCTTGTATGTCTGATGTGTGTGTGGTGTGGTGCATCTGCTGTGTTTGTGAGTGTGTAAATGAACAACTTACATGATACATCCCTGCACTATTGATCAAAATAAGGACACATTAGGCTTGTGACATGATACACACTGCTATACATCAATACTCTTTGATGGCAAGTTATTTTAGCATAAAAGGCAACCACCACCACCACCACTAGTTTGACACATTCAAATAATTTTTTTCCCCATCCAGGGATGGAAATAACCCATTGCCCGACGCCCCAGTCCAGTGTTTTTTTTCTGTCAGGCAAGCAAATTTGTATATCACGCTGTACCGGTGTCCAGTTGACTTTCCAATGTTAATTATGTTGTTTATTTAAAAAAAACAAGAAAATTGGCCGGTATAGTGGAAAAATTATCAGGGCAAGTGATTTTACATGTGCAAATGTACCGGAGTACACTAGCAATTGTAAAGTTATTTCCACCCCTGCCATCAATTTATGTTTAGGGTGTGGGTATGGAGAAACATGTACAGTGTAAATGACCCCAACCCACCCCACCTCCAATTCCTCCTGCATCTTATGTCAAGTACAAAATCAGTGACTCCTCCCATAGTTTTTACGCATGATTTCAAAATATATTTTATGTACAAAATCTATGACAACCCCCATGTGTACAAAATTGCTTTCCCCCTTCCAAATAATCATCATCACCCACCCCAGTAATAACTTATGGACGATCCCCTATAACGTCTGATCTCTCTGTCATTATCATGATTAAAATGTGTTGAGTGATAAGCAAGTATGATCAAAGCTATATATTATAATGAGACAATCAACGAGGTAAAACAAATATCTACATATTATACATCTGTCTAAAATTCATTCATAGATATTCCCAGATGATTCTCTAGCTATATACATTGTTATAAACTCCAGGATTAATCTGGATTAAAAGGTGCTTCATGTCAAGACAATTCATTTCTGTCTAGGTTCTCATCAACATCAATACTTAATGTGTTTTTCACAATCAGAAAGTTTTATGATACAAGATTCAATATATTTCAATTTTTCTTTCCCAAAAATATGAGATCTGTCATTCAAGGCTGTTGATAGGAAGAAAACATTTAGCTGAGAAGATTGAAAACTTACATCTGGTGGGTAATGTTTACCATCACTTGTCTGGTGGACCAGTGTGTTTGACAAAAGGACACATGATATAATCTAGTGGACCAGTGTAATTAATTAATTAATTAATAAATAAATTAATTAAGTGAATAGTGTTATTGTCTTATAGGATCAGCAGATTTGTCTTGTAGATCAGTAGACTTTTCCTTGTAATCCCAGGTAAATCTTGGCTTTGTTTGGTGAGTAATCCCTCGTATCGCCTCACACACATTTCACTGCCAAAACCTACACCTCGCTATACAGCTATGTACAGTATTTAAATATTAACATCTACTTTGCTGAAGGAGCTTGATACTCGGCCAGTTCTTCAAAATGTCGTTTTGTCGAGACGAGTTTCAGCGCCATCTTGTCCATACCGTCGTGAAGTGTACCTTGGCAGCTTATCTCAACGTTGCCAACGTTGGCCTGTAGACATACACAACAGAAACATGACACGAGCATGGAACTAACGGACAATCAATCAAGTGAATATTGCCAGCTAGTTAGGCCAGACCATAATCGAATCTGGAGCAAAACCAGTGGTTGATATCATGACAACCAATGACATTACAATGACCTTATTTTAAGACTAAAACAATAGCTACTCTACACTAATAGCTATTTAGATACCAGGTTTTGTCGGACAAATGCAACATATTGATCAGTACCAGTTTCAGGTCGATGACAATAAAATGTTTGTGAAACATGCCTTGATACAAGATGAAGTGTTGGATAATCTATATTGCTTTCTTCATCTACTTACCAGTTGTAAAGTTGCAAGAAACAGGCGACATATTTCAAACTCTGGTTTTCCTGCTGCTATTCGTTTGAAGGGGATCATCTGTGACTTGGAGAGGCCGTCCATCACAGAGGTGCCATACTTGTGAATATCGAACGGTTCGTGCTGTTCTTCCTCTCGTAACCGAGGAACTATTTTCTCTTCCCAATCAGCAACACGCTTTGAAAGTTCAGTGATTTGTGCATATTCTTGAGCACTTGCCATGAAAGCTTCCTAAAAACAGAATTTCAAATTTATCAAAAGCATAATTTAAACAAGACACTTATGGTGAATCTATCAAACTTTCTGTACAGACTGTAGAGCAGACTGTAAACAATTCATAAATAATTGAATCTGAACCAGACAATCGCGTGATTTGACATCATGAGCATTGATCTACCCAGATGGGTTACAATGACGTGACCCGTGAAGATCCGGGTTAGAACTGATCTTCAGCAACCCATGCTTGTCGTAAGAGGTGACTAATGGGATTGGGTGGTTTATTTACAGACCGCCACCATATAGCTGCATTATTGCTGAGTGCATGTTAAACAAACAAACAAACATACAGTGACACCCATCAACCCAGTCAGCATGTCTGACCACTCAATACTGACTGCCTCTTACAACAAGCAGAAGAACAATTGTAACTCAGACCTTCACAGGAATTCTCAACATGGATGATCATAGTATGCTTTGTTGTGTTTCAATAACGAAAGAGTGAAGTTATTTAAACTTCATGCCAAAGTTGGCAAAGTTACAGCCATAGCACTGTTGCTGTTGACAGTATCAGCAATATGGTGGGCTACAGCGACAAACTATCAGCCACAAAAACTATCAGCCACAGCCACAGCAACAAACTATCAGCCATCAAACACAGCAGCTTACAAACTATCAGCCACAGGACAAACTATCAGCCACAGAGACAAACTATCAGCCACAGCAACAAACTATCAGCCACAGCCACAACAAGGCTAACTTAGACTACAAACTATCAGCCACAGCAACAAACTATCAGCCACAGCAACAAACTATCAGCCACAGCAACAAACTATCAGCCACAGTGACAAACTATCAGCCACAGTGACAAACTATCAGCCACAGCAACAAACTATCAGCCACAGCAACAAACTATCAGCCACAGCAACAAACTATCAGCCACAGTCACAAACTATCAGCCACAGCAACAAACTATCAGCCACAAACCATCAGCCACAAACAAACTATCAGCCACAGTCACAAACTATCTATCAGCCACAGTGACAAACTATCAGCCACAGCAACAAACTATCAGCCACAGCAACAAACTATCAGCCACAGTGACAAACTATCAGCCACAGTGACAAACTATCAGCCACAGAAACTATCAGCCACAGTGACAAACTATCAGTCACAGACAAACTATCAGCCACAACAACAAACTATCAGCCATGAGACAAACTATCAGCCACAGCAACAAACTATCAGCCACAGTGACAAACTATCAGCCACAGCAACAAACTATCAGCCACAGCAACAAACTATCAGCCACAGCAACAAACTATCAGCCACAGTGACAAACTATCAGCCACAGTGACAAACTATCAGCCACAGCACAAACTATCAGCCACAGCAACAAACTATCAGCCACAGCAACAAACTATCAGCCACAGCAACAAACTATCAGCCACAAACTATCAGCCACAACAGACAAACTATCAGCCACAGCAACAAACTATCAGCCACAGGACAAACTATCAGCCACAGCAACAAACTATCACAGCCACAGCACAAACTATCAGCCACAGACAAACTATCAGAACAATCAGCCACAGCTGACATATCAGCCACAGTGACAAACTATCAGCCACAGTGACAAACTATCAGCCACAGCAACAAACTATCAGCCACAGCAACAAAACTATCAGCCACAACTATCAGCCACAGTCACAGTGACAAACTATCAGCCACAGGACAAACTATCAGCCACAGGCCACAGTGACAAACTATCAGTGTGACAAACTATCAGCCACAGGACAAACTATCAGTCCACAGCAGAACAAACTATCAGCCACAGGATGAACTATCAGCCACAGTGACAAACTATCAGCCACAGGATGAACTATCAGCCACAGTGACAAACTATCAGCCACAGGATGAACTATCAGCCACAGTGACAAACTATCAGCCACAGGATGAACTATCAGCCACAGCGACAAACTATCAGCCACAGCAACAAACTATCAGTACAGCAGCCACACAGTCATGAACTATCAGCCACAGTGACAAACTATCAGCAACAACAGAACTATCAGCCACAGTGACAAGACTATCAACCCACAGTGACAAACTATCAGCCACAGCGACAAACTATCAGCCACAGGACAAACTATCAGCCACCACAGCCACAGATGAACTATCAGCCACAGCATGAACTATCAGCCACAGTGACAAACTATCAGCCACAGGATGAACTATCAGCCACAGTGACAAACTATCAGCCACAGCGACAAACTATCAGCCACAGCGACAAACTATCAGCCACAGGATGAACTATCAGCCACAGCGATGAACTATCAGCCACAGCGATGAACTATCAGCCACAGGATGAACTATCAGCCACAGGATGAACTATCAGCCACAGGGAAAACTATCAGCCACATCAGCCACAGGATGAACTATCAGCCACAGCGATGAACTATCAGCCGCAGGATGAACTATCAGCCACAGGATGAACTATCAGCCACAGGATGAACTATCAGCCACAGGATGAACTATCAGCCACAGGATGAACTATCAGCCATGAGACAATCATCTTCCAATGTGCCCTCATTTCTGCCAACAGAAAGCAGGTTCTGGGCAAATAGTCCACCCATGAATCACCATGAAGAATTTATCAAAACTCACCACATGCTTCCTGACCAACACTTCATAGCTTGTCACCATCGCATCGTTGTCGAACATGCTGTCGTCTGCAGAATAAGTGTCAGCATATCATATATCAGAAAGTCAACTGGACACTGGTACAGCATGACATACAAATTCGCTAGCCCGACAGAAAAAAACCACTGGACTGGGGCATCGGTCAAAGGGTTATTTCCATCCCTGCTTCTGTTTTCTTCAAAACTCGATTGACGTCTGCTATTGCAAGAGACGTCATTGCTGTTCATAACAGGGGCACAGACACATACAGAGTTATTTAAACTTCATGCCAAAGTTGGCAAAGTCCCAGCCATATCACTGTTGTGGTTGACTGAATTGTTACTTCACAGAAATCAGAAACTACAGATTATTTTGTCATGTAATTTTAAGGGGTTTCCTGCAGCATTCTTATATTCATGATGAATAGACAAAAGGTACTAAAAAGTAGTGCACAACTTTTTCTGTAATGGTTGACTTTTCTATGGTAATACTGAAAATTTTAGTATAAATTGTATTGATTATGGAGAAATCCAGATTGTAGGCTCCACTGCATCATTAACAAAAGAAATCAATGAAACAGTAACAGTTTGAATTCCATCTCTTAAACTGCCTGCTGTCCACTCACTGAGAGCAATGGAGTTTCTGTGATGGAACTGTTGTTCTGCTGGGAATGCCAAGTCGTCATCAACATGGAGGGGTTCAGCACAGTCGTCATCGTTGTCGCCTGGCGCCATTAATTCTGTGAACAATGGTACAGATCTGGTCATGGGCGTTTCTCTTTATGCAAAAAAAATGAATAAAAAGAGAAACTGAAAAACAACAACAAACCAACAAAAACAGTGATCACAACTTAGATCAGTCCATCAAACTGTCTGACTGAGTTGAGCTTAACACAACTTTCAGCAGAAGTCCAGTCACACCATGGCGTGCCAGCCTAATGTGGGAAGACATTCCCAAGTGATACACATCTCAGAGTCAGATGTTTAACACTTTGGTGAAACCCAAGTATGGAGCTGACAAACCTAGACACATTATTAATTGGGGTGAAACAGGATTCAAACCCACAATCACAAACTTCTGATCTGCACAAGGGAGGCAACTCTTCACCCTGAATAGTGGCACCTTAGACAATTGGGATATTTGTGAATACGTCTATTGGACAAAATGAAGAGAAGATTTTCATGATTCACATTATTGTCTGTAATTACAGTGTGAATTTTAACAGTTATACGAACCTGGTGCCTCTTCCTCCGGTACGACTTCATCTTCTTCCTCTGTATGGTAGCCAGCTAGTGCCTGGACAAAAAGTGGTTCAAAATATCAGTAAAAATCTTGTTCCATTTGCCACAGAACTAGATCCATTGTTTTTGCTAATACTTCTTGAAACCATGGTTTTTCAGTGATAGAAACCAATATATCTTAATCAACTGGTCCTGATGAAAATGCACAACCCTTTAAAACAGCATATTTCTTGTTGTCATTATGATACCTTGACTAATGGGGAGTTTAGCAGGGACTATGGCAGTGGTGCCAATATCCATCACTGGGTACATTTTATTCTGAGGTGACACCTTAATGAATCTAACCCAACAGAGACATCTTGATCTGTTTCCTTACAAGACTACCAACTGCAAGTTTGTAACTATAGTCCGTTTGGCTCAAAATCGGACCGATGAATTGCAATCTAACTCGAAAACTAATAAACATAAAATACTCAATGAAACGCTGATCATAATCAAAACATCATACCCACTCTGTGAGGTTTTTGCAGAATTTTTGTCCTAAAAATAAAAAAGTTGTTTAACAATCTATCATTAAAATATTGACACAGTTCACTATTTGTTACGAGGGAGGAGTGCAGAGAAAGGGACAGCCAGGTGTTCGAGAACGGATGGAGACGGCACAGCACAGGTTAATGAATAAATAACTTTGTCTGTGAACGTGGTTCTCGAACACCTGGCTGTCCCTTTCTCTGCACTCCTCCCTCGTAACAAACAGTGAACTGTGTCAATATTTTAATGATAGTTTGTTAAACAACTTTTTTATTTTTAGGACAAAAATTCTGCAAAAACCTCACAGAGTGGGTATGATGTTTTGATTATGATCAGCGTTTCATTGAGTATGTTATGTTTATTAGTTTTCGAGTTAGATTGCAATTCATCGGTCCGCTTTTGAGCCAAACGGACTGTAGGTTAGACTGACTGACTGACTGAGTTTGGTTTTACGCCGCTTTTAGCAATATTCCAGCAACATCACGGCGGGGGACACCAGAAATGGGCTTCACACATTGTACCAATGTGGGGATTCGACTGTAGGTTAGAACATTTTCATGATAACATCCTTACAAAGCAAAATAGGTCATTGACTGATTGTGTTTGGTCTTGCATGTGAATGAATGAAAAATCACTGTGATATCACAGTCGTCACAATGAATGAGCTCTTAATCCTACATGTGCTTCAGGAGTACATACGACATATGCATGGTTTGTTGGTCGCTTTGTATGGGTACCTCATAGTATAAACTCATTATTGGTGATTCTGTTTGGTGTTGCAAGCAAATCAGCGAAGAACCACTGATTTCACACTTGTCACAATAAATCTTACATGTGATTCAGGAATTCAACATGGTACGAACACATGGTACAGTATTGTATGGATACTAGTGTTGGGAATTGGTTAAAATCTCGTAATTGATGATTGGTTCATTACAACCATCCAATCATCGAAAATAATTGGTTAGCGTCATTCATGAAATTTTCCTGGTTATTTTTGTTAATGCACAAAAAATAAAGAAAATACATGCAGTTCCTTGGGGGTGATTTTTTGCAAATTGCACATCTTATAGGATGACTAGTATGTTAGGAACATAAATTTCTTGTCGTCTTTAAAATATATTCAGTTGTGACTTGGAACGAGCATGTCGTGTTCATGAAATGTAACAGACAAAACCAACCGTGTGAAAAATATTGTTAATGCAAAAAAGGGTCCAGAATTGTTTGTGTTCGATTATGAGAAAATATGATCGATTGCTTGGTCATTTAGTCATTGCGACCAATCTTCGATTTTTTCAATTAATCGGACCACCACTAATGGATACATCTAACAGTATAAACTCATTGTTTTGTGAAGTTGCGACCAACCATCATTTTTTTCTCTTCCTTCTCGCTGGCCTTCCTCTTCATGAACTCCTCCCAGTAGAGAGCCTCGAACTCACTCAGCTGGTCTCGGATCTTCCTCTGGCCAGAGTCTGGAGTAACATTCGTGGATAAGTTTAAATCAATAATACGCTAAATGAAGGAATAGGATTAAATTGGTTGGTTGTTGTTTAATGCTGCAATATTCCAGCTATATGGCGGCAATTTCTAAATAATCGAGTCTAGACCAGACGATCCAGTGAACAACAGCATGAGCATCAATCTACGCAACTGGGATATGATGACATGTGTCAACCAAGCCAGCGAGCCTGACCACCCGATCCCGTTAGTCGCCTCTTATGACAGGCATGGGTTACTGAAGGTTCATTCTATGATGACAAATATGATGACATGATTGTGTCAACCAAGTCAGCAAACCTGACCACGCAATCCCGTTAGTCGCCTCTTATGACAGGCATGGGTTACTGAAGACCAATTCTATTCCGATCTTCAAGGGTAGAATAGAATTAAGAGGGAACTTAAGTCTATTCATTCAGTCTACTCATCTAAACACCCACCTCTGAAGTTCTCTCGGCAAATAAGCGGCTCTAAAGTTGTTTCTTTAACAGGCATCTTCCGTTTCCTCTTCTTCGTTGTGTCTGCAGATTTGATCGGTATCCTAACTGACTTTCGAGCTGCAAAGATACATTGACATTCTCCACATTGCTGCTTCATACAATTGTGTGGTTTGCTATACAGTCAAAAGGACTGTGATGTCACACAAGAAATGATGTCATAGTGGAAGATTGTTGATGTCATTCGACAGTTTGGGTTTTCTGACATGGAAGTCATAATCAGTGCATTTTTCTGATTGTAAGTTCAAACGGATTTGAACAAACCTGTAGAGGTTGCTGATTCTTTGAAATATTTAACAAGAGTCATCAGAAGATGACATATCCCCCGCCCCCACATCTTTGAAAGAACAAATCATCTGACAGTTACTTAAAGTCCAGCTTGATTTTTTTCACTAAGTGCAAATCGCTTCCATGGAAATCATGAAAAAAACTAAATGACAAAAATCTGCAAATAGCAAAAGGCACCACTTTGGGATCTGCCTCACATATCTGCCAAGTTTTGCTGAAAGATATTAAGAAGTTTTCGCTTTGTGCTTCGAAACAAAACCCATCCCTTCCTTTTGAGACTAAGTTCGAATCATTTCCATGGAAACCGAGAAAATAATAAATCACAAATATCTGCAAATAGCAAAAGGCATCACTTCAATATCTGCCTCACATATCTGCCAAGTTTTGCTGAAAGATATAGAGAGGTTTTTGAGTTGTGCTCCGAAACGGCCCACCCCTCACTTTTGGGATTAAGTCCTAATCGCTTCCATGGAAACCGGAAAAAATAAAAATGCCAAAAATCTGCAAATAGCAAAAGGCACAACTTTAGGATCTGTTTGATATATCTATCAAGTTTTGTTGAAAAATATTATATGGTTTTTGAGTTGTGCTCCGAAACGAAAAGCAATCCTTACTTTTGAGACTAAGTCCAAAATGTTTCCATGGAAACCAAGAAAATTAAAAATGCCAAAAATCGGCAAATAGCAAAAGGCACCACTTAAGGTTCTGTTTCATACATCTACCAAGTTTTGTTGAAAAATATTGAACGGTTCTTGAGTTATGCTCCGAAACGGCTTCCCACCCCTCACTTTTGGGATTAAGTCCGAATCGCTTCCATGGAAACCGGGAAAAATAAAAATGCCAAAAATCTGCAAATAGCAAAAGGCACAACTTTAGGATCTGTTTGATATATCTATCAAGTTTTGTTGAAAAATATTATATGGTTTTTGAGTTGTGCTCCGGAAACGAAAGCAATCCTTACTTTTGAGACTAAGTCCAAAATGTTTCCATGGAAACCAAGAAAAATAAAAATGCCAAAAATCGGCAAATAGCAAAAGGCACCACTTAAGGTTCTGTTTCATACATCTACCAAGTTTTGTTGAAAAATATTGAACGGTTCTTGAGTTATGCTCCGAAACGCCTTCCACCCTCACTTTTGGGATTAAGTCCGAATCGCTTTCCATGGAAACCGGAAAATAAAATGCCAAAATCTGCAAATAGCAAAAGGCACAACTTTAGGATCTGTTTGATATATCTATCAAGTTTTGTTGAAAAATATTATATGGTTTTTGAGTTGTGCTCCGGAAACGAAAGCAATCCTTACTTTTTGAGACTAAGTCCAAAATGTTTCCATGGAAACCAAGAAAAATAAAAATGCCAAAAATCGGCAAATAGCAAAGGGCACCACTTAAGGTTCTGTTTCATACATCTACCAAGTTTTGTTGAAAAATATTGAACGGTTCTTGAGTTATGCTCCGGAAACGAAGCCCACCCCTCACTTTTGGGACTAAGTCCAAATCGTTTCCATGGAAACCGGAAAATAAAATGCCAAAAATCTGCAAATAGCAAAAGGCACCACTTAAGGTTCTGTTTGATATATCTACCAAGTCTTGTTGAAAATATTGAACGGTTCTTGAGTTATGCTCCGAAACGAAGCCCACCCTCACTTTTGGGACTAAGTCCGAATCGTTTCCATGGAAACCGGAAAAATAAAAATGCCAAAAATCTGCAAATAGCAAAAGGCACAACTTTAGGATCTGTTTGATATATCTACCAAGTTTTGTTGAAAAATATTGAATGGTTCTTGAGTTATGCTCCGGAAACGAAAGCAATCCTTACTTTTTGAGACTAAGTTCAAAATGTTTCCATGGAAACCAAGAAAAATAAAAATGCCAAAAATCGGCAAATAGCAAAAGGCACAACTTTAGGATCTGTTTCATACATCTACCAAGTTTTGTTGAAAAATATTGAACGGTTCTTGAGTTATGCTCCGAAACGAAGCCCACCCTCACTTTTGGGACTAAGTCCAAATCGTTTCCATGGAAACCGGAAAAATAAAATGCCAAAATCTGTGAAATGCAAAAGGCACCACTTTAGGATCTGTTTGATATATCTACCAAGTTTTGTTGAAAAATATCGAACGGTTCTTGAGTTATGCTCCGGAAACGGCTTCCCACCCTTCTTTAAGACTAAGTCCAAAACGCTTCCATGGAAACCGAGAAAAATAAAATGACAATTATCTGTAAATAGCAAAAGGCACCACCTTAGGTTATTTTTGACATATCTACCAATTTTGGTTAAAAAATATCGAACGGTCTTTGAGTTATGGTCCGAAAACAAAATGATTACGGACGGACGGATGCTCATATGCAAATGAGGCAGTGAACTACGCATGTAGTAAACAATCGTGCCCCACCCCCATCCCCAGTTTCTTAACAACCTGGGAGGGAGAGACATTAAATCCCATGAAACCGCAGCAAAGCCTAGATTTCTAAGGAATAATGTGCAAAATTGATATACGGGAGAACCATCACCATAAAAAAAACCACCAAGTAAGGGTAAGAAGGAAAGGAAAGTTGACCGCAAACCCCGCCACCAGTAAAAAACAGATGAAGTCGTAAATCTAAAGCTCAATCAATACAACTGGGAGATAATCCCGAATATCCCCCGATCTAACATCCACTCGTGTGGAGCTAGTATACGATGGGAGAGCGCGTCTGCCCAAATTTGTCTACCCCCGGGAGATAGACTGGCATCACCCGTATGTTGTACTGGTCGCACCATAGCAGAAACTGCCACGCCTCCTGTAGCAGGGACGCTGATACTGTGCCGCCTTGCTTCAGGATATAGGTCATGGCCGTCTGGTTGTCCATCTCTACACGAACCACTTGGCCACGGACCTGATCCACAAAGCTCTTGAACACCCGTCGGACTGCTCTCAATTCTAGCACATTGATATGCAGACTGATCTCGTGCTCCGCCCAAATGCCCGAGACTGACCTGTCGCCCAGAACACCCCCCAACCTGAGAGGGAGGCGTCTGTCTGAATCGAGAGCTGCGCAGCTGCAGCCTTTCCCTTGCCTTGTGCCCTCCTGCTCTTCTTAACCTGCAGTGGAGCAGTCCACTTTGCAGGCTTCTATGCCGACGTGGAAGGATATGAAGTAGCAGGAGGCGCAGGCCGCTGGCGAGATGTGAGGGGTTGCTCTAGTAAGGGCTTAGAGTCCTTAAAAGTGCTTACTGCCTCGGCGGCCTCGCGCACTACTTTCAATGCCCCAGGGAAAAGGGTGGAACATATAGTGTACGGCAGAGAAAGTAGCACCTGCTGAGTGGCTGGAGAATAGAGCGCCACCGACAGCCATAAACGGCGCAGGCCCATGACAGCGCCCATCATCATGCTAGCACATGCGGATACTGTCACGCGTGCAAGATGTGAGCCGTCTGTCAACTGCCTTGCCAGATGGGATGAATCCCCCGCACGCTCCCTGATCTACCAGTTCCCCTGCAATGCAGATAGGTATGCTGAGTAGACTGTCACCCATAACTGCTGACCTGCCGTCCTATACTGCTCTTCAGAAGAGTGATAGGCCGACTTCAGAGCTGGGGTGTTGGCAGGGAATGGTGGCAGTCTCGTACCTGAGAGGAGAGGATAAATCACCTCGTCAACCAGAGATGGGAGAATACAGAGTTTAGCCTCAGCCACTCGCGGAGGCGCAAAAGCCCCCGCGAAGGCGAAAAACCGAGGGGTCAGGCCCAAGCACAGGAACAGTAACCTGAGGCAGCGCCCGAACACATTGCTTGCAGCTGCCTCAGAGACGACCCAAAAGAGTACGAGACCTCAGCCTCAGGCTCGTCTCTCCCCCATCCGCCTCCATGTCCACATCACATCCCTCGGTAACCAAACTCTCTATAAAGAGAGACGACTCCGTGGGCACTGTTGACATAGAACTCGAAAGGCTCAAGGAAGAGGTCAGAACCAGAGGGTTCAGATCGCACTGTCCCCGGCTCAGACCCGAGCTGTGGGGCTGAGGCAACAAGGTAGGAACTGCTGAAGCAGGCCGCCCAGTGTGCCCAGCCGAGCCTCTGGGCGCCGAGGGTCCTGGTTGCCCAGGTATGCTCAGGCGCCCATCGGCGGCAGACGAATCCTGCGCCCTCCCGGGGCCGGAGCCTGGGTCGGCACTAGGAACAGCAGACAGACCATCCCCTGAGCCGAGACTCTGGGTAGGTTGCCCAGGGATAGGTGCGCTCACGGGCCTGAGCCCTGGCCACCACCGTCCCCAGCAGAGACACCTGGACCATCGAGATTTACACGTTGTGAGCCGAGCTCCTAACGGAGCCTGGACATCGCACTATCAATCATCGACTTCACATTAGTCATCTGCTGCTGCATTTGTTGCTGAAATAATGAAGCAATTGAATCAATATTTAAGGCAGCAGCAGGGGGTGCGGGGGTTTTGGAGGTGGAGGAACAGGTGACAACTCCTTAGAGACCCTAGCTTTCTTCGCCCCCCGACTCAGTCGGTGGCTCTTAGCTAGTGGAAGATTTTTTTTATGTGATCTCTTGGAAGGGGGGTCCTGACCCCAGATATCACCCCCCGCCCGCATGAGATTGGAGAAAAACAAATAGTCGGCATGTCTCAACTTTTGGGTCTTTGGTGAAAACACCTGGCAGGGAACACACCCCGACGAATCGTGAGACGCATCCACTGGACATCTTAGACACGATGCATGACCATCCTTTACGGGGATAGATGACATGCACGTAGCGCAGGTTTTAAACTGCAACGAACGGCAAGTCTGACAGAGAACGTATAAATTGTAACCACAATAATACACATGGGCGATTAATAAATATAAATATAAATATTAATCATACTAGCATATAGACTGCACTTGAATAACAACCAGTGCATGCTAGCCCACTTCATAACATGGAGCCCGTAAAGCAACATATACGACGTGAATACAACTATTTAGAGCAAATCACGTAATATAAATAATCCACCTGAAAAGAGATAAAATATCTGCAAATTCAGTAAAACAACACACAAACCTAGACAAGAAAGCTACAGGCTAACCTGAAAAAGCAAGTGTATATGCGTCTCCCGTCCGCCATCTTGACAAGCACATGGCAAACCGACAGGGACTAAGACGAAAGTTACAACAAATGATGAATGAAAACTTTCAAAAACATTTATCAATTATCGCCCATGCGAATAAGAGATAACCATACATACAGTAGCTGTTTCTGAAGAACTCATCTTGCAATCGTAAGGGAGAAATCAACTTGTAAGCTGATGGACACATACGTCGATACAGACGAACAACAGCATGGAAAGTGAGGTACGAGGTTAGCATCTAGAGTTACCTGTTCTTGGCGGATGGATCCATTCTGGGGTCTGTAGGGGTGGTCGAACAAGACAAAAATGTTTTTTTTGTTTTGTAAATATTTTATTCAAAATATAGTTACAACTGTCGTAGGGATTAAAAATGGACATTTTAATGCTTATATGTACCCCAAGGAGGATGTCTCATGAAAAAGAATGTATAACTTTGTCACCAGAGCTGTTGTTGTGTGGCAGACTGTATACTTACTTTTTGACAGAGCTTTAACCTTGTTCTTGTCTTCATCATACGGATCTGTTGACAGCCATGGATCTACAGTCTGAAACAGTTACCAGTCATGGTGGGGGGGCAACTCAAAATCTGGAGGACTATTTTTTATCCCCAAATCTCATGTCTCTTTAAGTTTTGTGCTTCTCACTCCAGAAATATAAATCAATAGATATTTAGGAAACTAATTTTAATAAACAAACACAAATGATGAAGACATTTTCTGGGTATTTCATAAGAAGCAATGTCAAAGCAACTGTATTACATCAACAATGATGAAGGGCCATGATGACTCCATGTCTTCCATATGGATCTGTTAGGGTATAGTGATACTGAAACATAGCAATCATAATACAATTTACTCACTGGCTTTGGTGGAGCAACTGGTTCAACAATCTGCACTCTTCTCCTCTCTGATCTCCGCAAGCCCTCCACTTCCTGGAATCACATAGGGACAGTGAGTGAGTGCACAAGTGAGTGCGCGCCCAAGTGAGTGCGCGAGTGAGTATAGTTTTATGTCGCTTTTAGCAATTTTCCAGCAATATCATGGCAGGGGACACCAGAATTGGGCTTCACACATTGTACCCATGTGGGGAATTGAAAACGTGTCTTCGGCATGACGAGCGAACGCTTTAACCACTAAGCTACCCCACCACTCCAGTGAGTGAGTGAGGGGGTTTGTGAGTGAGTGAGTGGGCTGGCTTCGCTGCTTGAGTGAGCTTCGCTGCTTGTGAGTGAGTGAGTGAGTGTTGCATCTTTAATTGTGTATGTGTAATTTTAATGTGTTGATTTTGATGTTATCATGATGCATCAATTCTATGACAAATCATAATAGGATTGAACGATATCAAGTTGATGATAATGACGGTGTTAATTCGATGACCACAGAAAAATAATCACCTCTGGGGATGCAAGAGGATCTGCGTTGAAACTCCCACCAAGTGCATCGCCACCATCGTTGTCATCAAAGTCGACTGAAACGAGAGATGCTACTGACGAAACTGATAGGCTTGGTATTTTCCATATTGAATGAGCCTTTCTATCTTAGTCTGCGCAGCCACTAGTTATATTTCGGCCATTTCGCAATCATATATTTGTATTCATCTGTACAGGAAATACATCATCAACAACAGTTTAATACATCATCAACAACAGTTTAATACATCATCAACAACAGTTTAATACATCATCAACAACAGTTTAAATATGTAAGAAAAGGAAAAATAGAAACAAATTTATTGTTTCAGAATTAAATTGGAAACTGTAGTCTGATAGTGTTCCAGACATAACTCACACATTTGCTTGAATGTTATTCACATTTGGTATTCATAGTGAGTGAGTGAGTGAGTGATGGCTTTACACCGCTTTTAACAATGTTCCAGCAATATCACGACGGGACACCAGAAATGGGCCATTTGGTATCGATAGTTTGCATTGGGTATTCAGTACGTTTCTTCCTTCTTTGGTCAAGTTTACTGGGTTTTGTTAACTGATGAGCAGGCAATCTTCAAAATTATTATTCTTCTATAATGTTTCAAGTGAATTCTATTTTTCTATGCATTACACCTAGACAGCCTGGGATTGCTTTTCATGCCTTTTAAATGAAATCCTTACAACTCAAAGTAAATGTCCCTGTGTACATGACAAGATGATAATTCTTATTTAAACTGAAGAATATTGTTTAAAGTTACCGGATATGTTCATGGGCATATCCTCCCCTCCATTGGCCGGCACATCCCCAGCTACCTCAGTCTGCATCTCCTCGTTGACATTGCACTCCTCTGTCAGTTTGGCTGCAGCTGCAAGAAAGACCGCCTTACATACAGAAGAAGTGATGGGTATTTGGTATCGCTATTTACTGATGATATGTGATCAGTGTTACAACATATTCCCAGCATTCTTGTTTCTGTAATTTGCTTCGAACATGAACACAAATACCACAACTGGTACATCAGAATTCTGATGTCATCATTTGTGGAAACAAGCATGTGAAGTATCAGCTACGTTGGTCCAGTGGTTTCTTAGAGTATTATGTTAGAGGAAATACATTTGGACAAACATTAGGAGAACGGTCAAAGTGCACACATCAAATCAAATTAAAAAATTTACAATATTGCAAATAACAGAGGACATATGTTGAGCCAGATACAGTTCTGGATGTATCTTGTTTAGTGGGGTATACAGTACAGGGTGTACCTGGTTTAGTGGGGGTGTACAGTACAGGGTGAACCTGGTTTAGTGGGGTATACAGGACATGGTGTACCTGGTTTAGTGGGGGTGTACAGTACAGGGTGAACCTGGTTTAGTGGGGTATACAGTACATGGTGTACCTGGTTTAGTGGGGGTGTACAATACAGGGTGAACCTGGTTTAGTGGGGTGTACAATACAGGGTGAACCTGGTTTAGTGGGGGTGTACAGAAAAGGGTGTGCCTGGTTTAGTGGGGGTGTACACATCAGGGTGTACCTGGTTTAGTGGGGTGTACACATCAGGGTGTACCTGGTTTAGTGGGGTGTAAAGTACAGGGTGTGCCTGGTTTAGTGGGGTGTACAGTACAGGGTGTACCTGGTTTAGTGGGGTGTACACATCAGGGTGTACCTGGTTTAGTGGGGTGTACAGTACAGGGTGTGCCTGGTTTAGTGGGGTGTACAGTACAGGGTGTACCTGGTTTAGTGGGGTGTACAGTACAGGGTGTACCTGGTTTAGTGGGGTGTACAGTACAGGGTGTACCTGGTTTAGTGGGGTGTACAGTACAGGGTGTACCTGGTTTAGTGGGGGTGTACCTGGTACAGTACAGGGTGTACCTGGTTTAGTGGGGTGTACACACAGGGGGTGTACCTGGTTTAGTGGGGTGTACAGTACAGGGTGTACCTGGTTTAGTCAGGGTGTACATAACAGGGTGTGCCTGGTTTAGTGGGGTGTACAATACAGGGTGAACCTGGTTAGTCGGGGTGTACAGTTCAGGGTGAACCTGGATTAGTGGGGGTATACAGTACAGGGTGTACCTGGTTTAGTGGGGGTGTACAGTACAGGGTGTACCTGGTTTAGTGGGGGTATACAGTACAGGGTGTACCTGGTTTAGTGGGGGTATACAGTACAGGGTGTACCTGGATTAGTGGGGGTGTACAGTACAGGGTGTACCTGGTTTAGTGGGGTGTACAGCACAGGGTGTACCTGGTTTAGTGGGGTGTACAGCACAGGGTGTACCTGGTTAGTGGGGGTGTACAGTACAGGGTGTACCTGGTTTAGTGGGGGTGTACAGCACAGGGTGTACCTGGTTTAGTGGGGTGTACAGAAAAGGGTGTACGTGGTTTAGTGGGGTGTACACATCAGGGTGTACCTGGTTTAGTGGGGTGTACAGAAAAGGGTGTACCTGGTTTAGTGGGGTGTACAGAAAAGGGTGTACCTGGTTTATTGGGGTGTACACATCAGGGTGTACCTGGTTTAGTGGGATGTACAGCACAGGGTGTACCTGGTTAGTGGGGTGTACAGTACAGGGTGTACCTGGTTTAGTGGGGGTGTACAGTACAGGGTGTACCTGGTTTAGTGGGGGTGTACAGCACAGGGTGTACCTGGTTTAGTGGGGTGTACAGCACAGGGTGTACCTGGTTAGTGGGGTGTACAGCTGGGGTGTACCTGGTTTAGTGGGGTGTACAGAAAAGGGTGTACCTGGTTTAGTGGGGTGTACACATCAGGGGTGTACCTGGTTTAGTGGGGTGTACAGATCAGGGTGTACCTGGTTTAGTGGGGTGTACAGAAAAGGGTGTACCTGGTTTAGTGGGGTGTACAGAAAAGGGTGTACCTGGTTTATTGGGGTGTACACATCAGGGTGTACCTGGTTTAGTGGGATGTACAGGACAGGGTGTACCTGGTTTAGTGGGGTGTACAGCACAGGGTGTACCTGGTTAGTGGGGTGTACAGTACAGGGTGTACCTGGTTTAGTGGGGTGTACAGCAGGGTGTACCTGGTTTAGTGGGGTGTACAGCACAGGGTGTACCTGGTTTAGTGGGGTGTACAGCACAGGGTGTACCTGGTTTAGTGGGGTGTACAGCACAGGGTGTACCTGGTTAGTGGGGGTGTACAGCACAGGGTGTACCTGGTTTAGTGGGGTGTACAGCACAGGGTGTACCTGGTTTAGTGGGGTGTACAGAAAAGGGTGTACGTGGTTTAGTGGGGTGTACACATCAGGGTGTACCTGGTTTAGTGGGGTGTACAGAAAAGGGTGTACCTGGTTTAGTGGGGTGTACACATCAGGGTGTACCTGGTTTAGTTGGGTGTACACATCAGGGTGTACCTGGTTTAGTGGGGTGTACACATCAGGGTGTACCTGGTTACGTGGGGTATACACATCAGGGTGTACCTGGTTTAGTGGGGTGTACACATCAATGTGTACCTGGTTTTAGGGGTGAATATTGAAGGAGACACAACTATTGTGATAGAAATAGTCTATTGCGAGCATCTATTCCAATAGTTTTTTTCTCCTTGAATTGTCTCATTTGAAGTCATTTCCCAAATGAATGTATGGTTTATATGAAATAAAAACAAGCTGAAGTATTCTCTGTCTCTTTTAATAACTGACAAGAAACTTGAAACCCAGATCAGGTTTAAGAGGTAACAGGGGCATATAACTCTAAATCAAAGTGAACGAATCCTGTATTTTGCAATGTGCATTAATCAACCAAATAGAGGATACTAAACTTTCTTCCGTGTAATACCATTTTTATTAAACGAGTTAATGATTTGGTATCAAACAAACGAAAGCGAGTTTTGATACTAAATCTTTCACGTGTTATTGCCCTCCAGCATAAATTGATAGAAACTGCCTACAGTGTGATGACTCTTATATCAATTTTCCGCGAGTCAAGCAAGGTCTAATACCATTGCGACAGAGGCATTAGCATTATGACGACAGAACTGTAACCATTATGACGTCACATGTCTAGCAGTATTACACTAGTGTAATATTGCCGTAAAACATTACACTGCAGTATCTTCCAAGGGCTGTGTAATAAAATCAATTACTAAACTATTGATAGTCACACATACTATCGATGCATCGATAGTTTTTCATTTCTACCATCGATTAATTGCTATTAGAGACTCAAAATTTGCAATCCATTGATAGTTCGATGCATTGTTACAGCCCTACCTGGTTTAGTGGGGTAGGGTGTGGACGAAGCCAGCAGTTTGAGTGACAGCTCCAGCAGGTTGAGGTGAGTCATGTCCAGCAACATGGAGCCACACGGATGTACGTAGCTGGTGTTCATTTTGAAGTCGTTTCGACTTGCCAGCACCTCCCCAGTTTTACTGAAACAAGAGTGAGTGAGTAATGTTTCATGCCACTTTTAGCAATATTCTAGCAATATCATGGCAGGGGACACCAGAGATACGCTTCCCACATTGGGGCCTTATTCGCGAAACGTTCGTAGCCCTAAGAATTCTTAACTTTGATCGTAGCCAATGTGTTAAGAATGGGCTTAAGAAGTAGGGCTACGAACGTTTCGAGAATTGCTAGCCTGGACAACTGTACGTGGGTCTTTGACATGACGAGTGAATGCTTTAACCAATATTATACATCGTCCATATCTTTTCACAACATCTTTTCTGTTTCACAACAAATGTTACTCATTTTCTTAAATTTTAGCTCATCACCATGGTGAAGATGAGGATGTGAAAATATTTATGCTAAATCAAAAGAAATGTTACTGTCTTAAATCTAACACAAGTCAGAAATCACCAAAAACAATTGAGTGAATTATACCATCACAGTGCTTGTAGCGATATCCCAGTAGCGCGACACCACAAACTGTGTTCGTACTACAACCATGTGGAAATCAAACACAGCCTTCACTGTGACAAGTGAACACTTTAACCACTCAGCTATCCGTGATGTAACTATAGAGTTAGCGATTTTTCTGTTTTACCTCAGCAGCGGGTTCTGCCCTTTTTCTCCGTCCTCCAGAGGGATGAGTGCCAGTGGGGTTTTAGGGATGGGTGCGATGGACTTGTCCAGGTAGTTGCTGCCCTCCTTCATGTCAACGTTCTTGTGTTCCTTGATGTCGTCCAACGGCAGAAACTGAGACACGACAGACAGAAGGTTCAGTAAAAGTAAGAGCAGGGGTGGAAATAACTTTAAAATTGCTAGTGTACTCCGGTACAGTGGCACATGTAAAATCACTTGCCCTGATAATTTTTCAACTATACCGGCTGTTTTCTTGTTGATTTTTTAAATAAACAACATAATTAACATTGGAATATCAACTGGACACCGGTACAGTGTGATATACAAATTTGCTTGCCCGACAGAAAAAAAACACTGGACTCGGGCGTCGGCAATGGGTTATTTCCACCCCTGAAGAGGCCTTTAATCTTTGCTGTATCCCACAGTTGCGGAACCTTTTGTGGTTATACCAGCTCAGCGAAGAAATGAAATCTCAATAACAATAATAATGGACATTTATAATGCCCCTGTATCTACGCACTTGTGCATTTTTTTCACTTTCTGTGCTGAGTTTAGCAGAATTTGGTCTTTGCACAAATTTTGTCAAGTACTTCAGAATTTTAACTTGTGAGTCAAAAGAAGCTTTTAAATGTGGAAAAGTAACACAGGCTTACTGAAAAGTCATTTGAAATGTGCTTCAAATGATCACTCCAACTGAGTATTCAGGGTATTTGTGACATGACATACAGGGCATGAGCCATCTGTTAAACATTTTACATTCTAAGAAATGGTTAACTCATATCAATATTCTGATATCTCAGGTTCAGAGTAAGGTCAAGACTTAAAGAACGGGTGGACAACACAGATTTATACCAACCTCCTCATCTTCGTCTTGAGGAAACTGGGCATCATTGTCATTCCCATCTTTGTCAACTGACGTTGGCTTCTGGGGGTGTCTTGAAAAAACACACGCAAAAAACAAACAGTTCTCAATAAATGGTAAACTATGCCTTCTGTACAATCCTCATGGTAAACAGACAATATTTTCAGTGTTTTTCTATTCAAAAATGAGTTTGGACAGCAGTGATTTGGTGGAACTTACTTCTTGTTGGCGAGGAGATCCAAGACTTGATACACCAGAGTATACAGATACTCCACCTGAAATGTGAGTGAGTGAGTGAGTGAGTGAGTTAGTGAGTTTAGTTTTACGCTGCTTTTAGCAATATTCCAGCAATATCATGGCAGGGGACACCAGAAATGGGCTTCACACATTGTACCCAAAAGGGATCAAACCCGGGTCTTCAGCGTGACGAGCAAACACCTTAACCACTAGACTATCCCACCACCCCTCTCGGCAGCATTCAGAACTGAGATCTTGTACAGCTGACAGTGAGAAGTTTACAGTTAAAAATTAACAGGTCCAAATGTCATTCAAGAAATCACTATCATAAATATCATGGTTAATAGTTTGATGTCGAGACAGACTGAGCATGTTAAACAGAATAAGTGGAGATGATGTATTCAAGATCTGAGTTAAAGTCACCTTTTTGCTGTACACACAAGCTGAGCCTTGAATGAGCAGAGCTGCCTCCGCGAAGTTCATCGTCGTGTGACCATCATCGAACGTAACCTGAATCTTCTCAAGCTTTAAACAGAACAGAGACAAAAATATATGAATGACGTGTAAACTGAAATAGAAGATATTAGTGTCTGCAGCAGTATTAAACATGTTGAAAAACTTGTGAGAATGCTGAGGAAAATGTAATTTTCTGACTAAAATTGATATTTTATACTTATCCTGACTCATGCTAATTATGCTTGTCTCTCCTTGCGAATGATAGTGGAACACTTGAAATCCCTTGAAGTTCCCTTCTAAAAATCAGACGTAAAATCACTACTCACCCAGGAGTTGCCTCCCTTGCCACCCTTTTGGTCACTTGACCGACCATGCCTTGTTACTCTCTCCGTATGAATGCCCGATACACGGATTTACATGGAAATCCAGAGTGCCATAAGAGGGGAGGTTGGGAGGGCTAACCTCATGAGTCAGGATAAGTATAAAATATCAATTTTAATCAGAAAATTACATATTTGTCCTTATCCTGACTCATTAATTAAGCTTGCAGAATCCGTCGGAAACGATGGTGGGTCAGGCCACATTCTGGATTCACTAGTTGTTGATTTACGTCCTGTATTACACCCCATGGGAACTTATGACGGCACTGTTGAAGATTCTGTTCTTTCAACTTCTCTCTGATGAGTCTGGGGGGAACCACAACTTGTTTTCGTGTGGATTTAGATATACTGATATTCCATTAGTTATCTATTGCAACTTCATCCTCTTTATGCGCGTGGATTTAGATATACTAATATTCCAAGTACAAGGTCTATCACTCATGCTAGTCTGTCCTAGACGTGTGCATGGACTGTAACCATTTGCTCTCGAGAGCGTTGGTTTTCACAAGTCACATGATAAAAGGGCTGAGATTTACTCAGCGCCTTTGTGAAACCGTTAGTTGTGCTACAACAAGTGGCCAAAACTGGTGAATGCCTGAGACGTCTTCGGTGGCAATGTCTCTGAGGTAGTGGTTGGCAAACACCGTGTTCGATCTCCAAAAGCAGCCCTCCATTATAGTTGTAATCGAGCAGTTTCCATGCAGAACAAGTGATGATGCCAGGGCTCTGACTTCATGTGGATTGGAGGCTCGTGGAGGCTCAAGTCCTGCTGCTTTATAGGCCTTTAGTCTAACAGCTCTCATCCAGATCGATATCGTTGTCCGTGAGACTTCCTTGGGCGTCTCAGTAGATAAGGGGATGAATAGGCGCTTGAATTTTCGTCTCCTTGTTGTAGTTCTCTGTAGGTAGTATTTAAGTGCTCTGACTGGGCATAAGGATAGATCCTGCGTATCCTGTGGCCCAAGGACTGTAGATAGTGCTGGGATATGGAACTGTCTGTCAGGCTGACCAGGCAGTTGGTTCTTGCCGATAAAATCCAGTCCAAGATGTACGATGTCACGATGTCTTGATGCAAATCGTGTTCATTCAAAGTCCAGAGCATGTATTTCTGACATCCGTGCAGCTGTTGCTAGGGCGATCAGGAACAGTGTTTTCTGAGTTAGTAGTTCAAAGGATGTCTGTTCTAGAGGCTCGTAGGCATCACTGGTGAGATGTTGTAGAACTACGTTGAGATCCCAGGCAGGAGCCTTGAATTTCTTTGTTGGTCTTCCAACTTGAATGAGCATAGTAGTGCCAGTATCTCTGGTACTTTGGTCAGCTTGACACCCGTCTTCATGGTGATAACTGTGCTGAGAGCAGCCATGTACGTTGAGAGTGTTGAACTTCTTAAGTGTCTCGTCTGTGGCAGATGACACAGGTATTCCGCCACTTGAGGATGGGTTGCTTTTACTGCTGTAAAGCCTTTCCTCATTGCATACTGTTCAAATCTCTGCATCTTGTCGTCGTACAAGTTGCGAGTTGATCTGCGTAGAGCTAGTGTAACTGCTTTTGCTGCTCTGGCGGACTACCCTCTGGTCTTCAGGCAAGCTTTAATACGCTCCACGCATGTAGCTGGAACAGTGTCAGGTTCCCGTGAGCTTGCTTGGTGTGTGGATGGACGAGTAGTTGCAACGTAGTCGTCTGCTTAATTTTCTGTAGTACTTGTGGTAGCAGTGCAGGAGGTGGAAACGCGTAAGCACAGGGCTACAGATAAGGGGCGTACAGGCGTAATGTACGCCTCAAAATCAATTAAGTACAACATAATATAAGATTTTAAGCGTATCGTGTACGCACATAAATACCTTTGAACGTCTAACATTTAATTTCCGTGCGTATCGTGCAAATGGAAATCTATTTCGGATAAATACTTGTCAAGTTTCTTTTGCGAAACACGATTTTACACATGAGGAAACCCCGACAGTAGGAATCCCTTGCGTTGCCATGCAACGATATGCGTCACTATTTTTTCGATTGGCTAAAAACTACACTGTTCCTATTTATATCCAGTCCGACCTGACATTTCGCGCATCACACGGTCGCTCAGTTATTTCTCACGCGTCTTCAAATACAAATACATGGTTGGAAATAGTGATCGATGAATCGTCCAGACAAACCACATCACCAACTCGCTCACGTAAAAACATGTCAGTACTCCTTCAAAATTCTCAGTACACTTCCACTTGCAATATGATGTGTAAGTACACTCGCACCCCCAAAAGTTATCTGGAGCCCTGTAAGCATTTAGTCCTTCCCAAGAGATGCTTAGAGCGTCTGTTGCCCATGCCTGAGGATCTGGAATCGGTGAGATGAATTTTGGTAGCTGTTTGTTGAACTTTGTTGCAAACAGGTCTATCAGCGGAGATCCTACTGTCTGTATGATGAACTGGAATGCTTCTGGATGCACCATCCATTCCGTCGGGGATGGTTGTAGTGGACGAGATAGGGCGTCTGCTATGACATTCTTTGCTCCAGGAATGTGGCAGGCCTTCATGTAGATGTTCAGGTCGTCGACTATGCTGAACAGGAGAAAGCTGAGTTGTAGCAGACTTGTTGATCATGTTGACCTTGTTTGTTGATGGAAAATGCCACTGTGGAGTTGTCCGTGTGAACGATGAGTCATGCGTTCTTTAGTACGCTGGACCAATGTTGTAAAGCATTGATTTCGGCTTTCATCTCCAACAGATTGATGTGTGACTTCTGATCCTGACTCGACCACTTCCCTGCTGCCACTTCGTTGTTGAAGTGCACACACCATCTTGTAGAGAGGCATCCACGTAGAGATGAGTGTTGCAAACCGGCTCTGTCAAAAAGGTTCCTCCGCAAACATTCGACTTCCATGTCCACCATAGGAGATATGGTTTCAGGCTGTCTGGTAGTATTAACGGATCTAGGCTGTCTAGGTGGACGTTCACAAATACTTGTAGTGGGCGCAACTGTAGTCTCCCTCTGCGAGTCATGTCTTGAGCTGAGGTGAGTAGACCGAACATGCTTTGCCAAGCACGTAGTGTCAACGAAGAGAGCATTGCTTGAGATATCATCTGTTGTATCTCTACCCAACGATCCTCTGGAACGACTATGTGATTCACTGGTGCGATTCGACGATGTAGATATGTGACGCCGGGCTTGGTCACTCGAGTAAACAACCAGGGGCCGACGATATTCCAAACGGTAGAACCTTCCACTGGAAGTGATGTCCATTGAAAAGGAATCTTAGGTATTTCCTTGAGTCTGGATGTATCGGGATGTGGAGGAACGCATCTTGTAAATCTATGCTGGCGAGGTAGTCTTGAATTTTGCTGGTCTGCGTAGATACTCTTGTTGTAGATGAGCCGAAATTTCTCCTTGAAATTCTTCTTCGGTACCAGGAAAATTGGGGAGTAGAACCCGGTCGTGATGAGATCTTGATCTATCTCTTCTACTGCCTCTTTGTCGAGTAAGGTCTTGATAGCGTCGTCTAGTTTCTCTATAGGGACCCAGGTGCTCTCACAACCGTCCTCAAGGGTGAAGAAGGAGAGAGTGACAAGGCATGGTGGGTCAGGTGACCAAAAGGGCACCAAAGGGGCAAGGGAGGCAACTCCTGGGTGAGTAGTGATTTTACGTCCGCTTTTCAGAAGACTGACTGACTGAGTTTGGTTTTACGCCGCTTTTAGCAATATTCCAGCAACATCACGGCAGGGGACACCAGAAATGGGCTTCACACATTGTACCCATGTGGGGATTCGAACCCGGGTCTTGGGCGTGACGAGCCAACGCTTTGACCACTAGGCTACCCCACCACCCCCTTTTCAGAAGAGAACTTCAAGGCATTTCAAGTGTTCCAGTATCATTTGCAAGGAGAAGGAGATAAGCATAATTAGCATGAGTCAGGATAAGGAAAAATGTATAATTTCTGTTTGAATGGAAAGTGATTTTACACATTCAAAAACTTGCTATCACGAAAATCGATTTGATAACTGATATTTCTTACAAATTTTAAAATAACTCTGGTGTAGTAGTGAAAGCATAAAATCCAATACCCGTCACGATAACATATATAGTAACTTGTTTGTGTAGCATTTTAGAAGTGAGGTAGCAGTAATGACCAATTTTATGGAAAACAACTTCTTTCGTTTATTTCGTGAGTGTGATATTTCAACACAAAATCTTGTTGCATTGTCAAGCAAAAATGTAAAATGAAGAGGAGGATGAATTTAGACAGAAAATACAGCAACAACATAGCTGACAACACAACAAGTTCATTGAAGCCATTGAATTAGAGGTTGGAACCCAGATCTACAAATCTGGGAATAGTTGGTCAAGTCCTGGATGGGTTGTTCACAAGAAGGAGGTGAGGTGAGGTGAGATTGGGTTTTAACGTCGTGCTTGAGAATATTTCGCTCATATGACGATGTGCATGCGTGTGTATGTGTATGTGCGGCTGCTTGTACTAGCCCAGACTGAAGCTGGTTTTTATAGTGCTAGCCCACTGAGATACCATGCCACAGTGAAGCATGAATACCCCACTCAGACACATTATACTGACTCTGAGCCAACCAGTCCTTGTTGTACCCAGTAATGCCGAACGCCAGGCAGGGACCAACAAGTACCATATTTTAACGTCTTTTGGTATGATGCGGTCGGGGATCGAACCCGCGACCTTCCGCTCTCCGGGCAGACGCTCTAACCACTACACCACAGAGGCGGTCTCAAAAGAAGGAGATGTTGGAGGTGCATCATAATCTGATGGGAAGAAATATCCTTGATCTAGGTTGATGGAGCACTTTGATGCTTGACGTGAATGGAGGTAATGTCACATAATTTCACTTTGGTAAATACATAAACATGCTCAAAATAAATCTTAATCAGTCAGGAATGTCTGTAGATTACTTTTTTACCTTAAAAATCCGGAGGTGGTGAGTGAGTGAGCTTAGTTTTAAGCCATTTTTAGCAACATTTGAGCAATATCAGGGCAGTAGACACCAGAAATGGGCTTCACACATTGTACCCATTTGGGGAATTGAACAGGGTCCTAAGGAATTAATAAGCAAACAATTTAAGGGACCGTTAATAATTTATGGCTAGGGGGGAGTGATGATGATTTTAAGTGGGGTCACCCATTTCGTTCTGGGGAGGAGGGGGGAATCAATTTTGTACACATGTTCTTGGGGAGGAGGAGGAGTCATCAGTTTTGCAAACATGGTTGGGTGTGGTGGGTGTGTCAGCAATTTTGTACATAAAAATACTTGACAATTATGCTTAAAAAAATATGGGAAGAGGGAGGTTCATTGATTTTGTACATGACATACAGGGTGGTCACTTACTTTGTACATAAATTTTAGGGGGGTCATTCACATTGTACATGCTTCTCCATAAAAATCCTCACCACACCCCTTAGCCATAAATTATGAACTATCCCTACCACCCCTGAGGTGATACACAGATAGATATTTCTTCATTGGCAACCAGTTACTTATCAATATGCAGGGCTCCAGATAATTTTTCAACATCAGGAGTACGTACTCCTTATTTGTTCAATACTAAGTACTTAAGTGTACATTTAGAGTACTGAATGGAAGCTAATGGACTATCAGTAATCTTGTGTTTCGTTTCATATATGCACCACAACATTACTACTCTTGTGTAAACAGGTCAATAAACAATAAACCAATACTTTTTTTCAGATAAATACGTCTGTAAATGATTCTAAGACCGTACACCATTGCTGTGGTGCGTATCTGCTACGTTTTCTAAATTATTTCCTACCGTATCGTGCATATTTTTTATCCGTACATACGCCGATACGGCCCTTATCTGGAGCCCTGAATATGTATACATTGTTACTTGTTAATGATGTGCATGATAATGAGTTATGCTCACCTCATCTAGATAGTCTTCAAGGTAACTGCATATGTTTATATCCCAGTTCTTGGTCAAGTCCCGGATGGGTTGTATGAGATGACCAAATCGCTGTTCAAGGTCAGTCTGACTGCCTGATAGAGCCATCGTCAGTCACTGGAATGAGGCCATGAATATTTAGTAAAGACCTGTCAGCACATTTATTTTAAAATCTTCACAAATGAGTATTCAAAGAGGTTTTTCTATGTGAGATGAAACCAGTATCATTCATTACTGATATTACACCTGCATATTTTGGAGTCATGGGCAATGAGGCTGAAGGATTTCTCGTTACACAGGAAATCTGGATGTGTATAGGGTTGTTTCAACTCAAAGATAAACTTATTTCATATATATATATTTCATTAGTCAATTAATGCCTGAAAAATAATGCAGACATTAAATTATAGAAAATGTCTCTCATCATGTTCAACATCTTGAATAATAGCTTTATTCTGTCTATTAAATCTGTATTATTACAATTTATTCTGGAAATCTGTTGACTCAGCAAGTAAGAAATATATTTTACAAGGCTTCTGTAATTTTAACCACTAGTGAACTGCCAGTTCTATGTGCAGCCATCTGAAAAGGCTCCTAACATTAACTGGTAAAACAGCTGTTAACACGGTTAATATGGAACTTTAATTATCATCTGTTGAAATATTTACCAAAACATAAAAATCCTTTTATAACAGGTGATACTCTATCCAATTAGATGTTGATCGCATAAGCAGTGATGTAATCTATTTGTTACATGTTACTGACATCTGTCAATCAAAACATCACATGGACTTTATCATGCACCGTTATCAACAAAAAACTGAAATCATTGCATTCGTGGGATTGTTTGATTTAGGTTGTTAGCCGGGCATTAAAACTCACAATTCGGGCCCCTATGTGAGAACACATCTATTCGTAAACTTTCTGAAACATATATAATTACCAGAGAACGGCACCGATGTTTAGTTGACGGAAGTTACCATTTGTAAAATCCCGCGCAGTTCCCTAAAATGTGCAGATAGTAGACGATATTTCATTGGTCCAATTTTATCGAATTCCCCAAGTAAGCTTAATTTCAGCCAATCAACAATCCTGTTATCGTTCCGATCGGACCAAAACAATCTCGAAGATATCACTCCACTGGGATTCCCAATAAGGAAAAACAAATCTTACAAATTTTGAAATTCACATCATACAATAGCAAACGGTTACAATACTCTAAATGAATTGCATCCAATGACTTATTTCAAACATACATTGACGCATTTATGGCTGTATATGCCAGTTGCAGTATTGGACTATTTCGTTGGTCGGAAGAGTATCCTGTATTGCAAAGTGGTGCTCACGTTGTTCCGGTTCAAGGACAACAAGTGCACGTTTTCATATTAGATTATCAGTGATCAGCTAAAATATTCGCTGTAGCTGTGAAAATGGGGGATATGAGCGAAACCAGGAATGCTTTTTTGTGGTGCATGTCAGTCGTTTACCTGTTTGCCTTTTCATCGCTCTATGTGCAAATACCAGGTAAATTGCGGGCTTTATGTGGAATGTGCATTTAAAGTTGGTATGGAGTGAACCCATGTTGAACCGGGAAATTTTCTAATGGGAGTTTGCATACCTGTACACAAAGTACATTAATTTTTTTTCAGGAATTAAATTTTGTCAGAATGCCAACGTGTAATTCGATCGCATCAAATAATCGTTAGAGAAGCATTACCACGATGTACGAGTCGTTTAAATGGCCACTAAATGTAATTGAAAGTTTAGGGCCAGCACGTCGAGTTTTCGGTGCGTTTAAATCATGCGTTAAAGTATTTCCGATGTGACGTCACACCTATACTTCATGCATGAGTCAGATCGGCCTGTCAGATCTCAACCAAAACAACAGTAGTAGGTACAGCTAAAGCCCACAGCCTAACCACTGTGGACAACGTTTTGGCCCATGCTTCTTTTAGAGGCTAACTTGAAGAGATAGCTTCTGTGTTTTCTTATGAACGACTTTAATACTTTCTATACTTTCTATTGGAATGGAAATCCGGGGGTGGGGTAGCCTAGTGGTTAAAGCGTTGGCTCGTCACGCCGAAGACCCGTGTTCGAATCCCCACATGGGTACAATGCGTGAAGCCCATTTCTGGTGTCCCCCGCCGTAGTGTTGCTGGAATATTGCTGAAAGCAGCGTAAAACCAAATTCAGTCAGTCAGTGGAATGGAAATCCAAAAAGGTCACTAAAAGGAAATATTTTGCAGACAATAAAACACTTCTTAAATTATCTTAATTAAATTTGAATAAAGATCAGCCATGAGAAAACTGCAGTAGGCTGGACATGCATATAATGTTTCATGACAGTGAACAATTGTATGTCAACCAAAAAAAGTTAATTAATTGTTACTTCTGTAGCGAAAATGTTCAGGAAATGATTTAATTTACTTTTTCGTTATTCATCCTGGATCCTAGTCTGCTTTCAGTTTGATCTGAAGGAAACCAGTGATTGATACAATGAGTAACTATGCTTAATTCATTGGGACATTTGCCTAGGGGATGTAGTGATGAAACTTAAAATAATTAAATATGTACTTTTCAACAGTTTAGTTTATCAAGCTTGTATGTATTACTTTCTGTTGATGCACTATATATTATTATTATGTTTTTGTCCTCAGGCTTGTATGGCGATAATGGAATACTTCCTGCCCGTTTGGTTTTGAACACAGGTAAGATCATCAGATAATCTGATAAGTTTGTCTTAAAGAAATGAATGGTCACAAAACATTTCTCACCGAGATGATTCATTTTCAGTTTGAATAAATATCATCAGTGCATGAAAGTTTTTGTGTACCCTTATTATGGAGCAGTCAAGCAAATTTAGGATGAATTGTCTGTTTCACCAGTCCACTTTTTTTTTAAATCGGGGGTAATGGAGAATTGCCAGTAATGTATCATCATTGCATTGATTGCTTTAAACCTTTCGTGCAATCCCTGGCCGTGTCATATTTAAAGAATTAAAAAGTGGTACTTGTTGTTGCCTTGTACTCATCATTACAGGGTTAGAACAATCATTACTCAGTTGTTGTACAGGCTGCCACACATGGACTCTCACACATGGACACACTCACATGGACTCACACATATGGACACACACATGGACTCACACACAAAGACACATGCATGAACTCACACACATGGGCACACACCAGTGTTTACGAATAGCGTCTGACCCTCTGACAAATCGGGGGCGGTGGGGTAGCCTAGTGGTTAAAGCGTTGGCTCGTCACGCCGAAGACCCGGGTTCGATTCCCCACATGGGCACAATGTGTTAAGCCCATTTTCTGGTGTCCCCCGCCGTGATATTGCTGGAATATTGCTAAAAGCGGCGTAAAACTAAACTCAGTCAGTCAGTCTGACAAATCCAGATGATTCGGCAACTGTCTGATAGAAGTCTACAACCCGCCAGCCACCCAATGTCCTGTTACCTTGAAACACCATTCGTGAACACTGCACACACATCTACTCACACATGGGCACACACATCTACTCACACACGTGGAGTAGTATATAGGATAGCGGTACGAGATCACTTTTGACAAAAGCCTCTGTAAAGCTCTGTCAAAAGTTATCTCGTACCGCTATCCTATATACTACTCATGGACACACATGAACTCACACACGCATGCATGTTGCTTTGTGTAAAAGCAATAATCTTAAATCTAATCTTTTTACCATTTCACCTCACCTCTTCTCACCCTGGTGTTTTCTGTGTTCAGAGGCCAACTCATGGCAGGAGTTGTTGGAAGGCCAGCCCACTCTGCTGAAGCTGACCCCCAAGCTGGGCCTGACCATACAGAGCGGGATGGACCTACTGTGTCTCGGGGGCATCCTCATCTCCTTCTTCTGCATGGTATCACGACGCATGCGTGACGTCGTGTCCTTCACCTTGCTGTGGATGTTCTACCTCTCCCTCTACCAGGTATGCCTGTCTGGTTGTCAAGCTACCACAGGAAACGGGTATTAGACTAGAACTTGGTTCACACAGTCAGTTGGGAGACAAGGATGTGGTTAGGCTAAATGACTTGGTTGAGTGCATGTAGTTGGGCACCGTGACATGTTCATAATTTCAACCACTGGTTTGTGTGGATCCAACTTATTTAACATGTTTAATGACAGGCTACTTCATATCATGAATGTAGCTCATATATTGCTCGATGTGACCTTAAGCAACACATCCTCTCAAGATCCGTGTTAGAATTGGTCTTCAGCAACCCATGCTTGTCGTTAATGTCGTAAGAGGCAAGATCGAGGGATCAGGCTCACTGACTTGGTTGACACATGTCATCGTATCCCAATAGATTGATGCTCATGCTGCTGATCACTGGATTATCTGGTCAAGATTCGATTATTTACAGTCCATATTGACTGGAATATTGACTGAGTGTGACGTTGAACAATAACCAAACCTGAAGCAACAAGTTGATCTGACTGGCCTGTGCTGTTGGTCATGTTGATTGTTGAATGTTGGTCACAGTGTTTGCTGACAACAAGATCTATTTGTTTGTTTTATTTTACAGGTGGGCCAGACCTTCCTATGGTTCCAGTGGTGAGTAGGATTTAAGACAAATTTCAGTTATACTGCCAGAAGTAATATAAACTACTTAATCCACAACAAATTACTGTGGCATTATTGCAGGGTTCTTTTTAGCTTGTTCTGGCAGGAATGGTTTTAGTCAGGATTCTGCTGCTAATCCTAAATAGAGTTGTTCACTCGTTTTTATGTTGCTGTACAGTTTATGAAGTTGTGTAAGTGAATGGCAACTAGTCATAAGTGTGATTATTTTAAGAATGTGTTACGTGATGACAACGAGGAGCAGGGACTATGTATTCAGCAGGATCCGTACGTACATCCGAGTCTTGTTACTTCATATCTCATGAACTGTTGTACCTAATGTTTTCAGTTATGTCGACAGCCTACATTAGGTGATTATGCAAACACCAGTCATTTCAGGCATCTTGTATGTGACCAAAAATTAAAAAGTAGTAAATACGTAATAAATATTTCATTCTTCTTTAGCGGCGGGGGACATTGCCATATTAGTGGCAAACACTTGTTATCCTTGCATGTAATGTAAGTACCTCATGTTCAGAATAAAAAATAGTCCCAAGACGCCCTTGACATAGGTTTTGTGCTTAATATATATTTCAAGCAGACTCACTTTGCTGATGATGGGAATTCATTGAACAATTACACCTTCACCAAAATCAATTTTAGAAATGTAGCCAGGGTTTTGATAATCTTTTTATCAATTTCAGGGACATCTTGCTGCTAGAGGCTGGCTTCCTCACCATTATTGTGGCGCCGTTCAACTTCCAGCTATTCCGATCTCGCAGCCCTCCGCAGCACCAACACGACTCAATCACCATGTGGCTTCTCAAGTGGCTTCTATTCCGTCTCATGTTTGCCTCTGGCATCGTCAAGCTCACCAGTCAGTGCCCCACCTGGTGGGGACTCACCGGTAAGGGGAAATAACTCCTCTAACAAATAGTGTCCTGTACTTGTAAGAAATGCCATAGATCATGACAGATTTGACAGATGATAGTTACCTCTGAATGTGAAATGAGAATTTCAGAAAAATTGTTAGATTGATAACATTCCCTGATGCTTTATGTTGTGATCCTGTTGATACATATGGTTGTGCATTCTCTTCCCACAGAGGTTACTCCTATCATATCTTCCTTCGTAACCTCTGTTCTAATACGCCCTTTCATGGTGTGAGCAAGACTCGCGTGATTGGAGACAATCAGATTTACGTCAGTGACGCTTCAAAGTGATCATTCGCAAGGCTAATTTCCTATGGCGAAAAACTAATTCTTCCCCTGCGCGATGCATGTGTATAACAGAACTCAGATGTTATGGCGGATCTGGACCAGACAATCCATTAAACGCCTTGATGTAACATCAACAGTATGCAGATCGGGATATTTGTCTGGACCAGACAATCCAGTGATCAATAGCATGCCGCTTAGATTTTACGAGAACCGGGAAATACGAACAGAGGTTACGTGGGACTTGGATGATGGTTGATGATGTGTCACCCAAGTCAGCGAGTCTGACCACCTGATCCCGTTAGTCACTCTTACGACAAGCAAGGGTTACTGAAGATCAATTCTAACCCGGATCTAGAAATACATTTTGGCTCATATGTGGCTTAGTCAGTGACTGTTCAACTGAGTTGTCTCCTTTGGTTGTGCCAGGAACTGCTGATTTTTTGTTCAATCAAATCAATCAATGTATGAGAATACAAAAAGAGATCATTAACATGTTTCTGTTCTATTTCCAGCCTTGAATCATCATTTTGAAACCCAGGTACGTTTCTGTTTACCCATAAATCTCTATATCCATACAGTGTCTTTTATGTTACACAATGTTGAACAAGTCTATCTATTAACTTAGTGTTTACCTGATGAAGGGCAGGAAGCATTCATGAAACATTGTTATAAACTACAGAGAAATTCTTATCCTTAAGGCGTTCCTCGAAGTTTGAACAATTCTTATTGTCAGACGTTTGTCTGCTTTGAAAAGGATCGTCATTTTCTTCTTCAACAGTGTATTCCTACGCCTCTTGCTTGGTACTGGCACCAATTTCCAACATGGTTCCTGAAGCTGAGTGTGGTGGCAACGTTTGTTATCGAGGTTGCTGTCCCCTTCCTCTTCTTCGCACCAGTCAGGTCTCTCCGTGTTGTCGCCTTCTATGCTCAGGTAAGTCTGCCATTTGAATTTTATGTAAGAACCTGTACAGTGAAGCTGTCTTAACTGTGTCTGTTGGGACTAATGTTTGCTTGTTGTTTAAAACTGCAATGAGCAAAATTTCAACTATGTGACAGCACCCGTGAAGGCCCGGGTAAGAATATTTATCTTCAGTAACCCATGCTTGTTGTAAGAGGTGACCAACGGGATCGGGTGGTCAGGCTCGCTGACTTGGTTGACACATATCATCGGTTCCCATTTGCGCAGATCGATGCTCATACTGTTGATCACTGGATTGTCTGGTCCAGACTCGATTATTTACAGACCGCCGCCATATTGCTGAGTGCGGCGTAAAACTAAACTCACTCACTCACGCAAATTGTGACAGCAGTCCATAAATGATTGAGACTGGACCAGACAATTCAGTGATTGATATCATCAGCACTGATACATTGGCAGTTGGGATGATTCTACCAAGTCAGCAAGTCTGTCCGATCTCATTAGACACCTTTTACGAGTGCTGAGTGGCCCTGTGAAGAACCACAGGACTGGCTGGTCAGATTCGCTGACTTGGTTGACCCATGTCATTGCTGCTCATGCTGTTAATCATCGGATTGTCTGGTCCAGGCTTGATTCTATCAATCCAGTCACGTGATAAGTCGGTCACATCATTTGGGACAATTTGTCCGCTTGTGCCGGAAATTCTGATAAGGCTTTACAGAAAGTACAGTCAGGTATTATCAAAGGTGCAACAGCTATTTGCAAGGTGGTTGACATTTTGTTCGCAAATAGATCTGGCCTGGATAACAAAGTGTACGAAGACATGAAATCATTGCTAGGCGACACGCTAGGAATGCTGGGATACCGTAACAGTGATCTTGTCACGAGGTATACGGATGCGCACAAAGGCGAGCTGAAACCGATTATTGATTATTTACAGATCGCTGCCATATAGCTGGAATATTGCTGAAAACTAAACTCGTAAAACTAAACTCACTCACTCACTCGCTGAGTACTGTGTTAAACAATCATGAATCAACAAACAAACATGCATAACCCCATTTTCCTTTCATCCCTTCACCAATAATAAATAAAAATAATTAACACATTGCATGATTTATTGTGTGATTTTTTTATCAAGTCATTTATATGACAATAAATAATAACAAATAGTCAAATATGAATGACATAAGATAAGATTGAGATCACGATAAAAACGTCATCATGTGACATTGTCTCACCTTTCAAGATTTGCATTCGGGTCTGAAAAGTGATTGGCATCTTGATTGGTCAAGATAAATGTTTTTAAAATGCTTGTTCCCTCAGTGCTGGTTACATTAATTATTGCATGAGAGGAAAGGCTCAACGCAAACACCTACAGATAAAAAATACCGTACAATACATATAACAATATTGTGATGTAACAAGCAAAATATATCTTTGATTTTTGGTTTGTAGTGAATAATTAACACACAATTTCTTACGAAAATATCCAGAAGATATTGACGTTTCCTACTTTTCTTCTGTATACAAACGACATATTCTGTGGATGATGGAACCATTTGAATTAAAAATAAAGCCGAAATCAATTAAGAAGAGATGTTTTACTCTATGCTTTTTAAAAGAAATTGCATATATATTTTCAGAAACACTTTGAAACATGTATCATAATTCTTACGAATGCAAAACGTTTATGACATCATAGCCATAAATCCAATATTTTTGGTGTCATCACTCAAAAGAATTTTCAGATTTTCAACAGATGTCTTCTTCACTGTTAACTATTCATAATATGTTGTGCAATTTCTGGTAATAGTATCTTGCCTTGTGTGCATATACTCAAAGCAGTAAAACCTCCCTTTTGTCCTTTCTTAACAGCTTAAATTGTATTTACTATCATTGCGTAATTTGACAAGCATAGTTCACCATTGTGTGTCCAATAATGGCTGAATTGAATATCACATTGAATTAATTCATGTGTAAATAATTCCACCTGTTACATATAACACAAACTATTACCCTGAAGGAATCAATATATCACAGAGTAGCTTGTTGGAGCTGGTTTGAAGTGCAGTCATCTGCAGGTTCATTTGTAGATTGTTTTTGTCATCACAGCACAGAAACGGTTAAAAAATATCCAGTTTTCAACAATGAATCAACATGAACATAAAACTACTGTACTGTGTACTGTTGTCATAGCAACAATACTCCACTGGCACAGATAAATGTTTCCCAATATGTGTCACTGGAGAAGTTCGACACTTGTAAATAGGAGCTTGCTAGAGGCACATGGATGGATTTGTGGTCAAATGAATTGATTTTCCAGAAGTTGAGGCTCTTGACCAACAGGGTCATGACTGATAGAATCACAATTTTCCATGTTGTTATCTTGGTATCTACAGTAACATCAAGCTGAGACCGATGTTCTCATAAGTATTTCTAAAGGAAATGTTTCAATATTAAACAGTAACTACAAATAGATAAACTCAAAATCACTTTCACAAATGCTCCAAAGTGAATCCAAACATAGCACTATGTTTATCAAGAGTTGTCTCCCTTTAATGCTCCAGACGGCAATCCACACTCAGTCTCAGTAATCACAGTGAGGATTGAATACTGCGAGGCCTAGTCCAGACATTTCACTTTTAAACCTTTACTAGAATGGTTGAACTTTATCTGTCAGCTTCTAGTTTGGGAAACTATGAATTAAAGGCCAACTAGTTTTAGCAAACTGCCAGTCCCATCATGCTTCACTGACGTAGTTTGTCTGCTGACTCAATGTCATTAGGTTGAATAAGATTAATCAGGCAGTTAATGATTGCCCTTATTACACACAGACAGCGTCTCACATCATTTACAGCATCTGGACCAAGGCAGAAATGTTCTCCCAATGATGGAACTCATTCACCCATTGTTTAACCAAAGTCACCTTGTCATTCTTGTCAACACCTGTCATCCAAGTGTTCAGGATAGTTTATAAGGATATGTTCAACTGGCAAGTTTTAAAATACTCCAATGGTTCCTGTGTGACTCGACAATGGATGTGTTCACATAACCCTCTAAACCTCAGGAGTCTTGGTCAGTTCAAACTGCACTGTTGGTGATTTGGCCACGAAGGAGAGGAACCTCATGTTTTTCATAGGAATGTCAAGTGTCCAGTAGAGACCAGGGTATCGTATCAGCATACTGTTGATAACCTGTACAAACTCCTTCATCAGTTCCTCAATGGCCGAGAATTCCAACCCCCGGACAAAGATTTTGACTAATTGTCCTTTTCCACGTTTGTGTTTCCTCATTAGCACTTGTTCATTGTAGGCAGTTGCGAAAACTGCATCAGACCAGTCAGTGCGAGACAGAACCAGATCTTGGATAGATGCACTCATTTTCTGGAAGAGTCCAACTGGGAAATATAGGGGAAAGCTGTATATTACAGTTAACTCTTTCTCATTGTGTAGTGGAATCTCCCGCCACAGTTGACTGAGGTCCTTGTCACAGGTGTCGGTGTTGTACCATGGGAGAACCATCAGTGGTCGACAGAACAAGCGGCATGATGGGATGTCTGGCTCGGGCACGGCGTAGCAGAGGTCAAGCAGAGGAAGCAACTCTAGCAAGTCCTCAATCATTAGATTGTCCATCTTTTGGTAAAACCAGAAGCTGTTGAGAAGGGGCCTGCACACTTGACCATATTTGTGGAAGGAATCACGAACCTCCATGAACTCTTCTGCAGTAAGTCCTCCTTTACTACTGAAGATTTTGTTTTTATTGAAGTCCATGAAATCTGTGATATCATGTCTGTACAAGGAAGCCAAAATGTCCACAAGTTTGAGAGGACAGTGAAACACAATTTCAGACAGCCCAGTGACATCCTCATACCACAACACATCCCCAACGTCATGGAGGTAGTGCATACAATCCTTCAGTTCCTTACCCTGCAGCCTGAAGATCTCAGCCATCTCCTCAACCTCATCCCACAGAAGATACAGGGACCTCTTCTTCTTCAGAGTGCTACACAGCCTGTTCCAGTGCCCAGGAATGCTCCGTTGGGCATGAGGAAATAGATCCTTGTCAATAGCCAGATGCTCAATCTCATCCACAAGGTCATCGATTCCTTCAAGGGAGTCTGAGGAACTGATCACGGATACATCTGGGAGAATCCGAACTGGGCATCCGAGCACCTCCTCCAGCTTGTTCTGACGGACACTGAGAAGCTTCAAGGCTGCTTCCGCCACATCATTGGCAGGGTCTGAGGAAGTCCTGTTCAGTGACTTTTCAACTCTGGCTTTTTCACTGAGAACTCTGTTCAGTTCATCATTAACACTTTTCATGTAATTTTTTAGTTGATTTTGAGCTGTGTGTACTACATAACGTGCATATGTATTTTCTGCGGGTGTATTTGTCACAGGTCTCCCAGACACTGCTCTATCAACATACATTTCACTGTCCTTCTGATCCTGAACAGCCTCAGATCTTGCTGTTGCTTCCTGACTGGAACCTTCAGTTTCTTTAACAGCGTTGCTCTCTGCTATAGGTTCTTGGGCATCTGCTGCTTCAGTTTCAGCTTCTGTTACCTCAGTTTTGACGGTTTCATCTGTTTTCATGTGAACATTTTCATTGGCTTCATCTTCTGTGACAACAATGTCTTTGGTTGTAACATCTTCTTTGGTGGTGATATCTTTGATGGATTCATCTTCTTTTTACCAGTATCTTCTTTGGGTAGTTCCTCAGGCTCAGATTTGTGTTTCTTCTGTTGTTCAAGGAGTTGCTGTGATGTCTGTAGAAGGTCACACTGAGATGCTATGATCTTGACCACTGCTCCTGGAGCCTGTGTGTTGAGAAGATCAATCCACTGCCCAATTGCTGTGTCGTAGTCTTCCTCTGTAAAACTAGCACAATTGTAGACCAGGAGAACTAGAGCCTTTGAGTCGAGGAAGAGTGGTGTTGTAATCATATAGGTGTCATCGCCTCCGAAATCATACAGCATGAACTCAACATTATTGTCAGTTTTCCACAGCATAGTCTGTAGGACTCTGGTTCGGTCTGCCAGACCTTCAGTCAGACTGGACTTCTTGAGAGCCAGTAGATTGGCCAGGCAGGTCTTTCCAGATTGACTCGCACCCAGGAGAAGGATCTTCTGCCTCTGGAGGTTCTCTGTCTTTATGATGGCCAACTTTTTGAGGTAGTCGTAGATATGTTCTGGTTTCTCTGTCCTCCACACTTGGGGTGGAGGCTGTTCCAGTGGATTCTTATAGAGCCAGAGTCCGTACTTCTTGTACTTCCTGTATGAGTGAGCGACTGTCAACTTGCTCAGGAGGTACAGCTTCATGGGCAACTGTCGGATTGAATTGCCTGTCAAATCCAGAGTTTCTAGTTCAGTGAGATCACAGATCTCATTAGGTAATGACTGGATGTCATTCTGAGCAAGTATCAATGTCTTCAGCTTGAAAAGTCCTCGAATCTCTGGAGGCAGACGGCGAATTCTGTTACCAGCCATGTTGAGTTCCTCAAGGTTACCAAGAAGTCCTATTGTTGGAGGAACTTTCTCAAACATATTTTGGCTCACTCGCAGTATTTGGAGACTTCTTAGGCGTCCTATGTCCTCTGGGAGGTTCAACATGAGGTTGTTGGACAGGTCCAGCACTGACAGATACTTCAGATTGTAGATGGACGTTGGGATTGTTTGTAAAAAAGTTTTTGCACAGATAGAATTCCTTCAAAGCAAGGTTATACACATCAGGCAAATTGTTCAGCTTTGTACTTTCAAGGTCAAGGCATTCAAGGGAAGGTAATTCAAACACTACAACAGGTATATGCTCGGATTTAATTTGTCCTTTTCTGAGCAGGTTTTCCATGTAGTCATCAACAACACCACAGAAACTTCTGTAGTTGATGGCCATTGTTCGTAGCTTTGGCATCTCAGGCAAGGTTTCAGGCAGACTCTCGATAGAGTTGCCCCACAGTAGAATTTCCTCCAGATCCTGGCAGAAAGCAATTTCTGGGGGCAGTGATGAAATGTTCGTTTGTTGGAGATTGAGACGCTGAAGCCGAGTCAGATTCCCGATGTCTGGAAGAAGAACGTTGATCTTGTTCCGACTGATGTCGAGGTATTGGAGACTGATGAGCCGCCATATTGCTGGAGGTATGAATGGCAGGTTGCATTCAGAGATCTTCAGCTCCTCGAGGCAGGTCAGCTGTTCCATCTCAGATGGCAGGCCGCCAAAGTCTTGAGGGCTGGTACAGCGGATGCCGTTACGGCTGATGTCCAGTTTAGTCAGATGAGTCAGACGTCTTATGTCCAAGGGGAGTGATCGCAAGTTGTTGGATGCCAGACAGAGTTCTCCAATATCTGGAGCTGGAAACATGAAATCAATGTAACAGGAAATCATTGCATTACTGGCTTCATGGATGCAAACTGGATTAAAAGAAGCTGAACAATATGTTTGAAGTTCAAATTTCAGTAGGATAAGGTGATAAAATGTTGTGCAAAGCAGTTATTGAATTTCAGTGTAAATGTAGCAGGGTCTTTGTCATAAATTTAATGTTTAACACCACATAGCTCAGTTCATTTAAAACCCTAGATAGTAATATGCAAATACATGTAACACAGTGTTCACGAATGGTGTTTCAAAGTCACAGGACATTGGGTCCTGTAAGTTTCAGATGTCTGTCTGACCCATTGAAAATGCACAGGACCCATGGAATAAAATTAAACACACTTTTCAGATTTAATATTTCTTATAATTGACATTGAAATTATTAACAAACATAAGATTTATAAACAGCAAACAAGTGTCACATGTCACATAAAACAACTTCAGTCCAAGTCATTGTGAAATATACAGTCAGACACTGGGGCCGGCAGGTTGTAAACTTCTGTCTGACCGTTGGCAAATCTGCCGGATTTGTCAGAGGGTCAGACGCTATTCGTGAACACTGGTAACATGAAGTGCCTTAATTTGAGCCCTGTTGTTAAGAGACATCATAACATCATGGACTCTCATGGTAACAGAAGACCCAAATGACTTGACTTAACTCCGATATTGCTTGAATTAAAGCTACAGGCAGGTACCTATGTTACACAGTTTGTAATGTAAGATGTTACCATGGAAAATCTTTCAATGGTTACCTGTCAACAACGAACCGGGTACCGACGTCATTCCCTGCCCTGACATATCCACGACCTTCAGTCCCTTCTCGGTCAGGTCAGGGGTCTTCTGTGGGGCTGCCTTCTGGTTCTTCAGTGACGATGACTTCCGGCTTGGTGGAGTTTTAGGTCGAGACTCTTTTGGCGTGGTTTTCCGTTTTCCTTTTGGGGATGGTTTTCTGTTCTTTTCAGCACTTTTGACACTTGGGGATGATTTGCGCTTCTGACTTGGAGAAGGTTTTCGTGAAGGTGATGGACTTTTCTTGGGAGGAGATGGTGTACGTTTTCCTCGTGGAGGGGAAGACGGAGTCGGGCTCGCTTTGATTGATGGAGTCTGACCCCGCTGTGGGGACTTGGTCCTGTCAGCCATCTTGGATTTCTGAAAAACAATTGTATGTTGCAAAACTTCTCAAATAATAAACCCTGTTATTTAGTAAAAAATATTAGATGACAAGTAATGTAGAAATGTAGATATGGTGAGATATGATGTAATATTTTCTCGAGAAAAACTAATAATGGAGAAATCTCTGCAATAACTGAAGCTTGTGGTTTTAGTATACAGCTCTGTGTGAGCAATGTCATGTTGCAGAGATCAACATAGACTGCAAATATTAAAGGCCACCTGATTCATATTTACAAACTTAGTTTGTCATGACATGATCATTCCTTGCTATGGTCTCAATGATTCTTTCATGATAATACAGTTAATCTTTGATGCCATGACACAGTATATACCGGATGACGAAAACACTGTACACTTTACCTACTTATATATATATATATATAGGATATTTATATAGCGCACATATCCACGCACTAGTGCATGCTCAAGGTGCTGGTATTTTTTCCCTCGATCATTGGATGTCAATCTCAACGGCACATCGCATTATCAATCTCAACTCCCTGGGAGTATACAACTCTTGCAGCCACTAGGCGCACCGAGTTATTGTGGCTTCTCATCCTAACGAGGTACCCATTCACAGCTGGGTGGACTGGGACACATAGTCACAGTACTTTGTCCATGTTCACTGCAGGTTGCTGTACCCGCAACTAGGTGTTTGCACGTATTCATGTGGCCACCATCTGGTCAAATACCAACGGATTCGTGGGTTCTTTTAAGTGCACAGGGTTGTGTACTGTACACTAGGGGTTGTGACAACACTGAAAGAGTCTGCACACAAAGTTGACTCCAAGGTTTTTACACCCGGTCACAGGTGGGCTCGATCCCGACACCTCAACCTCGCTGGATCACTAGCCTGGCACCTTAGCCAGCTCGCCCACTGCCCACTTGAGTTTAACAGATATACCAAACTTACTGTTTACTTGATACAGGACTTATATGTTCAGTTCAAGACACTGGAGCATTTCTTAAAGGTTTTTATAGTTTCAGTGTTATAGAAACGACAGAGAGAGTTGGTTTCTGTGTGAATCAGTACTGACCACTTACACTCCGTCTGCCCACTTTCTCTCCGTCTGCCCACTTTCTCTCCGTCTGCTCACTTCCACTGTACAACTGGATATGAACACTTATACACCTCGACTGTGTAATACAAGGCACAAACTGAAGGAGTAAATAACTCGTAGTTAAGAGGATTAGAACCAATGCTGATTTACTGCTCACTGGAGATCAGGCTGTAAGAGCGGTAATCTCTTGTACGCACCACCAAGTACATGTTTCCTAAAACATTCATCCATTCTCTTCTCAGCTCAAGCAGCCAATACTTGTTTTGTACCTCCAAAATATTACTCTTTCCTATTCATTCTTGTACACCTCCACAGCATTATTACTCTTCCTATTCAGTCTCTTGTACAGCTCCACAGCATATATTACTCTTCCTATTCCAAGAGTCTCTTGTACACCTCCACAGCATATATTACTCTTCCTATTCCAAGAGTCTCTTGTACACCTCCACAGCATATATTACTCTTCCTATTCCAAGAGTCTCTTGTACACCTCCACAGCATATATTACTCTTCCTATTCCAAGAGTCTCTTGTACAACTCCACAGCATATATTACTCTTCCTATTCCAAGAGTCTCTTGTACACCTCCACAGCATATATTACTCTTCCTATTCCAAGAGTCTCTTCCTTGTACAACTCCACAGCATATATTACTCTTCCTATTCCAAGAGTCTCTTGTACACCTCCACAGCATATATTACTCTTCCTATTCCAAGAGTCTCTTGTACAACTCCACAGCATATATTACTCTTCCTATTCCAAGAGTCTCTTGTACACCTCCACAGCATATGTTTAATGAAACATTCACCTCCATTCCATTCTCATCCCTTCGCAGCAGAAGAGGTTCCTTGATACTGTCAGGTTCTTGGAAATATTACATTTAGGGTTGAAACAGTGGGATCAAGAAATACTCCCTGTCTATGTGAAATCATTTCACTCTAAGTTGGATTTATTTTAGACATTAAAACTAGGTAAACCGGACATTTTTTTGTTCTACAAAGGAGCAAAATTGAAACAATTCAGTTGCCTAAAAAAGTAGCGATTTCAAAGTTATAATTCTTCCTACCTATCGTTTGACGTGTATCAATCAAAGTTCTTTTTTTTTCTGGTTAAATACTGGTCAAGTGACCCAGTGCAGATTTCGATTTAAGCATTTAGAACTTACACTGGTGCTTTCGATGAAATGGTACACTCTTATCACGGTACAGATACATATTGCGGTACAAGGCCTTCGGTTTGGCCCGTTTTGGTTCGGTACATTAGATATGATCATAATACAGAAACATATATTGACAACATGAGCCAAACCCTACATGTTCAATAGCATGGGAAGAAACATCCATAATCTTTGTTATTTTGAATGAACGAAACTGTCATTTTTTCATTAGTGACGGTACGAAAACCGAAAATACTAAAAAAATTTTTATTGCAATACGGTATAACGAACCGCAGGCAAAATGCTGCGGTGTACCACTTCACCCCAAATTACATTTGATCTTATACATGCACAGTGCTAGATAATAATTTAAAATATGTATTGTCCCTCGGGGCTAAAGTGTCAAGCTTACACTATAAACTCAAAACAGAGAAAACAAAAAGAGACATATTTCAAGTGTATCAGTTAAGCAATAGTTTTGTGTGATCTTCGAGCTCATCCAAGATTTTGGGTTGGTTGGCTGTTGTTTTATAAATTGCTCCCATTGCCAAAACAATAATTGGGGAGCCTTGAACGTAACACTTCTGGTCAGTGAGGGGCGGTGGGGTAGCCTAGTGGTTAAAGCGTTGGCTCGTCACGCTGAAGGCCCGGGTTCGATTCCCCACATGGGCACAATGTGTTAAGCCCATTTCTGGTGTCCCCCGCCGTGATATTGCTGGAATATTGCTAAAAGCGGCGTAAAACTAAACTCAGTCAGTCAGTCAGTCTGGTCAGTGATAGTGGTCACCTATAAACTGGTGGTCACCTTAGTGTTTTCTTCTTGTTATTGCTTGCTATCAAGATATACAGTTCAATTGTAATAAATGTTCAAACTTTAATAATACACAGAGCTCCAGATAATATTTAGCTCATGTGGGTACTGTACCCACTGGTTTTTTTTGGAGTGGGTATTATGAATGTTGAGTGGTATTTCATTTTCCGTTACCCACTGCTTTCAAATATGTGCGTATTTCAGTCATTTTACTCACCGAAGTATTATGTCATTGAGTAAGTTTACTAAGCAGGTGTGTTCTGCCTTATGTCATCCCTAATCAAAACCAACTTCAATATAATGGAAATGATTTCATAAAAGATCACTCATCCTATACTGACAGTACAACACTTGTCCTATACTAACGGTACAATTTGATAGCAATCGATGTCTTTTTCATTACGCAAGCGATTTTTATAAATATATTCTGTATGCATTTGTTTTAAACTTTTTGCGTATCTAACATTTTAAATGCGTAATTGGTACGCAACAATTATTTTTCGATGCGTAATTAGAAATTTTCTATGCATATTTTACCCGGATACGCAGCTTATCTGGGCCTCTGAATACATTTATAATTCTCAATGACCAAGGAAAGCTGGGTTGACATTAGGTTTAGATTTTGGAGGTTACTACAAAATAAATCATGTAGTCCAAGAATTAATGTTAGAGAATGAGAGTCAGGGATGATCAGGTCATTGACCAAAGCTGGCTCAAAAAAATAGGGTCATATGATTCAACCTATGTAGGGAAAAGACTTGCTTAATTCTGTAACTGTACAGATTAGGTACTTACCAGGGTATTAGCTCCTGGGCAGTTAGTATGGATAGGTTGTCAGGGGCATTATGGAGGACCAGCTTGTGGACTTGATGATTTCCACTCCCTCTGAGAGAATCAGTTGTATCTGCTATTTAGAGTTTATTTTGAGTTTACCAAATGGTGACTATGGGTTGAATCAGAGAAATATTGTAAGCAATTTGACTTTCCTTAGGGCTGGGGGATATTCTTTATTGTAAACCAAAAGTCATTGTGTTCTTTAATCTGATTGGTTGAAAAACGTGATCAAATGGTATTCGATTCCCGGAAATTCACTGAGTATTAATACATACAAACATCGCTCACACCATTGTATTGTTACGTCGTCAGCTGTGATGACGCCATTAAACGATATTGTGACGTAAAGTCTGAATGACGTCACAAATGAGCAGTTCCAGATGCTACCATGGGAGACAGCCGAAACTGCCGGCTGATGACATTTCACTGCTGGACCCGTACTCGATGTCAATGAGTGCAGACAGTAAAACGTGTGTGGACCTTTTGGTTTACGTTTGTGTTTACAATGTCGATAAACATCATGTGTTGGCCGATTTCCGGTTGTTATTGAGTATTTGAAGCACAGGAATATTTCATTTATATAATTCCCGTGCTTCAAATACTCAACAACACCTGGAAATCGGCCAACACATGATGTTTATCTCCTAATTCTATATGGGTCCTACACCATTGGTGTGAAAGGTTGACTTTCCTGTGCCTAAGGTTCAGCCTGATTATGAATGCCGATGACCTGCTTCCCTAGTTTAGCATGGTATTGAGGAGGGTCAATATCGGACAGCTGTAAGGTGCCAACAAATCAACTATGAGGTGAATATGATAATAATTAGTGTTGGGAATTGGTTGAAATCTCACAATTGATAATTGGCTCATTACCAACAGGCAATCATCCCAAGAAATTGGTTAGCTTCATTTTTTCAGAGTTTTCTGTTTAGGTTGTTAATGCAGATTAGTATAACATCACTCTCTGTTGTTTTTGTTTTATTTATAAACTGCGCAAATTGCATTTGCAAATTTCGCATCTCATGTAAAATGATGCAACTTTCTACTTTAAAGTGATGAATAATATATCATGAACGTAAAGTTTTAAGAGTTTTAAGAAATATTCAATCATGACT